CTAAATAGTATTTTTTAAAACAAAAAAGATTAATTCATTTGTTTTAAAAAAAATAGAGGAACTAATTTATAATTTACTCATTTTTGTAACACAATACATTACCAAACAAGTTATATACTTCTCCTTTCTCTTGTTCTTGCAAAAATTCATTCGTGACAAGAATGTCCAAACATTGAACCTTGTTCGAAGAATGTCCCATCTTAAATGCTTTTGCCTTTGCCACATCAAACATTAAATGTCAAGCTCCAAGTTGAGACTAGATTATAAATTAGTCTCTCTATTTTTTCAAAACAAATTAAATAGTCCTTCTAACTTCAAAACCTAACTAATTAGTCCTCATACTTTTAAATCTATTTATAACTTAATCTTTTTTTATAAGAAATAAAAATAAGTAAAAAATATGAAAAAAGAATTAATGAGAAAAGAAGAATTTTTTTCTGAAATACAATAATATTAATATTAATATTAAATTAATTATGATTAACATTGTTCAAATAACTAATTAATAAGTTTTTTAAAAAAAAACTATATAATTCATTCTACAAAACTAGAGAGACTACTTCATAATTTAAAACTTAAGATTACTGGTAAGAACTGTGGGGGCTCAAATCTCAATTCAAGAGGTAAGAAAAAATATTCTCTCTCGTTTTCCATGCTTATGTGTCTGAGATTGAGACCTCATAGTCATAGTCTCATAGAGCAGAATGCGAACTACAAAGTCAACATAATCATAGATCGGTTCTTGAGGTTGTAGACGTGGAAATATATCCTCTTCTCACTGAGTTTTCAAGTGGGGCTCTGATGATTGCTTGTTCTCTTTTCTTTTCTTTTTTTATTGATCGAAAAGCTTGTGGATTTTAGATCACATTAGCATATATCACGCGTATTATTGCAGAATGAGCTATACAATATTTTAATATCATCATTCATATAAAATAAAAAAATTAAAAATAATTATGTAAGAGGATCACGTAAAAAAATTCAGAGTAAGTTATATAACATTTTTATGTATTCATTCATATAAAATAAAAAATTTAAAAATAATTATTTAAAAGAATCATGTAAAAAAATTAAAAAAAAGAATCAAAACATATATCTTATATTTTACCATAGGGTTAGCTAAACGAAAAGCCTATATTAAATTTGAGCAATATAATGTTGTTAATTAGATATTGTTTGATATAAACATGTATTTTATTAAAAATATATATAATAACCGATAATTAAAATAATAATATGGTAGTTTTTTGAATTTTAGATGATTAATTTTTACCATATATTCATCATTTATAATTTGTTAATGAGATAGAGAGATCACCCAAAACAAAAAGACAAAAAACTTTTTCAAATTGAGAATTTGACAAAAAAAAAAAAAAAGATAAAATTACACATAATTAAAATTAAATGATCAAAACAAAGTAAAGATCATAAAACAATGATAAAAAAAAATTCACCAAAAGCAAAAAAAAAAAAAAAAAAACAAAGAAAACTTATAAACGATAAGACTGTGAGCAGTTTTACTAAAACTCAAGAAAAAAATATTTATTATAGGAAAAAAATCAAATATGATAAAATTTTAATATTTATTATAGGGACAACAAATCAAATATAATAAAATTTAAATGAATAAAATAATAAAATTTTACCAAATAGGAACTAAATTAAAAATAAAATTCGCTAAAAGCCAAAAGAGGGGCTTAAAAAATACAGGAAGAAAAAAAATGATTTATTGTAGGAATAAAAATTAAATATAATAAAATTTTAATGTCAAAATAAAAAAGTTACAAAATAGGAAATAAAATAAAATTTTAATATTTATTATAGGGAAAAAATGAAATATAATAAAATTTTAATAACCATGATAAAAAAAATAACAAAATAAGAATTAAAATAAAAATAAAATTCACTAAAAGCCGGTAGAAGAGCTTAAAAAATGCAGCAAGAGGAAAAAAACTGATTTATTATAATAAAATTTTAATGATTAAAATTAAAAAAAAAGTTACAAAATATAATGACTAAAATGTAAAGTTAATTTAAAGCCAAAAGAGCGGCTTAAAGCATCAAGAGAAAGAAAGAGAAAAGAAAAAAATTAGCCTGGGCTATAGGCAAGGCAAGGGAAATAAAATAAAAAACCTATAATACTTTAGCGTTTTGTTTTAGTTTTTCTTGTAATAACGCAATATATTTTTTTATTGCATAATAACTAAATAAATTAGAATTATTAGGAATTGAATTACTTCACTGAAAAATTATTGAATACATAAACTACTAGACAATGCTTATTGGAAAGGAAATAAGGATTGAATTTACATTCAGAATGTCACATATTTGTATTTATTAGCAAGTAAAGTTGCATATAGTTAGTGGAAAAAAAAATTGTAAGTGGTGCAAACCTATTGTAAGGAAAAGGAAGCCAAAAACTTCCTTCCCGTAAAGAATTTGACATGCAATTATCGTATACATATCATAGTTTTTTTTTTTTTTTTTTGGGTTAAAAGTCTAGTATGTTGCTCTATTATTTCAAATGTCTTAATCGTGTTCTTATTTTAATTTTTTCAATTATCGTGTCTCTCTATTTTTAATTGTGTCCGCATTTAATCCCTCAAATCACTTTTTCGAGACAATAGAAACAACTTTTGACAATTTTTATTTTTTTATTTTTATTTTAATTTTCTGAAAAAATGATCTGAATGATAAAATGCGAGACGCAATTAAAATATAAAGAGACACGATAATTGAAAATTTTAATAGATGAACACGATCGAGACATTTGAAACAGTAGAGGGACATATTAAACCTTTAACTCTCTTTTTTAATAATTGTTTATTTGAATTTTTTTCAAAATTCGTTTAATAGTTTAATCTTTTAAATTGAAATAATTATTTGATAATAAATTGATAAATAAATATATTTCTTAAATCCTTTTTTATAATTCAAATGTTTTAAGCAACATAACGAGAAAAATAATTTCTCACGAATTCACCTATCCAAATACCAATGATCTGTTTAATATCTAATTACAAAAGAACTTAATTTCAATATGAAAAAATTAAGTGGCAAATATTTTTACCATTTTATTTGTATTCCACACATAACTTTTAGCCCTCAAATGGGCTGGACCAAAATCAAGTTAATGGGCCTGTGAACTTGAGCAGTATCTGGACAAGGGACCTCATGGCTCATGGTCATCCATAAGGAGCACCAGAGGCTTTTCTAGCCAAACGTGAGATCAGAGATGGCTTTCAGCAACTTTGATTGGAACAAACCTCCCACTTCATCTGGACCTTTCTAGCCTCAAAAGAATCTAAACCTAATTTTGCGAATGATTGTACCATATGTGTACATATATATTATATATTATATAGTTAATTAGGTATTTTTTTTAATTAATTTTTACGTCAAATGAGTCTAAATCTGTCTTTTTTTGGATTAGATAAATGTTAAATTACGTCTAATATTTGATCAACCTGATCTATCTTGCAATCTATGACTTTAGATAGATTTTTCTTTCCTTCACTTTGACTATCCTTTCATAAATGATTTTTTAGTATAATATTTGCTAAATTGTTAAAATCTAGTACGTGTGGAAATATTTTATAATGTTGTGGATCTTTAAGCGGAGTAATTTTATAATACATCAAGAGTAACTAGTAACATGTACGGTAGTTAATTCATGGACTCATTTTGAAAAAAGAGATAAACACAAAAAAGAGAAAGAGAAACATGAGAGAGAAAATAAAAAAATTTGAATAGACGTAGAAATCTTCTTATCACTTTTTGTGGGTATGAATGTAATTTTACTATTTTATGTGTGTCTATCTCTCTCTTCAAAGTGGGCTTATGAAGTAACTATTGTACATGCCACTAGTTACTCTTGATGTATTATAAAATTTATCCTTTAAACGCATTTGGAAAAAAAAAATTGAAATAGACACTTACATGTGTATAATATATGCATTTTTGTTTTTGTTTTAAATTTCATCAATTTATATATGGTCGGTTCATCTAAAATTTAATGATAATTAGAAAACGATTTGATTTTATAAAAACAATTTCAAAAAATAGTTCTCTATGAAAAAAATACTATTAGATTAATTTTCACATATGAAAACCAAATCCTTTCTCAATATACATGCAATCCATACCAATACCCAAAATCCTAAATAAACAATCATGATTATGAAAAATATAGGAAGACTCTATTTGATAATGGAAAGCATTAGAATTTAAATACAAAAGAAGCTTCATGAGATAATTTTTTAGGAAAAACCTCAATTCAGTCTCAAACCTATACATTTATTCTCATTTGAATTTTAACCCTATAAATTTCATCAATTAGGTTTTGAGCGTTAAAAAAATAATAATCTAATCATGTCTTTTTGTTAATGCTTATCAATATTTTTATCAAATTATCAATGTCATTTTAGTACATAAATATGCATATTAGACCGAAAATACTAATAATTTATTAACCCTTTCATCTATTTTTTTTAAATCGCCACCATTTTAACATATAAAATAACCAAATTAGACCTAAACTATTAAAAAATTGGCAAAAGAACACAATTAAAATTAAGAAAATTTATAGGTTTGTAATATAATTGAAATTGTATATTTAGGTTTGGGACTGATTACACTCTTTTAAATATTTTTACGTATGCATTAAGTATTGATGGTTTGTCTAAGACTTGACTAAAGACAATTCTACATTTATCTAAAAATGGTTAAAAATGACGTGGCAGTTGTGGGTGAGATCCCTACGAGAAGCAATCCAAGGTACAAACACACAATCACGCCTCCATCCAACACTATATATTTCCTGCAGCTGATTCTCCTCTCCTCCAGATTCTTCTCTTTCAAGCCTTTTGTTTTCGGAAATTAATCAGATAGGAACACAACACATTTCCAATTCTACCCTTCAAAATCCCAACTTAAAAACCCCAAATTCAAAACCCAAATCAAATTGCAGGGTTTTTCTTTGTCCAATGGGTCAATTGAAAATGGAGGACTTGCCCCTTCCTTCTATCTTCGATCAAGCTTCGAAAATCCATCTGAAAGCAACAGACTCTGGTTCTAATGATCAGGTACACCATTTTCTCATTAGGGTTTTCATTAAAGTTTGTATCTTGTTTTTTAATTGCGGTTTGATTTGATTCTAGGGTTTTTATTGACTTGATTTGATTTTTTGATAGGAATTGGTGAATAAGGGAATTGAAGCACTGGAGAAATGTGAGGAAATGATAAGTAAACTGGGCTTGTTTTCGTCGAACGAGACTAAAGAGGATATCAGCACTGCCAATCTCAAGTATATTCTGGTAATGTTTAAATTTGTTTATTTCCTTTTTTTTTTTTATCAGTTTGAAACTTTAGAGGGTTTTAATTGATGGGTTGGTTAAAAAATGGAAAAAGTTGGTTTTTTTTTTTCATGGGTATTTTTTATTCTTAATTTTGGAGGAACTAAACGTGGGAAGTAAACCATATTGGTGAGGTTTTTAGAATCAAAAGGGGACTGTTGATATATCATGTTATGTATTTGGTTTCTTAGGTTGAAGAGTAAGAGGGCTATATGATTTTTTTTTTTTTGAACTCACACTCCCAGCTTCTAGTAGAATTAGTCTATTAGGATTTGAAGCTGTGACCTCATGTTGCAGGAGACCACTACCACTGGGCTACAAGCTCTTTGGTGAGCGCTATATGATTAATGGTGGGTAAATTTTGACACTTGAGGAAGGCAAGGGAACAGTATTGTATTAGTTGTCGCTGGGATGGTTTATTTTTTATTTATTTATTTATTTATTATTATTTTTTTTTGTGCATGATGATTGTTATGGCTGTTACTGTGTGAATTAGATTGGGAACATTGAAAATTTGGAAGGGTTGTTGGAAATGTAAGCTAGCTATACAGAACTCTGAAAAAAGGTGGTAACTTCCAATATTGATGATTTTTATGTTTATATATAGGGTGAGTGTGGTGAAATAAGAAGGTCTTGAAATGATCCTCAGAGTATGAGTTTTTAATGTGGATTTTGCTGGTTAATTTCCATTTTGGTTTGTTACCAACGTAGTGTCAAATGTAGACTTTATAGCTTGAGGGTTTCTTTTGTTCATTTTATTGACAATGATGGAAATGGTTTACTGGGATCAAATTGGAAATGTACTTGTAAATAGCTTGCTGTGTAACTGTTGAATTTATGAAATTTGTAAACTTGCTAGTTTTGTATCAGAATGAATTTAGTAAGAAATTGATTTCTAACTTGATAGCTTCTCACAATTGCAGGTGCCATTTTATCTGGCAGAGCTGACTGAAAAATTAGCTCAGGGTGATAGGATACAAATTTTAAAGGCTTCCCAGGCAAAGTTAAAGGTGACTGTTGTTCATTATCTGAAGTGTATAGTTCTGAGCTTGTTTGCAAACATAGCAGCTGCCAGCAGAGCTTTTGGGCACATATTTTCCTTACTACTGGTGGTTTTTGCATATTTAGTGGTTTTGTAATATCTGTTGATATTTATGAAAGCAACTTGTACTAGGAATTCCTCTCATTTTGTGAGGCAATGGAACTTGTACCAGAGGAGGAGTTGCAAACATTTTCTCAAGGTGCTCCAAATGCTTCAGTAGATCGAAGGGCTCTAAAGGTAGCTTCAATTCTTTGTCAATACTTTTTCACTTACAAAATTACTATGCTACATCATTATTTTGTTGACCTTACTGTGCAACATGGGGCTTTTTTATCACACGTACTCACAACCTCTTCGTGTGCCTCTATAAAGATTGCCAGATACAGACGCCAAAGAGCTGCTGAAGCAAAGCTGGAGGAAATTAAGGAGCGGAAAGAGCGGCGTGGTCGTTCAACTAAAGCTGCAGCAGTATCAACTCCTGTTGAGGCCGGGGAGGAAGACATGCTGGATGATGATGGAGAAGAAGAGCGGGAGGTTAGTTGTTATCTATTCTCTTACAGGATAAGCTGTGAAGATGACCTGAAGTCCTTTAGCACAGTAGCTTTAATTTTTGTAATCAATTTTTAGCTTTTCCCACTTCAGGTTTTGAGTGGCTGAACACATAAGGTTTGATTCCATATAGTTGATGGGAGGAGTGTGACTGAATTAAGGAGTCTTAAAACATTATTGTTTTAGTACATTGCCTCACTTGTAGCTGCGCTTTTGAGCTGTTTAATAGTATTTCCTATCAATCCCCTGGGCCAACTTGGGCATAGCCTATCTATTAGAAGTTCCAAATATTTGTAACTTTTCTTTAAGTTATTAACAGTATAATTAACTCATTGTTTTTATGCTTGAGGATTGATTCCATATATTTGATAGGATGGGTGTGACTGAATATCGAGCCTTGAAAATGAATTGTTTCATCATTACCTCATCTGTAGCTGCTTTTTCTAAACTGTTCAATTGAACCAATTTCCTATCACTCAATAGGGTAATTTTGACGGTGGCCTAACAATTAGAAGTTTGAAGATTTTCCTAAATGTATTTAGGAAATTAACAATATACTTAACTCATTAGTTTTATGCTTCTGTGGACAATTGGTTTGACGGACCTGTAACTAGAAATAATGACTTTATCGTTTCTCATAGTTGTGCCTCATTGCTTGTGATGTTATACTAAGTCATAGCTTGTTTGAGCCTGCAAGTCCTATGCAAGTGTTTTTGTATGAATTTAAAAATGTAGTTTTGCATATACAGTGTAGTCTTTAACAGTCCAGTAGATCCAACTTTGCATCAATGAATTTAACTATATTTATGGTTATCCTCAGCTCTAAAGAATAAGAATAATGCTGGAGGTAGCTACCAATATTCTTATAGTTTTTGTTACCAACCAATGCTGCTTTATTAGTTATTGCATTTCAAAATCATAGAAATGTTATTAAATGTGACTAGTCAGATTACTGTGATTTGGAAAAGCTTTCCCGAATTATAATTCCCACGTGAGTGTGTTATTCCTAGCATTGCTCAAAGAATAAGATGTAGAGCCTGGTTTTTTATTTTCATTATTGTACACTTTTGCTTCATGCTGATGCAACTTTCGATAACAATCAAGCTACCCACAAATTACTTCTTCCCATTTGGCCATATTCTTAGTTTGGCTTCTAGTTGTTCATTTTGTTCTTTTTTCAAAATTGTATGGTAGATGCTAAAGATTTGACATGGTTTATGGCAGTTGATAGGTTGTATTATGTTCATTAAGAGTTCTACACACGTGTGTGCTCCCATGCTCACACACATATAAAAGCAGCTATACATACAATTTATAGGCTTTTTTTTTTTTTTTTTTTTGGTGCAAAGGTGAGGGTTGCTGAAATCACAGTATTCTTTTTGTGCAGGCTTGGATTGCTACCATTTCTTTGGGAATCTGTAAGGTTTGTCCTTTATAGAGTATTCTCTCTCATGTTCTAATTGTCTATCATATTCATCCTTACACTGGTGTATGCCACTCTACAGGCAATTGATCTGCTGGAAATGCTGAAGAAGGAGGAAGAAATGCTTTCAGCAGTAAAGGAAAGACAACTAAAGGTATTAGCACACTTAAATCTGAAGTGGCAGAGTTTTTTGTAGTTGTGCTTTTTTGGAGATCTATATGCTGTATCTCTGTCCTGTGAATTTTCGTTTTTGTAAAATAGCTGTGATGGGACATATTTACCAGTAATTATTTTCCTAGCGAAGAGATCATCCGTCAGAGGATATTTTTATTTTTCATAAACACTGGAAGAAGACTGTCAGATTTACAGTTCTAGTGATTATTGTAGAGATTATTCTATGGAAAAGTAGTATAGTGCTAAAGATTTGAACCATGCCATCAATAGGTTGCATTTGTTCCATTCTTTTGCATCATCAGGTGGCCATGATTCTTTACTTCTCTATCATCAAATATCAAGGTTTTTCTGACATGAAAGTTAGTATTCCTAATGGCGTTATATTGTGTAATTAATCGTAGTCATGGCTAGCAGCATTGTATGATTCGGTATTTATGCCTACTTCATCCAGCTGCCTGCAATAATGAGTTTATTGCATAAACATGGATAGTCATTATCTTTTTGACTCATATTTCAGGAAGGGGACAAAGGTTTTTCCCAGACTGTTCTTGATGAACGTGCCAAGAAAGCCGAAGATTGGCATCGTGGTGCTGCTGTAAAAGCAAGGTATACTCAACCTGCACAGCCTATCACATGTGCTACTTTTGCTCAAGATGTTCTGGAAGGGAGAGCAAAGGTTTCACAAGCACATGATCACAAGCACCTGCCAATGACATTCGGACCAGCAAGTATTGTGGGTGGAAGCCTAACAAGTGAAAGGGAAAGGATGAAAGCACAGGTCTTCCAACCTGGCCATAGGTATGTTTCTATGCGGTGACTATTAACATTTTCTTTCATTTTTGCCTCTTAGGAATGGGGGAGGGACAATTCTAACATTGATCCCCTCCTTTCTAATGAATGAGATGATATTTGCTTAAATATTTTGTATCAAATGGAAATAGTTTGGGCTCTTTCACTTTTTTAAGCATCTTATTCAGATGTGCTAATTTGAATATTTTGTGGAAGGTTGCCAACCATGAGTATAGAAGAAGCTGGGTTAAAAGAGATGGAGATTATGAATAAATGGCAAGAGAGAAATGTTAAACTCATGGAAGAAGCCAACTCTGCATGGTACAAGGACAATCCGAAATTTAAACCAAGTGAAGAAGAAGAAGATGAAGATGACGATGCTGCTGTAGAGAAGGCAAGGGCGTTTGATGACTGGAAAGATGATCATCCTCGGGGTGCTGGCAATACAAAGCTCACCCCTTGTGGTTAAATTTGGCTGGTGGTTTCCGTATCGGTGATGTATTCTGTTTAACATATAGCTAAAACTCATCTTTTGCACCTCAGATATTGCCCTTTCAAATTTGGATCACTGTTTTTTGTTACGGTGTTCTTTTGAACAAGTTACACTATGTATTATATTTATCTCCACAAAATGAGAACAACTTCTGTTCACGTAGTTTCTACCAACTTTGTTGTTCAAACTTCAAAATGGCTTTCTTTAGCTTGTATCTTTTGTGACTTGCTTTTTTCTTTTCTTGGTGAAAATTCTTTGAGAGTTATTACCCTTTCCAGGGTGGACTGTATATCTCTCAAATTCATGTGAGATCCATTGAAAGATGCAACAGCATGAACACATAGTCCTCAAATGGCGAATCATTTGTCTTGTTAAAGGTTCCAAGTTTTGCCAACTTCTAGTTAGCTTGATTATCAACTTCACCAATTAGGTTTTATGTCAGCAATGTGTCATGCCAAAAAAGTGTCAAAAATACCCAAAAGAATGTGCTCCAAGTAGAGATTTATGACAAAGATCCAATTTTCATGCATCCTCCATGTTATTTTTTCCCTCCTTTGATACGAGGTTTTAATCAACTTGTACCCCTCAAGAAATCCTAAGTTCTCTTGGAACTTCAACCATTTTACGAAAATGATGATGCGAAAGTGTTGGTTTTGAACTATTGAATGCTACGAATTCTCTTTGCATTTTTTGTTAAGCTAAGATCTTGGCATCATAATTGCGAGATAAATTTAGTGAACACAGCCCTTTTTCCCCAAAGAAAACATGATAAACATGAACTTCCCCAAACAAATGCACTTGCAAACTAGAAGCTGGAATGCCTATATTAGGAAGTACAACTAAGCAAACTCAAAACAAAAAATCCTCTGATGGACTGGCTAAGCAAGCTATTATTAGCTGTTGTATGTATGACTGTCAATGTATCAAATTGAATTTTATGAATTCAAATCGAGTTTTGAAAATGTAAAATTAAATCCGGATCCTAACGAATTCAAATTGAATTCGGAGCTTTATTAGACTTATCATTTGATTTTTAAAAAAAATTTATACTTACTACATTTCATATATAATAAAATATATATTTTTAATATTTTTCAAAATATTATATTTACTATAAAAATATTATTTTAATTTTGTGTCGAGGTTATCATATCGTATTCGGATGGTTTAATGACGTTTTTAACTTTTAGAGGTATACAATGACATGAAAATAGTTAATTGCGTGTTGAAAATGATTTGGTTAACTTGCGTGACTAATTTGGCCATAATGCTTTTCTTAAGGAATTAATGATGTTTAAGATTCAATTAATGTTTTATATCTTCTTTACTAATCTAGAACACGTAATTGATTGATTATTTATGTTACATGTTTTTTGGATGATAAATGAGCATGCTTTAGTTTAATTAGTACGTGTTATGTTTGAAACATTGTTTACATGTACTTTAATATATTAAACATTTTTTATTAAGGAAATGGTAAAGGAATGCATTTCACTCAAATGCATTTACTTGTCATGGAAGCAGAAAGAACTCTCTTAAATGAAACAGAAAGAAGGTTGGCATAGCTTTACAAGCATGAAAGGGTCAACAATACAGGTACTGGGAGGAGACTATCTCACTGACTATGACATGGGCAAGAGAGATCTAAGATCCCACTATCATGAATTTTAATCCAAGAATTCTACTTAGAAGCATCCCTGTCATAATCATTCAATGCATGGGTTTAGCAAAAGGATGCATTCAAGTCACTTTCTTTTATCTACATCTGCAACAGTGTCGAGCATTTCCGCCAGACAAGAAGCAATCATGGACAATTAATAATTAATGTAGTTCAATGATCTTGCATGCTTCCGTGTTATTGAAACGGATGCCTTAGTAGACTGATCGATCGGACAGATGAAACGTTGTCCGAAATGCAAAAACTCTGTGACAATAACAGAACTGCAAATTGCCTTGTTTCTGAACAGAACAGCAGAAAAGGCTGGTTCTCGGCAAGAAGTCATTTGTCAGAGCAATTACAAGTTCGTCTTTGTCACAACGTGAGGCCTAGCAATGACCAAGATTTTGTTGCTAGTTGCTAAATTAATGGCTGAAAACCAGTACCAGAACCAGAATGCAGAAAATAAATTATCAAGAAATAAGGATAAGAACAACTTTAATTCCTGGCCTCTGAATATGCCCTAGTCTTTTTCAATTACTTTACAAGGGCACTGCAAAAGCTTAAATTGTCTGATGTCAACTTCAACAAGACGTTCATCTCCCATTGCCCTAAAATTGAATAGGAAGCTGCCAAAGTAGCAGCTGGTAACTGTCATCAGATTTCAAATGCAGAACCCAGCTTCTTATCGTGAAATACACTTTTTGTCAACTTTAAACATCGATCTCTTTGTACGATAAAAAGTTTCACAACGCTAGTTAATGAACTTCTTTAATATATACTTTCGAGGATTAGTTTTTTACACTAATAGATGGACTACTTGCATTAGGCATAGAAGATAAACATCCATACCTACATGGGAGGAGATTACAAAAACCAGGGGATGAGGCTCAGGCCTGTTTGTCCAATGTAACGTCAAAGAAACTCTTTGAAAAGCAAAAACATCACTCACAAACTTAGAACTAGCCTGTTCTGTCATTTTGCAGCAAGTAGAGGATAATCGTCCATAAATAACATGTAATTGGTAATCTGACATATATAAGAAAATAATAGAAAACTTGGCAATGTAACAAGAACGATGAAAGACAGAACAAGAAAATATATTGCAGCCTGAACCAAGAAGTTCCAGTGAAACACAGACATTCTGAAAAAAACAACTTCTGCTCGTGCAACCAGAGAGCAACAGAACATCAGCAGAATCATTGACAACTGAACAAGAAGGGAACAAGACAACATCAGAAAAAGCCTGCACAATTTATATCTGTAGAATGTACATATACACACCCGGCCGCGTTACAAGAAGATGTGCATATGAAACATTGGAGCTATGTCATTTCTCCAGAATTGATAGCACAAAGAGTTGAAAAATTTTACCAATAGAAGCCATGACAGGACTTGCAAACCAGTCAATAATAATTATTCCTAGAATCCAATTGTATCTTCTTCTCTGTCTTGATGTAGAAACCTCAACCAGCTTCAATGTTAATAACCAATGTACAAGCAGAATAACCCCAATACAATAGCATATCAATAGGATCCCCAATTGGATTTGAATAACTCCAATTCAACCATCAATGCACTTAAAGCCCCTGCAAACCCACAACCAAACCCCAAACAAAACAGCACAAACAATCAAATCCAATATCAAAACCACCCAAACATGCTTCTTCCAAATCTGTTTAGCCTTTTGCTTACCATCCCCCAGATAAAACCCATTACTCTTTTGCATCATCGAAACCGAAAACTCCCTACTTCCATTCTCACCAGCACCATTCACCTTATTATTATCCAAATCACCACCATGATGATCTCCATTAGCCTCTCCCGATGATCTCTTCTTCTTCTTCATCATCAAAACTTTACTTGGCTTTGGAAGCAAAGGTTTAATCACAGCACCCTTCCCTTTCGTTGAATCCAAGCTTGGATTCCTACTATCGTTTGATGATTCCTCCGTTAAAGCATTCACCAAGTCAGCATCCAATGCTAATATATCTCTAAACATAAACCGCAATTCACCTTGGAAACAGAAAGAACCCATCTTTTCACCATCTTTGACCATCTTAGACACCAAAAACTCCCCAAAACCATCCTTCACACGGTTCAAAAACCATAAAGACTCAGACTTATGGAGATCCTCATCAAAAATAGCAAAATAGGCAAAAGGGTCATCAATTAAAAAAGAGTAAGTCTTGTTGCCGATTGTATGAGAAAACATGGAATGGTTAGGTGGGGTTTTCTCTATGCATCTTTGACCAATGATTTCAATTCCAGATTCTTTTGATGATGAGAATTCAGCAAGAACTGTAGGTCCTTTAGCAATGCAAGCATAGAAAACATGATTTGGATTGGAAATCATTGATGGGTTTTCGGTTTCTTGATCTTGAGCAAAGCAAAGGAAGGATCTTTTTAAGAGGAAAGAATTGAGTTCAAGAAACAAGAGGAATTTTGTATTGCAAAGTTGGAAACTTTTTATTTTGTTTCTCTCCCTAGAAAATTCTCTCCATCTCTATCTCTAACTCTCCTCTCTCGCTTTAGAAAGCTTGGATTTTTGCTACTTTGTTTGATTGGGTAGTTTTTTCCTTCTATCTCTAGGGTTTGGAAATGGAGGAGAAAGGAAAAGAATTGGAATCATTGATAGGGTTGGAGAAGAAACAGAATAACTGCTGTCTTTGTTAAACTTTCCCCGTCTAAATATTTAATTACATAAATGCCCTTTCAACTATTTTTTTGATCGTATAAATCAATTTTGTGACTTGTCCCTATCATTTCCCTCAGGTTTGACTTCATATATATATAATTCCAATGTCTTTTTTTATGAGCAAATTATAAATTAGTTTCTCTATTTTTACAATACAAATTAAATAATCTCTTTTAGTTTTAAAAATTAGTTAATTAATCATCTAATTATATCATGTTTGAATAATATTAATTTGTTACAAAAAAAATATATCTTTTTTGGCTCATCAGACTTTTCATGATAAGTATTTTTTTTTACCTTTTCTATTTAAAAAAAAATTAAAATGATTAATTAATTAGTTTTTAAAATTAGAAGAATTGAAAAACTAGAAGGATTAATTTATAATTTACTTCTTCTTTTTTATATTATGTATAGTAGCCACCAAATGGCCAGATGGACCAAACTAGGGTAGGCTCATGTCTGTTGATGGGAATTTTATTTCCCTTTTGGATTCTTCTGTGGAAGACTCCAATCTGCTTGGAAAAAAAATTAAATAAATAAATAAATAAATAAACGAGGAAGAAGAGTAAAGTTCCTTTTATACGTTTGATTGGATTTTGGAATGATCATTTTATAACTTCTTTGCAGGTAAAGAAAAAAAAAAAAAAAGGAAAATAATCGCACTTGACTAAAATTAGGGTTTTTTTTTTTTTTGAAGTTTAAGTTTTTATCGATTCTAACCTGTAAATATAATTTTTCAACAACTAAAATATGCCAAAACGTATAAATATTTTAGTTTTTTTTTTTTTTGTAAATACTAAGAAATAAGTAATTAAAGAATAATTTAAAATAAAAAAAAGTTTTTTTTTGATGAAAAAGAAAGCATTTATAAGATTTGAAATATTTTTAGTTATTGAAAAAATTAAAAAGTCAACCACATGTAAGTCACGTATACTTCTACCATTAAAATCGATATAAATCTAACAAAATGACTCAATATCAAATGAAAAAAATTAAAAGAATGTTTAATACAAAATTAAAAAATTAATTTTCAAATAATTTAAAATTTAGAAAAGATTTCAACCATTAAATAGAAAAAAATAAAAAATAAATATTATGGAAAGATTGATAAAAAAAATATTTTTAAAAATAAATTAATATTAAATTAAATGGGATTAGCACGGTTAAATAATTAAATAATTAATTTTTAAAACAATCATTTCATGAAACTAGAAGGACTAATTTATAATTTACTCAATCACTGTGGGGATGCTCTATTCCTTTGGAGAACATGACAGATTGGCTAGGTAGGTAGGAAGTGTTTCTGCAGTGACCTATCTGTCATATTCTATAAATGACTTTAACTTTTTTATCGCATAAATGCCCTTTAAATTCATTTGATATTAATTTGGTGCCTAAGATGTTTCATGTTAGTCCCCTTTTTTTGTCAGCCTTTCTGCCTTTTTTTTTTCATAAATTTCCCTCGTCTCAATTACTGTATTGAAAGGGACATTTAATTATTTTTCATATGCAACCAAAAAAATTAAGGAAGAAAAAGCAAAAGATAATATAGTTAATTTAGGTCATTTTTCTAGGGAAAATTAAAAGTTTGACGGATTAGATATTTGTACTCTATTTTTTGGTAGATAATAGAAAGAAGGTAAAAGTACAACTCCATATGGTAAATTATAAATCAGTCCCTCTAGTTTTACGAAACAAAATAATTAATTCTGTTTATTTTAAAAAATAATTATTTAGTTTTTATATGTTTAAATTTTTTGTAACGTAATCCTCTTCTTCTTTTTTTTTAATTTATTTTGATTTTATAAAAAATTAAAAATAAATAAATAACAAGTAAAAATATGAAAAGATTTATGAAATGATAATATTTAGAATTAATATTAAGTAAGCTTGATTTAACCGATAGACTAAGTAATTTATTTTTAAAACAAAAAGGAATAATTAATTTGTTTCTCAAAAATAAAGGGACTGATTTATAATTTTCTCCCATCTATGCTCATGGTATAAAGGGAAAAAAAAACAAAAAACAAAGCAATTATACCAAAAAATCTTACCATAACATTTAATATAATAATTTTATAAATCATTTATAGAAAAAAAAATCTAATTTTAAGATTTGATGTTTATAGCATATCGATAAATTAAACTCTGTAAATAATTTTGTAAATTCAACTCCATATTCGTTATATTTAGATAATTCGATCCATTGAACATAAATTTTTAACATAAATCCATTTGTTATGTAAAAATTCGCTAAGATGAAAATATTAGCTATGTAACACCCGATTTTGATTTTCTAGGAAATCACATCATCAGCATAAGAATCTCTCATAAACCCTCCCTCAAATTACAGATTTGGAACAACATTGGAATCATTCTTAATGTCTGAGAATGTAAGAAGAAATCATGAAATAAGAAATCTTTTTTCCTTTATAAAATGGTATGGGCAAGACTCGAACTCAAGTATGCTCTTCTCTCTCGTGTAAAGCATGATCAAAAGAAAAAGAAAAGAACGAATGATGCTAGACTAACAACCATTGTAATATATTTTAAGATTCCTAAAGATGACATCCAAAATTTTCCAGATTATTTAATTGCCTATCTTGGTAATCATGCCTATACAGTACACCTTTTTTGATCGAAGGGCTGAAAATGTTGCTTCCTTTGCAATGGTTTCCTATTTCCTAAGAGAGATCCATGCAAAACACAAGGCAACATAGGTGCTAACTTGTCTTGTTACAATATTTCTATTTTTATTAATTCGAAAACTGACTGCCCTTCACGGTTATGAACCGACTCCAAACCCGAAAATTTCAAACCTCCCATGCTCTTAAAACCGAATACCCGAAAATTCCAACCTAAAACCGAATAAGCACAGCTAAGTCTTGCTACGATATTGGAGAACATGATGGATAGGTTTGGATCGTATCTGTCATTGCCTAGTCACGAACATAAACTCCCTTCGCAAGAGAATTGACTTGAATGAAAAAAACTCTAACCACTTAAATAAATAATCTCGAATTCGAATCCTTGTATAAATAAGAATCCTTGTATAAATAAAAAACAAGAACTTTCTAGAAAGTTATTTTCGTTTTATACGTTCTTCAGAACAACCAAGGATTAGCCTAGGTCTTTGGACTTGGGATTCCTTGGAGAATCCAAAAAAAAAATTGCCCTCTCCCAAGTTCCAAGGAGCAACTCAAAGTCAACTGATTAAACAATGCTTGTGAGAAAAGAAAGGAAAAAAACCCCAAAAACAACGAGCTTGCCTGTTTTATATTGCATTTGGTGAATCCAGACTGGAGGCAGCAAATGCCATGTGAAAGGATTCTTTTCTAATGGTTCTAGGAAACAGATAGCAGCACCTGAAACATTATTTATGCTTGATATAAGAGGTCATTTGGCAATAAAAAAACTATCTTTATCGGTTTCTGTTTTTATCAAAATGTACATTACAACAAACTGTGAGCTATTCAAAACCTAAACTTAACTGTTTGTCAGTGGGATGCATATGCAGAATAAAATGTGATAACTCTTAACAGAAAGAGTGACCAAAAAACAAATAGCCACACATAGCATGTGGAACAAAAAGAATTGGTTCCCAGACAAACCGGTTGATATGTTCTCCTTCGGTGAGTGCTGAGTTGATATCTTCACGAAAATGGTGTTTTTGTTTTCTTTTTCATCGTTGTCCTTTGATGTTCCTTTTCTTTACCCTCACTTAATATAAGGTGGATCAATGAAGGCCCACTCGAAAACCTGTTCATATTGAACAGCAGCATTTTCCCATGTATAGTCCTTAGCCATGCCTCTCTTCATTATTCCTTCCCAAGACGATTTATGATCTCGGTAAGTTCTGATAGCAACTCTTAATGCCTGTCAAGAATCGCCCGCAGATTTTAGACGAATGAACAATTAGAGAAAGAAAACTTTTGTCTCATCGTTCTGAATAGACAAAGTAACAAGAGGGTGCCATGAAATCAAATTTCCCACGCTTCTATTCCCAAAGAACATGATAATCACCACCTGTCTTAGACCAGAACTTGTTCATTGGATAACAGAAAACGAAGCATGAACGGTGAATTTTGACTCGGAAAAGTAACAGATCATTAAAGCACTGTTTTCATGTTGAACTCTTAGGGAAAAGAAACATCCAAATATAGATTGAAAAGCTAGGCATGTATGATATAATCAACTTCCAGATCAGAATAAAAAAAAAATCAAATTAACTTACCCCCAACATGCTTTCTTTCGATAGCGGAGAGAAAATCCACCTGTCAAAACATTCCATTTCATTACTATAACTTTCTGTAACTGAATCATTATCCAGGGAAATGAAGAATTAAATTAAAGTTGAAGAAGGCATTCTAACGAAACACAATTAATAATGCGAACAGGACGAGACTGGTAATAATGTCTCTCAGAAGTTTGTAAGGTTTTTGCGAGACTGATAGGATGATTTAATTTCCACCATAAGAGAAGAGCCTTCAAAGCTATAGCACATAACATTTTTTGTTCATTTAATTAGTTTCCTACTAAAAAACACAAGTTCACACCCTTCTAAAGTTTCCTAAAATTTCCACCCTTCTCCAAGGTTCATAAACACAAGCATGTGTACCATGTACGTACTTTATATGATTAACAAATTATGTTATTCTAAATTCATAGTCAATGCATAAGCATGGGAGAAAACATTAGTTATTCTATCCAAAACAGAAACAATTGAAAGACAGAGACTCAAGCAATGCATTTTTTAGTATGTATCATTAAATAGATAAAAATTCTGATCTCAAATTTTAACATTGTAAAGTTTAAAGAAAAAACGTAAAGGAACAGATTAAAAATAGTTTCATGGAAAGGAGATAAGATAATAGGTGAAAATTAGCACGCACACCCACACCTATTGGACTATCCCAACACCCAGTGGCAGCTGAAATTCAAGTGTGGCCCGAAAGAAACAAACTGGACCAAAAAAATGACTACAAATATGACAACCTCAGAAAAATCAGTACAATACTTATTAATCCAATTGAACACTGCTTAGGTTTTGAAATTCTAGAGCATACGTTGTAGAAATCAAGTCAATAGCCAGTTTTCAACTAATCTGACATGCTATTCAAAATGCAGCCTAAAATTTCTTAAAACCAAGAGCAATCATTTCTAGCTACAGATTCCAGGGATCAAGCATCAGAACTTGATTCAAAAAATTGTGATTCTGAATCCATGAATTACAGGATTTTTTTTCTAGGTTCTTTTTATTTTATCTGTGGTTAAAAACGTTATTCTGACTAATGATAATTGCAACTAAAAACTTTCAAGAAAAACATCCAGTGCAAGAACTTAAGGAAAAGCACACACATACCCTGTGCCTTCACCAAGACCTTCATGAGCATAAGGATCGAAACTCTGCACTGTATCCTGGTTTACACGAAGTAAGAGTTATTTGGTGCAAGTAGCCCACAAAAAGGACAACTGATTTTGAATTCTTTTTAAGGTTATCACTCACTCTAAGCCCTCCAGTGCCATGAACAACTGGTACAGTTCCATATCTCATTGCATACAATTGATTTAGCCCACAAGGCTCAAATCTCGAGGGCATCAACAGTATGTCGGCACTGTTTATTCCAAACTTGTATCAGTGTCATCAATATTTTCAGCAATATGGGAAACATGCATGAGAAAGAAGGATTACCCTGCTGTTATCTTGTGAGAAATTTGAATATTAAATCCAACCCAACCTCTAAACTTATCTTTGTAGGTTGACTCTGCCGCTCTCATCCACTCCTCATACAAAGGGTCCCCAGACCCAAGCATCACCTGATACATAGCGTACATCTTTAGTTGTCATAAAGGAAAATCCAATACTTAGCTAAAAACCCTGAAAAGGTTAGAGACACCACACTTCTGCAGCAGTTGAACTTGTTCATATTTGATGCTAAAAATACCTTCAAAACAAATTAACTATGTTATTGCACACCTCTAGTCAGGCTTCAGGAAGCATTTATTTCTCCCTTTAATTTAAACAAAGTTGTATCAATTTTGAAACCTAAAGGATCCAAGGACATGAGTAGACTTTGAAGGCAGTTTAGGTCTGAAATTCAAAGTAAATAAAATGCCCGCACAACTTTGAGTTTGAAATTAAATTTATGTAAGAAAAAAATGACAGCAGCCAGTAGAGAGATGGTAATGCTGCATTCAAGGGGATGGCAGAAAAATGGAATAAATGAAAAGCTGACATACGAATTGAACATCATCTTCCATAAGCTCTGGTGTTGCCCAGCGGATTAGATCAATGCCTTTTTGATAGTCTAGTCTCCCAATGAATCCAATCTACAAAATCCAACTCCAATCAGTAACAGTAGAGGTGCTTCTAATTTTGTTACAGAACTGTGCATAAGGAAAAGATATCATACCAACGGATAATCAGGCTTAATAGGAAGACCTAATTCCTTCTGTAAAGCAATCTTACACTGAACCTGCAACTTGAAAAGCTGCAAGTAAGGGAACAATGATGCAGAACAGCTGGTTACGGAAATGTGACTTCACTACCTTCCCAGAAAGATCATCCTCAGAGTAATTGGAAGCAATATGCTTGTCTGATGATGGGTTCCATTCAGAAATATCAATGCCATTCGTGATCCCTAATGAAAACAATATATGTTACTAAATTCAAGCACAAAACACACTACTGTGTGCCAAAATGTGTATTATTGACTGATACAGAACTTATTCACAACAAAAGTAAACCTGTGAATAATTTTTAGCAAATATACCATTCAAAACACTCCTTCGACTGCTTAACAGCTCATGCAGACCATATCCACCTTCAACAGTTGTTATTTCCCAAGCATAACCCTGCATTAAACAAACTAACATTGATATTTTAAAGTAACAATAGCAAGAGAAAATAGAGGAAACCTATCTGATGGAAATAAACAGAAGATGACCACGACTACCATAGAAGTGACCTCGATGTTCAATGATTTTCATCATTTAAAAGATTAGTTGTTTCAAAAGCAAAACCCATCAGACAAATTATTCTAACTACAAAATAACGACAAAGGATAAATTAACATCATAGACCTTGCTAACTGTGAGTATCCGATCAGCTGTGACAATTGCACCCTTTAGCACATTAACGGCTTCACCGGTGTCAAGAGCATGAGTCCTTGCCCATGTAGGGAACACCCATTCCAATGCCCCATACCACTCTGGAGGCAATCCCAAATTCTTGTAAGTTATTGCAGCTTCCACTCCCTATCATGTAGAAAAATTTGTCAAATTAGATTTAGAAACCTGCCTCCTCATTGTATAAAAGTTCATCATGTAGGAACCAAAGGGGCAGAATAACACAGCAAGCCATGTATCACTGTAAAACATCAAAACAAGTGCCCACCTGATGTGCAAGGTTATGTATAACGAGAATACTTCGTGCATCCTTATAAACTCCATGAGGATGATATTTGGAAGCCAAAAGTCTGAACACGTATAATGATCAGATCCAGTTAACTTTGCTTAATTTAAACAAACAGCACTCGCCATAAATGTTGAACAAATTTCACAGAGTCCTAGCAAAATGATCAAATAAAATAAAGCAGAGATTTCCCATCAGGAACATCTATAACTTGCAAGGGTTAGATTGGAGATATCCAAAGAAATGAGAGAATGGCAAGAGATAGTTTGCCAATTAATGATTGAACAGTATTCATTTTAAATATGGTAATAAACAGCAGGATCACTTACACCGGCACCAGACCAGCATGCCAATCATTAGCAAGGAACAGACATTTCTCTCCATAGGTGTACCCTCCAAGCAGAAGCACCAATGGTGCTTCACATGCTGCATGGCAAAGTAAAGTGAACCGAAACTGTAAAACGAAATAAGAAGAAAGCTTGTCATTGTTTGAGAATCCAAGGCCAACAAGACTATCAATATCCACCCTACAACTAGAGCAATTACCACAATACCTGATTATCACCAAAAGCACCATGGCTATCACCATATGGGTTTCCAGGTCTGTGGTATGAAGGATGGTCCACAAACACCTAAAATGAAGATGTGTAAAACTCGTCCTTATAACAGAGATTTTCCAATTCTTGTGCAGTTTAGAATTGAATGTAAGCAAGCCAGAAAAGGTTCCTCGTTTTAACACAATTTTCAGAGAAAGATATTTAATATTTATGTACAAATATAAAAAGCTCCACAAGTTTACAATTGAGAAGGAGCCAAAAAACCTTACCCAATCAACACCTTCCCTGTACTCATGGAAGAAAGCAACCTTTTGTTCCCCTCCAAAGCAATATACCTTTATTTGACAATCCAAATCAGTAGCACCAGCAAACTTCTCATCTGCCAGACCACCATGCAGGTATCTAGGAGAGACAACCATCACTCGATGTCCACGAGCAGCTAGAGATTTAGGCAAAGAACCACACACATCTCCTAATCCTCCAGTCTTTGAATATGGTTCTGCTTCAGCAGTAACAAAAACAATAGTGTAAGTTACTCTGGTTTGGACTTTCTCTTCTCGTTCAATGCCCTCAGCTTCTTCCGTTTCACCCGTAGTTGCATCTTTTTGAGACTCTAAAACCTCCCCATTACCTGCAATTCAAATTTTTAAACATTTTGCAATAAGCTATAGGACAGTTCTTCAGCATACAAAACTATAATTCAGAAAAGGAACTAGTTTAGGAAGACCAAGGTAGAGCATTTCACTTTCGAAGGCCCAAGGAATGGTATAATTTGAATTGAACTTTGGAACAAAATGGAAAAGAGAAAAAGGGAGCCCATATTGGACAGTTACTCATTATTAACAGAGAAATTAAAATAATTAAGAAATTTGGAGTTCCATCTCCATTTTTTTGTCCGAGTTCAATACAAAATAGCAAAAATCATGGACACCTTGAAGATACATTAGTGATAACCAAGTATAATGTTGAACTAATATTTCCTAATGAAATTGTGCATACTTGAGCACACACGCATGAGAATTTCAAATAACTGGAGAATTTTGACATGAGTCAGCCAATGGTAGAAAAGAAATTAAACCATAATTTTTGTAATTTCTGCCATTTATTCACAGACCAAACAATCCTAGGGTATTAATTTTAAAATAAAAAAATACAAATATAAAATCATCTTCTAGACCATGCTGGAAAACCACAAGAACCAGCTCACTTTCTACTTCACTCAATGCATGCTTCAGTTGCTAGATGTGCACATATAAATGTGAAAAAAATTTAATCACAAAAGGGGAACAAAAAGAAGCAAGTGCAATCAGTAAAAAAGATAATAGGATATGGAATAATTAATAACTCATTATAGTAATCAATAAAGGACACCGAAAGCAAAATAAAGAATTAGCCATTACCCCTCAAAATACATAAAGAGAGATAGCAAACAACATATCCAAAATTAAAAGTAATATTAAAAAAACATCAACACTAATCCCACAACCCAAAACACTCAAAACCATAAAAATTGAATTCTGACGAGTACTTTAAATAAATATTAATACCAGGATGATCAGGAATCAAGTTAAAACCAATAACAGAACCAGAAGCATCCCTTTCTGGACCTAAAATAAGACCACCACTACCACCCTTCTCTTCTTTCTCATTTTCAACAGCAAAGTTCCCATCTTTTGAATTACCAACCTCACTTCTCCCTGATCTTGCAATCACCAAGTTTCCATCTTTACACCTCTCCTTTACAAAACAGCCAAAGCCCAGTTGAGTTCTTGGCCTAAAACTAACATTAGTGGTTTCTAATCTTGTAAATGCTTGGAATGATGATACTCCTCCATTGCCAACAACGCAAAGAGAGTCCATCACAAAATGAAGACAAAGAGAGAAATAGACAGAGAGAGATCAGATTTTTAGGAGTGGAGGAGAGAGGGGGTCATGCAAGGTGGTTGAAAGCGGCAGTAAAATCTCTGGATAAAGTCATAAAGAGTCACGCTTTGACAGAAAAAAAGACCAAACACAACTCGCTCTCTCAACTCAGAAGTGTTAGATTTTTTAGACTTTGAGAGAGGGAGAGAGAGATACAGGTCCTAAAAAAGCGCCAAAGCCAAAAACGGATCCTTAGTTAAGGCATATTTATGTGGAGACTTTCAGATCTTGCCACGTTATCAATATCGACACGTGGCATGATAATAGTAAACAATTTTACACGTCAGAGCGGGACCCTGAGGGGTGGGGTTCCATAAGATGTGGCACCATGTTAGGCCTTACTTGAAGCTGGAGAAAATCTGATCTTGCCACGTAAGGGAAGATTAACGTGGCAGTATCTTAGTGGTGGGTTTCGGTTGGGATAGGATTTTTTTTTTTTTTTTTTTCGGGGGTTTAATGACAAAATGCTTTTTATCAGAACCATAGGTTCTGGCAAACTCTGTCCTATATTATTAATTTTTTCAATTTTGATCTTGAATTATCAAAATTTTGAACAAAAATCTCTTTAAAATTAAATTCAAATTTTGATATTTTTAAGTGACATTTTTCATAAAAACTAATTAAAATTCAATCTATTTTTATAAACAAATGCTTTTTTTTTTAATTTATAAGTATTTTTTCTACTTTGTTGGCGATAAAAATTAAATAAATTATATTTAAAAAAATTGAAATTACCTTAATTTTTATTAAAAACTCTAGCGAGATTATATGAACTCACATGGATAATTTTAATGTGATTCTTAAAATTAATTTATCTTAATCTTGATTTGATATTATACACTCGATTACGTAAATATTTCAAGAATCATATTAAGAATAAATAGATAGATTATTTGAGATGATTCCAAATTATTATTATTATTATTTCAATCTTGTTGATAGTTAATGTTTAAGAAAAAATAAAAAATGCTTCTTGACCTAAATTTTTTTTGAAAATTATTTTAGAAAGCAAATTGGATTTTTATTAGTATATATGAAAATTTTTAATCCAAAATATCAAAATTGAATTATTTTTAAAAGGATTTTTGGGCAAAACCAAACGAAAGGGCAATATTTATTAAAAAAAATAATGATTTAAGTTTAAAATTAAACAAGAACTCAATATGCCATAATCCAAATAATTCAGGTGAAAAAATTGTCATTAAACCATTTCTTTTTTGAGTTGTTTGGTTGTGAGGATTTTTTACTGGGACCCATTAACTTGTGGGTCCCAATGAAACGTAGCAATCATTGGAGATGTCAGACATTTGACGTCTGGAATTAACGAGTTTCCATAAGAGACAAATAAGAAACTGCAAAAACGCTCGTTTTGAAGGTACGAGGACCAAAACGACGTTGTTCAAATGCTTGCACAAATTCGGACGATGATCCTTTCCCGAGGCGGATGTGTTGTGGTCCTTATGGACTCTCCACGTGAAAAGCGAGAAAGCCCATTTAATTGTGTTGGGCCTATTAAAAAGGTCTAGCATTTATAGGACAAAACAACCAAGAAAAAGCTCAAATTAAAGCAGTACAAGCCCATTCCATTCAAGCTATGTCGGATAGAGGTTTGAGTGTTTTGCTTTAAAACAAGCTTAATAGCACAACCCATCCCTCTAATTCTCCAATCTTTTTTTATATTCTTAATTTTATTTTATTCTATCTTATTGTCAAAATTTCCTGGTCAAACATTATAATTATTCACATAATTTGCTTATAATTGATTTTTTATTTTCAAAATATTATCATAAGCCGATCAAATAAAAAGTTTTAATGTGCAAGTTACGTCACTAATTCTGATAGTTTAATTCAAAAAATTTTATAAAATGATAGATTGGACATTTAATATATATTCAAATATAAAATTGATTCAATTAGAGATATAATGATATATTAGAAAATTACTCTATTATATAATCATAGATTGAGTCATTAACTCTAGAAATGAGTTTTTTTTTCCCAAAGTAGGGTACTTTTTAATCTATTTTTCCAAAATAAGGTAGCTTAAATCTTATTTATAAAAAAGAGATAGATTTACCATGTAAGCATCCATGTCATATTTTTAATTAAGTATTACAATACTAATATTTAGTATAATAATTTAAAAAATTAAAAATATAAAAGAAAAAATTAATTTATGCTCTCTTTGTCTTTTTTTTGTTACCTTTACTCTAATTTTTTAAAGTTCAAATACTCTCTCAAATTCAAAATCACAATTATCAAAAAAGTTCTTTAGCATATGAATATCATCAACTAAGGTATTTTCTAAATTCTTTTGTTTTTATTTATTTAATTTTACTAAAATTTTCTCTTTTTTAAAAAAATAATAAATAAATAAATAATCCAAGGCATCCATAGGTGCTTAACATGAATGCAAGCACTGGTTTGCTAATCCCGCCACCCTCCCAATGCTATCTGCGTAGGTATATAAATGATTGGCTATGTACCCATATAAAAAGCTAGTAGCATCTTTCAGCAGAGTTACGGCTTGACAATTATATTTTTTTCTATTTAGCTTAATACATTTCATGCTTAAAATTTTCAGTGTCATAAGTATGATGCTTAGCTTAGCATAGAGAAGGGTTGGTACTTTTTCTATGGATCCTTTAATGTCTATCTTTTTAATGGAGTTGACCATGTTCCTGGACAATATAATGCTCCCACCACCCTTGAGTTCCGGATATAAGTCATTGAGATTCACAAATCAATGGTGTTAGACTCGCTTGAGGGAAAAGCTACCAAATTTCCAATATAGAATATAATCTTTATCTGTGTGAGTTAGTGCACTGTTTTGGGAAATCTAACTTATCATTAATTGCTACTTATATTACCTTACAACGCAGAAGCAAGGTGGGGCTGAATGAAAGCATTATATGTATGTTTAGATATTATGGAAAAGGGAATCAACCCAGCAACTTTTCAGAAACAAAACTTTTGATGGCAAATCTGTATCATTTTTATTTATTAAATGCATTTCAATTATCTTACAACGTGTGTTGTTCCTTAAATCAGATAATCACCGACATGCTCTATTCAGGCATGAACTACACATTGATAACTGACGATGTGCTTGTGGGCTCCCAACCTCAGTAACCTGGAGATGTAGAGCATCTGAGACATGAAGAGAATGTGGCCTACATTCTAAACTTGCAGCAGGACAAGGACATTGAATATTGGGGAATTGATTTGCAGTTCATAATAGATACAAAGGTGTAAACAACTTGGAATCTGTCACATGAGCAGGCCTGTAAGAAAGCCCTAATCATGTTAAATGAAACTTGTAGAAGACTCTAATTGCGAAAATGAGTTATAATTATATGTTTCAACCATTTTTCATGTGTTTCTGCCTGCGTTCTACTTATTACCAATAATTTCTCGGTTCTAACTGGATGAATGTGGAAATATAGTTTTTTCTTCAGGCAACAGACTTAGCCTCAAGTCAACGGTTTGGAAACGGCACAGCCATCAGAAAACAATAGCATTATTGAAAATTTTTGCCTCAAGCAGAGAAATAAGATCATTAATAAGCATGCATAACCCATCTTTCCCACCCTCCCTCTGCCACCACCACACCAAACTCAACCTTGCCCCTACACTCCCACGGTGCTTCCAGAATTTTTCTTTGCCCCTCTTCTGCTCTGCAAACAGGTAAAACCACAACCCTACTCGCCTCCGCAACCTCACCAAGCTTCAACCTCACAACTGTAACCGGAACCCCAACTCCTAATTCCTCTCCTTTCCTTTCTTTCCCTTCTCCCTCTCCTTCTAACGCCCTCAAAATCGCACTCTTCGCCTTTTCAGACTCTGCAGCCTCACTTTAGCTCCAACAACTACACGGTTCTGCTCAACCCCATATTGACCCAATTGCTTCACCAATATCTCAACCTTTTTTTCACATACATCAAGATTGTTTTTTCATTAGGAAATGATTCAATTCATTCTATGTATTTAGGTTAGGAAAGAAAAAATAATACAACAAGTTACTTATGGCATGTGTGTATAGTAAAAATTCATGCAATTCTGTTAATAAAATTATAATCTTCAATTCATGAAAAGGGTAAGATGGGTTTGCCATTAGAAAATCATGCATTGCATATATGTTAAAAAAAAAACGAATTTCTCTACAAAAAGCAAAAGTTGTATGAATTATGTTTTTCTTACAATTTTTATGATTTGAACCACTTCATTGGTGAACTTAATAGGTAATAAAACAATTATGATGAAAATAACTCTCAATTAAAGTACTTATGGCATGGGTTGATTTATGTGGAAGGAATTCATCAAGCAGTTTCTATTGATTTTTAGCTTAGAGATTAATATATATATATATATATATTCAATTGACTTTTTGTAACACCGTTGTTCTCATGTCTTTCATGTCACAAATATTTTTTTATTAATTTGTAACGAATTATGTGAGAAGTTTTCTTTTTTAAAGATTTTATATAAATATAAATTTATATATGAAATCAAAATAATTATCTTTCAAAAATTTACAATGATAGTAGAACATCTACGCTTTATATATATATATATATATATATATATATATATATATATATATATATTAAAGCGTAAATTCTTGTCACCAATTTTATTTGTGACTAATAAATTTATTTATGTTAGAGAAAAACCGTCACAAATCTACAACAAATGTAATGACGGTGTTATTAAGAGTAGATGAGACGTGGCAGTATCACAGAGGGGATATTTGTTTTTTTTTTTAAGGGGGAATGCATACAGACTTTATAGTGGGACCCTATAATTGTGGGTCCCGTTGAGATCTAAGGTGAAAAGTGAATTGCTTTAACATATAAGGAAAATTGGGCCTGCTAAAAGGGTTTACCAGTTGCTGGATAAAGCAATCAGAAAAGGCCCAAATGAAAGAAATGCAAGCCCATTCCATTTACTCAACCCAATGAAAGCTAGTTTGAATCGAGATGGAGTGTTGTGATTTAGTACAATAACTATTTTTTAAAAATAATTATAGGAAAATGGTCAATAAATTCATTATATTATCTTCATATTATTCAAATTATAATAAATAGAATTTTTTTTTTAAATAATGATTTGGTGAGTTAATTCATGTGAAAGGGGAGAATTATTTGAATTAAGAAATGGAAACATAAATATATTTTAATGCAAAGGGGAGATCCCTAGTTCTTCTAGCTTCCTCTTTGTAATTTCTCTCATTTGGATAATTCTTGTAAATACTATTTTCTTAATACAAATTCATAGATTTACAACCTTTCATCTCAATTGATGAAATCCACTTTTAATACTTGAAATTGTTCTAAAACTAATGTGTATTACATTGTTCAATTGACACCGATATTATGCTCTCTCAAAATGTTTCACATTTACCTTCTTTTTTATAAGGAAAAACCTTATTTTTCTATCCTACCAAATGCTTCTAAACAGAATATCAAGGGATGGCAAATCATGAATTTTATAATATAAAATAATTTTAAAATATGGCTAAATTTGAATAATGTCTAAATTAAAGAATAAATGGAAAATTAATAATTTAATTTCCAACCACTTACAGAATTTAAATTTCCTTTGTTGGAGTAAAATTAATTTACTCCAATATCTTAATATTTTTTTTTTTAATTCTATCAAGATTTTTTTTATTACAAATTAAAAATACTCAATTTATTCCATGTATGTAGATCAGGAAAGAAAAAAATATGGGAGACGTAGGTTATGTTGCACTGTATATAATAAAAATAAATACAATACATATGTTTTTGAAATAAGTATAATTATTTGACTCATGAAAAGGCTATGATGGCTTGTGTGATTCTTTTCCATCTTTGAATCTCTAAAACCTCTCTAGGTATGAACCTGAGTCTTTCTAGTGAAAATTTTGGCATTGGAAAATTCCTTTGAAGATCCGACAGTTCATGACTCCATGTATAAAACATCAAATATTTAACCCATATCAATTTGATACAGCCTCAAGGACTGGAGTTTTATAACATTATCATTACAAACATGAAGCAATAATCAACAATATAATATTGAATAGTGTATAAACATATCATAATATGTATATATGGTTCTTATCACTCGTCAACCAAAATCATTCCTCCATCCATGACCATCAAGAGGAGGCAGCCTCCAGTCATCACCACCACCATTGAAATCAGGGCTATACCCACCTGCATGTCTTCTAGAATGGAGACGCATTCCGTTATGTTTTGGACTCGGGCTTCTTGGAGCTTGGTAAGCTGCTGTTCCACCACCTGAACTAGAAGAATCACAACCTGAACCAACAACGACGTTTGATCCTTTCTTAGTGGATGGATTCCACTGAGGTGTACCAGGGGCACGTTGCTTGGTCAAGCCTTGACTACGCACTTTCGCCTTCGCAGACTGGGTCGGAGCCATGTAGCTAGGTACATTGCTTGAACTTGATTGTCGTTGGTGTTGATTCGAATACAGGTTGTCGTCTAGTATCCCCATGTTGGAACTGCTAGTAGCTGTTGGGGTGACCATGTCCATCTCCACCGTCTTCTCAGACATGTCGTCGGTCGTTGTTGTGGTTGTAGTTGTGTTCAACGTCACATAAGAGCCTTCATTTGGGCCCAATTGACGCACGTTATATGGTTGTGCAGACATCCATCTCTCAAGCCAATTCCAACCCCATTGAGCCTTCTCACGTTCACTCACAAGATGTCCTATTTCTTTACCGTTTGGACTATTTTGTGAGACTAACTGTTGTTGTTGCTGAAATTCAAATAGTTTTTGCCTTTATTATGGTTCTCAAATTGTTAAGATTTCACCAAAAACAGTGTTCAAAGTAACCAAATTTTTGCTACGGCTAATTTTAATGGAAAATACCTGGTAGGAATAAGCATAAGCAAGGGCTCTTTCCCTCTTCATGACAGCATCATGTTTCTTCAAAGCATTTTCTTTGATTTTATCCGAACTTTGATTCCTACTGTCCCATTTATAACTCTTCAATGGACTCTTCGTATTCATAATTTCTTGGTCCATTGATAGTCTTCGTTCATCTTCTTCCTCAGCCTTCCTTTGAACCTTCTCATGAGTTAATTGAAGTCTTCTTGCTCTTACTCTTGCTTGCACACGAACAAGTGCTTGCATACATCTCATTGTCATTTGTGCTTGCTTTCGTACATTATGGCCTCTCACCAGTGCTTGAAGCCTCACCAATCCCTTCAATGCACGTAAGGCACGCCTAGCCTGAAAAATGTACACAGCTAATTAAATTGAAAAAAAAAAAGGAGAAAAAATTGTGAGAGATTTAATCCAATATAGGCCAAATCAATCTCATTATTATTCTAGTTCATCGGACCAATCAAGTATAAATCAGAGGATCCACTATACCAACTAATCAAACTGCATGTTTTCATCTAACTTATTAACCAAATTATTATTTTGATCCAATTAAAGTGAAATGAAGAGAGGCATTACAAGGTAGCCCCTATAGTATGATTGAATGAGGATGGCAGCTCTTTCTTCCTTAGAGTGTCGTCCATAACCGGCCAAGCGAACAACTTTAGCTGCCGCTTGCGCAGCTGCAACAGCAGCTTCTGCAGCAGCAGCAGTTGCTACTGCCACAGCAATGGCATGATTTCTATCTTCAGTTACCGGAGTTGATGCATTGCTCTCATCATTTGTAACATCAGGAGAACTTTCAGCAGGAAAATGCTCAAATGACAAAACTTCCGGAGCCTCATGTTGCCATTTCTCTACATTGTCTTTCTGAAATACATAATATCATGCCAGCCATCATTTACATTGATGTCAAATTAGTGATCAATTATCATAAAATCATGAGCTACCTAGCTTAACGTGTTTTTATTAAGATTAACTAATTTCAGGCATAATTAACAAGAACTTCTTTTTCAACTATGCACTGCAAAGAAATTAATAATGCAATAGAACCAAGACTTTCTTTTTGGCCATGATTGGGATCTAGCAAGGCAATGCACATGTGGATGAAGATGGATGAAAGGATATTATCGGTGGCATGATAATAATAAGTCATGAAGGATTGCAACATTTTATGGCCCAGTTGATAAGGGGACCATCTGTGCCCCCTTCAAGTTTATGGTCCTAGATACAGTGAAAGGGTAGGTCTTCCTTTAATATGGCCCTAGTCGCTGATCAACATAACTCATATAGAACAAAATCATTGCCTTTTTTGACTCCTCAGTTGAGAAAGGTAAGGTTGCACTTATTTGCTAATTAGGAGACAGCTTAATACCTTAAAAAATAAAATAAAAAAGTGAAAGAAAACCATGAGTTAAATCTTCTAGTTTCTCCTTTGATAAAACATGGAAGGAAGGAATATGCTGAAAATGGACCTTTTTATTTATTTATTTTTATTTTTTTGGCTTTTTTCATATCCTAGCAGTTAGATTGAAGAAAAATAATAATAATTGCAATAAATTCCATGCAAATGTGCAAAATTATTAAACAATCATTAACAACAGTGTGATCTATGATTAATGAGTTGAAGTAAGGTATAATAGATGAAAAAAACAAAAAACATCATAGAAATTTCAAAGGACACTGATTAGATTAGATCACAAGTTTAACAGTTTAATTAGGTGTACCAAATGGTCGTATAAAACAAGTCTTAGAAATTATTAACTTTGCTTAACACTTACGCATACACAAAAACATCAATCAAAGAAACATCACTACCTTTCTCTCTATCGGTAATTCCTTAGGAGATGATGATTTGAACACTTTCTTCACAGATGTAAACCATCCACTCCCTTTCTTCCCCATTTCCCTATAAACCGATGATCTGTTTCGTGTTCATCAATCAATCAATCAATCAAAAATTTTCACCCCAAGAAAAAAGAAGAAGAAGAAAAGACAAGAATGCGCATAAGAACAGAACAAATTGATATACAATAAGGCTAAAGTAGGAGTCTTTTCCTACTTCCTATTATCTTGAAGACTAAATATGCACTCTTTGTAATGCACATTTTTAGCTCCAACCCAGAAGAAGACAAGATCGAATGAAGCACGCAAAAACCTCAAAAACCATACCCCAAAAAGGACATGAAACCAAACCTTGAGAAACTTGGATGAGTTGATCACTGATTTCACTTATCTTCTATCTCTCACTGTACACGTCCATTTCCAAGTTGGGTTTTGGTTCGTTCAAAGAAGAAGAAAAAGAGGAGGTTAGTTCATGTAGAGGGAAGGATGAAGAGAGAGTCAAGAGGAGGAGTAGGAGGAGGAGGAAGAGGAGGTGGGAGGGAGAGTAATAACTGCAACCCGCGCAATCCGCCGTTAGTATTTATCAAAATCACGGGCGGTCTTTTGGTTTCCTTACACGGGTTTTGTACAGAGAAGTAAGGCTTTCCGAGGTTATTATAAAGAGACCACCTCAAAAATATAGTGTGTGTGTATGTTTTGAGGTTCTACCATAAGTTATCACTTTCTTCACTCTTCTTGTGAATACTCAGTAAATTATAAATTAGTCATTTTTGTTTTGAGAAATGAATTAATTAGTCCCTTTTGTTTTAAAAAATCATTATTTAATCTTTTATGTTTTAATTCTACTAATAACTTAGTTTTTTTATTAGTTTAATAGTTTTTTTAATAAAAAATTGCCTTTCATTTGATTGCTTATTTCCTCTTTAACCCATTTTCTTTCTCTCCTCTCAATCAGAAAACAAAAAAATAAGAGCAATTTGAAAACAAAAATCACTAAATTAACGAAAAACTAATAAAATGAAAAAACTATTGACGGTATTAAAATATAAAAAATTTAAAAATTATTATTATTTTTTATTTATTTTCAATGCGAAATAATTATCATTCACATAGTTACCGATCAATACATAATAATCGGGTTTTTGAGATTTTGAGTTTGTAATTTTATAAATTGAGATTCCTCCACTAAATTATTTTTTTTCATTTATTTTCAATGAGAAATAATTATCATTTACGTAGGTACTGATCAATACATAATAATCATGGTTTTGAGATTTTGAGTTTGTAATTTTACAAATTGAGTTCCTCTCCTAAATTATTATTTTTTCATTTATTTTCAATGGGAAATAATTATCATTTACGTAGGTACTCGATCGATACATAATGATAAGGTTTTTGAGATTTTGAGTTTGCAATTTTACAAATTGAGTTTCTCCCCTAGATTATTATTTTTTCATTTATTTTCAACGGGAAATAATTATCATTCATATAGATACTTATCAATACATAATGATCGGGCTTTTGAGATTTTGAGTTTGCAATTTTACAAATTGAGTTCCTCCCCTAAATTATTATTTTTTCATTTATTTTCAACGGGAAATAATTATAATTCATTTAGATATTTATCGATACATAATTATTAGGCTTTTGAGATTTTGAGTTTGCAATTTTACAAATTGAGGTTCCTCCCTCAAATCATATGCAATGCATTTGTTGAATGTTATTTCAAGATTCATTGTTTTTGTAATGTAATAATAATTGAAAAAAACGATTAATCTCTTTTATTACTTAATTGGATATTCAAATAAATCAATAAACAGCCACTAGTACGTACTCTCTCTCCTTTATGTTATTTTAATGGATTTACTGTCAGAAAAGATGGCAGTAAACTCTGCTAATTAATTAATTAATTAATATCATGAAAAGAAAACTCTATATATATATATATATATATATATATATATATTGTGGTGTCAACTTCATGAGAGAACAGTGAGGGCTCCTGCAAGACAGATAAATAATTATTAATACAGAGTTAATTTATAAACACAACTGTTCTTTCTCTTTAATTAATAGGAATTGAAAGTCATAGCCTGAAATTACAGTATTGTTGGTAATTTATGTTAATTTATTGCCTTTGTCATTAGTGAATTATAAATTAATGCATCTATTTTCAAGAAATGAATTAATTAATTCTTTTTGTTTTAAAGACTAATAATTTAATTATCTAACGAGTATCATTGATCGTATTTAATTTAATATTATTTTATTTTTAAAAAATATTATTTTTTAATTAGAATTTTTTATTTTTTAAAATAAAAATTCAAAATAAATTGGAAAGAAATGAAAAGAATTTAGTTACAAGAAAATTTAAAAATATAAGAATTAAATAATTAATATTTAAAACAAAAGGGACTGATTTATAATTTACTTCGTTTACCTTCACCTGCTGTCTCCCTATCATAATTCAGCCCTGACCGCTGCAGCAGATCGAGATCATAACATCACCAGCAACCCATTAAATATTGCTCACCAAGCAAGAGCTGTCAATGTTGGACACATGCATTGGTACCCAGAAATGAAAATGTATTTTTATTTATTTATAGCTAAAATTTCCGAACCTCTTTGTAATTCTAATTCATTTGAAAATTAGTTTCTTAAATTAGTCTCAGATTAAATTTTTTTAATTATTTTCATTAAAATTAGAATTTTTTGTTAAGTTTTCATTAATTCTAATAATAAAAGTACAAGTGAAGTGACTTATATATGGTTGATTTTTTAAAGTTTTTCAAGAGTTAAAAATGTATTTGTGAATGTTTTTTTTTCTCTCAATTTTTTTTCCTTTTAAAATATTCATTAATTGATTTTTTTTTCAATATTTAGAAGAAAAACACAAATTTTGAAGAAAAAAGTAAAGTAATTCATATGTTTTTACTTATCGGAAATTGTACTTACAAGTTACAATCGATGAAAATCTAATAGAAAAAATAATTGAACCATTTATCTTTTTTCTAAGCCTGCATGGATTCTTCATTTTTCATTTTCTTTTGTTTTTTGTTTTTTCATAAACAAGAGGTTTATATTCGAAATTGATTAATTAAAAGAGTATGGATATCGATTTTTTTATTCATAATTAAAAAAAAAACCTCCACATCTCAAATCAAAATCAATCCAAATGAGGTAGATTGCTATTTAGAACCATTTCCTTCTGTTTATGAATTATTTTTTTAAGATAGTTTATATATATAATCCAAATGAGGTAGATTGCTATAATTAATATACTGTTATTATTATTATTTCCTATTTCATCAAACAACTTTAGTGGAAATAAAAAACAAATTAATATGCTTCTTTTTTCCCCTTAATTGTGCATTAAATGAAACTATCCCCATACCAGCCTAAAAGACATACATCCTTTCATGTATCAAGTACAAATCGTAAGAAAAAAATCAACAAGAATAAATTATTATTTTTTTGCACACATTTTTTTCGGATTTTTTTATTTTTTCCATATAATAATAACAATAATAATAATAATGCAATTTTGCTACCTAGTTGGCACTGCAGTTGTCTCTTTATAAGACCTGTGTTGAGGGCAATATGGATCCACCACATAAGTAGCTTTCAAGCTATGGAAGTCCTTAAAACACCCACATTTACAGATCCATCCACTAGATTGGATTAGTTGGAGCTTATGATTGAAAATAAAAGAGAATGCCAAAGTTAGATGAGGCAGCTTATTGCTTGCAATAAAAGAAAGTTAATTTGAAGCAAGGCAATTAAGGGAGTAATATATTCATTGGAAAGAAGAGGAGTCTTCTTTGTGTACCTTCCTTTTTGATGAGGGAAATCGATCAGTTGGTGACAAGTACCTTTCTCTATAAAATTATGTGCCTATCACAAACCCTAGTTAGGGTTACATGTGCACTGTATTCAAATATGCAACAATGGCGAAAGTCAATTTATCCTCAACGTATGTATCAAGCTCTGCCCTAGCTAGCTAGCTAGGTTACTTTGCTTTTCCTCAGAAAACATGGACTTTTGTGACTGAAATTTAGAGTAAATTATTAATTAGTAGATCTTCTTTCGAGAGACAAATTAACTATTTTTTTTTTTTTAAATATATATATATATATATATATATATTTTAATTTTCTTGTAACATAATTTTTATTTTCTTTTTAAATTATATTTTTATTTTATTAAAAAAGAAAAAAAGTAAAAAAATATGAAAGGATATCGATAAAAAATGACATATTTTAAAATTAAATAAAATTAAATTAAGCATGATCAACGTTAGTTAAGAGACTAAATGATTATTTTTTAAAATAAAAAAATTTATTTATTTTTCAAAAATATATGGATTGATTTATAATTCATTCTGTAAATATAAATTTTATTCATAAATCAATGACGGATAATAACCAATTTATCTATCACAAATTTATGCTTTTGATTATTAAAATTTGGGGGATAGATAGCAATTTTCTTCATATATGACGAATTTGTGATGAACATTTTCTGCTGTGACAGACACTCCTGTCACAAATTTTGTTTATGATCATAATATTTACATCGAAAAAAATCATCACAAATCTATTGCAAATTTAATTTATGATGGAAAATCTTTTATTTATGATAGAAAAAAGACCATCATAAATTACCATTTTTCTTGTTGTGATTGTTGTAATTTAAGTTTAGTAATCCTATTGAATTGGTTCTTGAAATTGATCCGAGAAGGTCGTTGTAGTTTGAAATTGGAGCAAAATATACATCTATAATTGCATGATGATCAATGCAAGGATAAGCAATATATGGGACCTCGATTTTTATGAACTTTATATGCTTCAATTATTAAGCAGACATATTATAGTTTCAAATCTTATAAAACAAATTAAATTGATCATTGATCATATAAATATTATAGATTAATATAGATTAAGTATTAAATTTATTCTAGATATTTACCTTTAGATATAAAAAATCTTTATAAATATGATAGTTTCGGCATCCACAACTATAGAAAATAGCAATGTTATGTACTTATTTGAAATTAAGCTTCCCTGTCTTTTCTTTTATGAGTTAGACTAGTTTGTCCCTTTTTGTATTTTATCTTTTCAATTAATAAAATTTATAAACTGAAAAAAAAAACTTTAAGGTTTGCAGCTAGAATAATTTAATTTCATGGTAAGTTTCACTCGATTCGGAGATACATATATTGTTGCTGTAAAAACAAAATTTGATTGTTGTGATCCTAATTCCTATATATTGAGTGTTAGGCAGATTGGTTCTTTCGAACGGGATCTCTTCACTAAAGTGATCTTCAATCTTTTATAAAATCAATCTTATATTTTTTTCTTTTTATTTTCAAAAATTTCTTAATGTGATCCTTAATTTTTTTTTTTTTTGAATTGATTAGGTTCATTTATTCAATATATATATATATATATATATATATATATATATATATATATATATTAATGTGGTTCCCTCGTCATGATCATTCCATCAATTTTACTTAAAATGTGGACAAGTGCAAAATATAGAATTTTGTGCTTTAGTTTTTTTGAAAAATAAAATAAACTTAATTTTTTTTTAAAAAAAAAGAGAAATGAATATTTTTAAAAAATCCTTAAAACGAATTTGAAACAAAATACTAGATTGAAAAATGGAAAGGAGAAATTGAAAAGCCTTTAGAAAAAAAAAACGGAAAAAGAATGGAGTATTTTAAATATTATTAAAAATTTTAAAAGAGAAAATGAAAACATGTTAAATCACTATTCTTTATTTTTCATTTTTTGTTAATTTTACCTTTTAAATTTTTTTAATGAAAAACATTCAAAAAATAAATTAATTGGAAAATGTAAAATTCAATATTTATATATAAAAAAAAGTTAACCTCCACTGAATTAAAAATGAAAATGAAATAAATAAAGAAATAAATAAGGGCGACTTAATATATATATATATATATATTCTCTTTTTGTTACAAAAGAATACTTAAAATACTCTATTTCTCTCTCTCTCTTTTCTAAAGACTTTTCAATTTATTTTTTCCATTTTTCAACCTAATATTTTGTTTGCAATTTTTTTAGGAATGTTTAAATTTGTAATTTTGACTTTTTCTAATATTTCTCCATTTTAAATTCCTTTTTTAAAGTTCTTTTATTTTAAAAAAAATTTCGAACTCTATATTCTCTTACAAGTGTCTACAATATTTAAAATAAAAATAGATAGAATCACGATGGAGGGACCATATTAAAAAAAATTATTGAGTAGAGACATTTTTTGTTTATGCAATTTATTACATTTTATTGGAAATTAAGAGCAAACATTCATGCGTCCGTCAATATTGTTAGGGTGCTCTTTCAATACAAGAAAATGAATGATGTTAGACAGACCATCCTGTTTAGTTTAGCCAAATCTTAAAATTGGTTTAGAGTGCAAAAAAATGTATTAATTTTTCTATACTATTTGTCAAGAATGAAATCATGGTCAACCACCTAAAATGAGAGATCTATACAACTCAAATGCAATCATGAGATGTAAACATTTCTTTACATCTCATGAAGGTTTGGTGCATGGCACCAAATCAAGCTATAGTTCTTTGTTCCTTTTTTTCCAAATCAAGCATAGTTAAGAAACCCTGAAAACAAATAAAAATGGTTTCCTTAATGACAATCAAATTAGATAATTGGATTTATAATTTTTTACTTTACGTTATCATTTACGATTTGAATATAATTAAAGAAAACTTGTAAGAAATCTCTCTCTTTAAGTGCACTAATTTATTTAAAATTAGATTTTTTTGTTATGTTTTCATCGATTTTAATGTGTAAGTGCAATTCTTCGGTGGTTAAAAATATGTCAACCTTTTGTTTTCACCTCTTTCTTACTTTAATTTGTGTAAATTACAGTTTAATCAGTGGAAACTCTTTTGATCCCAGAACATGCTAATCAGAATTATTTAACATCATTAGAACCATTCTGATAAACTTATATATATTTTGAAGTTCATTTGGGGGTTAGAGAGCAAATTAACAGTTTGAAACTTGAATCTCTATTGGCATCTAGCAGTCTACAGTCCAAAGCTTTTGCTTCTGTGTAACAATCTTATTATGCAGAAGTTTGTGGATCAACGATGTGTTTTCTTCAGGAATCCTGAAATTTGTTTTCCGGTTGTAACGATGGAGAATGAAATCCATTTTTCTTCACAAATGATGGAAATCAACAAGCAAGTTGGAGTTGCTAAAGAGGAAAACTAAGAAGTATCAGGAGCTTAATTATTGAACATATGATGCATATATGTGTCAGAGACTTCTAGGTAATTAATTTGATTCTGGGATTAATGGTGTGTATTCATAGTATAACACCACGCAAAGAGGCAACAAAAGCATATTGAGGCTGCCATAATTGCAGATGATGTATTTTATGGACCCAGTTAGCATAGATGGAGCATTTTAGTTATGCAGATTTAATGTTTTAACGTTTTTTTTTTTAATTTTAATTGCTTATGTTTTTTTCTTCTAGTTGTAGTATAAGCAACAACCGAAAATAGTAAGTGGAATAATAAGAAAAATATTTCTGACTCGTCAGATCAGAAGTTTAACTCTCATCTTTGAAAAACTCATCCATTTTCTTTCCTTAACATTGAACATAGGCTGTTAGTAGGCTTAAAAGAGTTGAGTCTATAGAATCAACCAAAGGCTAGACGCAATGATGTGTAACATTAAATATACGTTGTTTTGAGTTTAAAAATTTTGGCTTTTAGAATCGATGAAAAGGTCCCCGATTATGTCGAGTAAATTATAAATTAGTGTATCTTGTTTCGAGAAATAAATTAATTAATTTGTTTTATTTTAAAAACTAATTATTTAGTCTTTATATTTTGAAATCTACTTATAATTTAGTCATTTTTTTCTCTTTTTTAATTTATTTTGATTTTTTGTTTTAAGAAATAGAAAAGAAAAATATGAAAAGATTAATGATAAAAGAAGAGATTTTGTAGAATAAAAATAATATTAAATTAAGAATGATCAACACTAATTAGAGAATTAAATAATAGTTTTTATAACGAAAAGGAGTACTAATCAATTTGTTTCTTAAAACTCAGAGGGACTAATTCATAGTTTGCTCCCACTATATAGGCTAGTAAGAACTATAAGTGTTTCTGACTTGATATTTTATTCACCGTCTTCATCATCTTCCCAATGGAAAACCCTAACACTAATGTCTATTCTAATTTTTTTATTTACCTTGCCCGTTTGTTAACGAAATATATATATATATATGAAGAATCAATTTCTAGAATAAATAACAGAATCAACCAAAATATTTAAATTTTTTTCTGGTGATTCTAGTAATGTTGTCTTGGAACATCAAATGGCAATACTAAATAACAGGCTTAATATACATACAAAGAAATTGAATTAAGATTGAGAGCAACTTGCCGATGAGAAAAACATCGCTCGCCACGACACGAGACAGTTTTGATTGGACAAAAGTAACAAATCAGATTGTTATTCTTGTTTATCGGCAAAGCTTATCAGGTATGCGTTTTTTCTTTTTTTTTTTTTTCTTTTTTGGGTAAGGTCTACTTTTTCAGGTAGTCGGAGAAGTGTACCGATGGAGGAGATGTGAGGAGGAGGAGCAGTCCCAGCACGACAAGCATAATAAAAAAGATCCAAGTTATTCCTAGTGACGCTAACAGAATATTGTCCTCCATAGTAAAACAAAAGAGGGAAATGAGTGTTTTTATAAATTAATTATTAATACATGCCACAAATTTTTTTAGCTGCTATAGATTAAAAAAACAAAAAGATTTTCTATTTAGTACTGTTAAAGTACAATATTAATTTCTTAAGAAAAAATATACCATTGCACTGAGTAGATATTGTTGAATTTATTGTAGAATAGGAAGGAAAGAGGTGTAACGTGCTTGAGCTACAACACCAACACAATCATTCCAAACATTGAGGCTTTTTTCAGAACAATTTTGTAAATGCATTATAACAATTTTTTCCTCTTAAAACGAGTTTGTTGCAACAGTTATCCGATGGGGTGTAATTGTCAGCCAAACTCTGAAAAATTTCTGCTCCACACTTATCTCCCAACTTTATAGAACAATCTTTCAAATATTTGTCAAGCTTGGGCATAGATTCTTCTGATGTTGTGTAGGGTGCTTGAGCTACAATACCAACACAATCATTCCAAACATCGAGGCTCTTCGTAGAAATCTTAGATGAATTTTCTTTGGGCTCTTTTGATATGAGAAATTTTGTAAATGTCTCATGACAATTTTTTCCTGTTGTAACGAGTTTGTTACAACATTTATCGAATGGGTTATAATTGCCGGTCAAACTCCGAAAAATTTCGCTCCACACTTGTCTCCCAGTTTTGTAGAACAATCTTTCAAATATTTGTTAAGCTTAGGTACGATTCTTCCGATGTTGCAATAATGCGTCTTACAAGTCCTGGTGTACCCATAAATACACAAATCAAAGCAACTAGAGCCATGAAAATATTTTTGTTGAAAATGGCCATGTTGCTAAAAAGTGAGATGATAAGTGAAGATGATGTTTGGAGATTGATTAATCGAATTATCAAGTCTCATTAATTTATATGTAAAAGGTTTTGAATGCTTGGTGAGCAGTTAGCTTGATCATTAATACATCTTTGAAGAGTATTTAATGAAGTTAAAAAAAAAAACTTTCTCCTTGTAAACGTTATGGTTTTGAGTTTCGAATTCTATTTTTAATTGATGAGCATAACTTTGAATAGGTATGAGAAAAAAACTCCAACGCAAAGGTAATTTCTAAACTCAATACTATGTATGATTTTAATCTCTCTTAATAGATTTTTGTGTTTCCACTAAACTTACGTTTTTTATGTACCTATGTTAAATTGAAATTAGACTTTTAGATTTGAGAATATAATGATATTAAACATTTTTAACTAGATTATCTTTTTTTATTATTATTTTTAAGAAACTCTTAATCCCACCTATAGTTTGGGTTTAATTTTTTTTTTTTTACTTCTATATCAAGTTACATTGTGAGCTATGCTAGCTTTAACATTCATTTAGGTAACATATTATTATCCAATACATATGATATATTTTGTATGGATTTAAAATAAGAAAAGTTATGTTTGATTAAAGTTTCGAGAAGAGAGAAAATTCCATAGAGATTAGCATTTAATCCTAAAAAAGGGGATTCGATGTTAACTTTGTGGAATAATAGGTAAGGGAACATTTATGGAGAACATTATTCTACTTTTTGTTTTTTTTTTTTTTTCATTTAGGATTATAACATTATTATCCAAAATTATTTCAGATCCTACCAAACTTTCTTAAATTTTACCTCTTTAATATTTATTCTCCAGATCTTTCATGACATACAAAACGTCATGCAAGGGTCGTAAAATCAAGACATATTTGTTATGCATGTTCTATATTCGTTACAGTGGCAGCGCTGGAACAAAATGATTGGGTTTTTGTTAACGAAATAAACCAAAAAATACAAACCAAATTTCTATTTGTTTTTTTGTTCGTATAACCAAATTTTAAGTTTTTGATGAAAAGTAGTCTATTGTTGGTTGTTTTAATTTTTTAAAATTCTATAAATAGACAAAAAAAAAAAATGTTATGAACTATGAAGTTTTTCTAGTAATCGAAATGGTCTAAATTATCCTCTCGTATAAAATAATAAATTTTTATTTAAATAAATCATTAATTGTTGTATGACGATTAAAAATGCCACGTGGTAGTTAAAAAGGCCGTTGGTAGGACATTCTTGACACTTCAATATTTTATACTTTAATGTGACTGTGGGTACTAATGAAATATAAGAATTTTTCAAATCATATAAGTATATTTTATTATCCATAAAAAATATCTCAATAAAATTAATTTTTAAATAAGCTAATTTTTCAATAATATAAATAACGTACATGCGAATGCACATCTCAAAATTTCTAGCAATAAAATATATGAGCTAAGTATAAATTGCACTCTCTTTTCTTTCAGCTATAAGAATTAAAAAAAAATATCACATTTCGAATTATATCTTTTTTCTACATAATTTTCATGCTCAAACATTGTATCAAAAAAAAAAAAAAAAACTAAGGTCAAATTGATTCTTTTTTATACTAATTTTCATTATATATTTACTGTTTTGCTTTTTTTTTTTTTCCCAATTTATGATCCAAATCTCTCTGTATTTACATTTCTAACTTATATACTATCTCACAACACGAATCTTGACACAAGAAAAAATCCTACTATAGAAAAAAGTATTAAAAACATTAAAATTATTCAATTTTGCACTACTTTATGCTTATTATTATTACTATTATGTTATTTTTTCTAATCCATAATTGTTAAACACCAATTCCATATTGTAAGAGCTCTAGGGTCATCAATCAACTCGTGGATCATGGAATTAATTCAAAATTTAGATTTTTTTTTTAAGTAAAACAAATATATATATTTTTTATTTTTTAAACCAGATAATCAGATACGATCGTGTCAATTATCTAGACAATCCGATTAAAAACCCTAAACCAGTGTGTCCGGATTGCAAAAAAATCAACTAGATCCGACTGAATTTGACAACCATAACCGGTCTGAAGGCCAAAAAATGGTCAGCTTGTGCTAATAATTACCAATATTGCCATTCTGCTAATCGACGCTTTGTGCGCACAATAGTACCGTAAGGCGTTTCAAGCTCTAGCGACGCTTCCCCATTGTACACCTAAGCATTTTAACCATTTTTTCCAATTCTGGACCCCACACGACTCGAATCCCACACGTGTCAAGCTCTAGCAATGCCTCATGATTCTACATTCGTTATGCATGCACCCAGCGCATTTTAGCTGTTCATCCCTTACGAGGGGGAAAAAGGACCGTTTCTCTTTATAATTTTTTTTTCTAGTACGAGAGAGAGAACTTTTCATAAAATAAGAATCTAATTCCTAACTTAGTGAGTGATAAACCTTTTTTTTTTTTTTTTTTTTTATCACTCGTATTTTTGGTTGCCGGTTCCATCATGAGATAAATGATTAAAAAATATTGCATAGGAAATATTTTATCAATTTGCTCCCAATTTTTAAAAACAATTCTATTAATGTTTGTTAACTTTTCAATCAATTTTTCTTCGTAATAATGTTGTTTTCTAGCATAAAACATACGCATATGGTGTAAAAGACCAAAACAAATTTGATGGCCGAAGGACCATATTGAGAAAACATAGGAGAAATATTTGAGATCTAATTGATAAAAAAATTATAAGTTTAGGACCTATTTGAGAATAAATACATAGATTATGAACTAAATACGAAGTTTCTTTTTCCTTAAAGATATTAATGCATTGAAATTGACCAACAACGATAGCCCACAAAATGTCAATGCCTAGTCTCACTTTTAGCCCTACACAATGGACAATTCATTACACTGATTGCACTAACAATTATATGTTTGAAATCAAAGAAAATTTCATAATCATAAATTTAGTTAAAATTAAGAATAAAGCATATGGTAGGACACATAGCAAGTGCTTTTGTAGGAAAAATTAAAACAAAAAAAGCACATGGTAGGACATGCTTCTTTTAGGACAAGTTAAAACAACAAAGGACATCACAATTAAAAAAAAGAAAAAAGCATGTATTTCCTTAGTGGTGAAGGAAAACTCCAAATGGAGATTGATAAAAAAAAAAAAAAAAGAGCGGGAAATTTTATCATTTTTTGAATTTAAACACAACCTTAGTAGCTGAATAGTCTCGAGTTTAAATTTTTTGCATTTGGATTCTTCCCTCCCCCGCCTTTTTTTTTTCAAATTTTCACATGATTAAACTTATGTTGAATTTATATTTAGCGGTGAGTAGAAAATTTAATCGACAATTTCTTGATTACATGACATATGTCTATTTTATTAGTTCTATATATGAAAATATTCTAAATTTAAATTCTGCACAAATATTTTTTTAATTTTTTGTATAGGTAATAGTTAAAAATATATATTTTTTGCCAACTGGTTGGAAACACACCAATTATTAAGGAAAATAAAGATTAAAATAGAGTGTCGACAGTAAACAAGAAAAAAAATATTATATTGAAAATATTAATGTTAAGTTTTTTGGTTATAATATTAATATAATTTAATACACAAAAGCCATTAAAATTGTAAAAAAAAGGAAAATATTAATACATTTTTTTATGATAATATTAATATAAGTTAATTAATAATAAAAAGGTATTAAAAACTTGATGAAAATTTTATAATGAAGTGGTCAAAGGAAAAACATCATTTTTTTTCAAAATAGATTAACAACATAGACTCGAGAAAAATCTATGTAATACTTTATTAAAAAAAATAACTTGTGAAAATCTATCTAATACATGCATCAATTGAGTTTAAATTCTTTTTAGTTTTGAAATTTCCTCAAAATGGTAGAAAAATTACCAAGAGATACTTGGGAATCATGAGTCGAGGAAAAATCTAACTCATGATTTATTAATTATTATGAAGCTAATTGTAAAAATTACTTGTTTATAGACCTAATTGTTAATTAATAAATATTTGGAGGATTATTTGGCTTGCCCAAACCCCTCACCTTCGTCCCTTACGTGTAAAGAGCATCAATTAGTAAATAACATCCACTACACAACCCAGCGCACTTTAACTTTTTGACTTAAAATACGCCCTGTCTCCTGCGTACCAACAAGGAGGTTCATCTGCTCTGCCAGTCCTCTCCTGTATAGTGCCCTTCAGCTTCTCTTCGGAAAATCAAAACCCCAACATTTGTGTTTCTCTCTTTCTCTCTCTAAACTCCCTAGTTTTTCTAACCAAATTTCACTCTCATCTTCCTTCCTTCGTCAACCTCTGCTTAAACAGTAAAACAGAGCATCGCACTCTCTGGTTTCCAACTCTTTAAAAGTAAGAACTGCATCATCAATCGATCGCCTCCATAACCTTCTCTCTTCTCTCCCCTCTCTCGTTGTCTCTGTACTTTATGTTCATCTGCCTGTGCATTATAGCTTCAACACTTGTACGGAATGTAGATACGGAGAGAAAGAGAAATGCTTTACTTTTATTAGCTTCTAGAACGCTTGATTTTGTTCCCCTTTGTGTATGTATATATGCATGTATGATGTATGTCTTTATGTTTGTACATATGCATCAGTATCAGGATGTACAAATTTACCAACTTTGTTAGTACCTTCGAATATACGTATGGTGTATATGTTTATATGTATATGCATGTCTGGTGTGTGGCTTTATGTATGTATTTATGTATGTAGTATGTGTACTTTTATTATGTATGTATGTGTATGCATTAACTTATCAATCGCGCGACAAACATACCAAAAGTGAGAGAGATTAATTTTTAGTAGCTTTCATAAGGTTTAAAGATTTGATTTTTTTTCTTTTTGGACAGATTTTGCCTTACTTAATTTATGAATGTGCGTACTTTTGTTTTTTTGTTTTTGTTTTTGTTTTTGTTTTTTTTTAATATCATGGTGGATATACGAAATAACAGTCAAAGATTTGATTTTTATTTTTTATTGAGAAACGGATTTTTAAACAGTGAGAAGGATTGATTTTGTTTCCATTTTTCTTTTTTCCTTGGACGATTTTTGCTTAATTATGGGTGTGAGTGGGTGTTTTTGAATATCATGGACCATGTATCGTAAATGGCAGTCAAAGATTTGATTTTTTTTTTGGGACAGAGTTGGGAAAGATGGAAGTGAAGCCCAGCAGAAAGAGACAGTTGGAGTTGGTGCCTTATGATAGGGTTGCTGGAGTAAGTGAAACAGGGGTGATATACAAGTTCAAGATTTTGCTACCGAATGGAATGACAGTGATGTTGAGACTAACGGATCCGAAACCTGATATGTGGGTACGAGACTTTATAAATATTGTTAAAAAAGAATATGTTTTAGCTGAAAGAGATTCACAACCTTCGATGAAAAAGAAACGAGCTTTGAACTGGGAAAGTGAAAGTTGGTTTGTGGAGGATGCATATGGTAATTTAATTAAGCCGAGGTTTAAGTTTAAGGCTTTCAAGCCGCATAAATGCCACATTCTTCGGCTTCATGTGAGTGATATGGTAGTTTAATTGAAGTTTTTATTCATGTTCTATTTTATTGCTGGAAAAGTAAAAAATAGTGGTTAATTAATGATGGGTTTTGGTTGTTTTTTGTTGTGAAATTAGGATGGATCCTCTGAGATTACTGATACTTTTGAGGTATAGTGGCGTACTGGTGTTTGTTTTGATTATTTAAGTAATTGGTTAAATTTGGAAGGGTTCTGGTTAGTTTTATGATGATGGGCTTACTTTGGTTTTTGTAGAACATGTGGGATTTGACACCGGATACTGATTTATTAAGGGAGCTACCGGAAGAGTATACATTTGAGAGTGCACTTGCTGATTTAATAGTAAGTTCTGTGATATAATTATGAAATGAATTTATTTATGTGCTTCATTTGTAATCAGTTTGTTAACATGGACTTTGCTTGGCATTTACTAGGATAATTCCTTGCAAGCAGTATGGTCTATTGGTGAAAATGGGAGGAAACTGATCTGGTATGACATTTGGTTTTTTATTAATTTTTATTTTTACTCAAGTTATGCCGTGATTTGGTTAACCACTTCTTCGTTTGCTTCTGCATGGGCATTGTGCTAGGATTCAAATGGCTAGTAATCTAATGTTTTCAAGAAGCATAATCGTCATTGTAAAAGGGGGCCTGTACCTATTTTTTGCCAGCATTGATAAATTACTCTGTGATTGTAGTTAAATACTAGTAAACCCACCTTTTACTCAATTTTTAAATCCATCATTTAAAGGATCTGAGGTGATTGCTCTTGGGTTTTTTCAATAGTGCAAGAGAACTCTGTTTCTGAACAGAAAACTATTCTATAACATTTGCCATGTAAAAGGACAAATGTGACGAGTCTATCTTAGTTGCATCAACTTGGTGTTTGATTTTAAACTCTTAAGTGCGTTATTGATATATTCATCTCGGGGTTTTGCAGTGTGGATATCATGAAGGATAGGATTTCAATTTTCGACACTGGTCCCGGAATGGATGCTAGTGATGAAAATTCTATAGTGAAGTGGTATGTCACAACAGCTTTTCTTGTTATCTTCCTTCATAGTTAAGAGTTATGGAATAAGGTTATTTCTTTATGGGTGAGGTAGAAGTATTCTTGATATTCTTTGAAAAACTGCTTGTGGTAGGCCATGACAGATCTCTGAACAAATGTGGAAATGATTTCCTTTCCATAACGTTAATCCTCAATGAAAAAATGGAAGAAAAATGAGTGACCCACATTTCCAATTTAGGCAGCCGGTACAAGATGCAATTTACACCATACAGTATAAAAAATAATTCTTTAGAAAGTAAAGGTAAAGATTTAATGTATGTTTGCATTTCTGAAAATTGTAATTGATGGTTAAACGTTTGCATGATCTTGAAAAAATTTAAATATTTAATCTAATGGATATTATAGGAGTATGGTTTATATGTACTGTGTTTACATAATGATTGATTTGTCTTATGTGAGCTCTAGTGATTTTTGTTCCTTGCTTGACATGTTTTCTGTAGATATTATGGTAACTAGGTATTCTGGACCATCGTTTTTCTCTTGCTTATTTGACCCTTAACTTTTTTGTCCTTTATTTAGGGGAAAGATGGGGATCTCATTGCACAGATCATTCAAGGCACAAGCAATAGGGATCAAACCTCCATATTTGATAGTATGTTTTAGTTCAAACTTTCTTTGCTTTACTGTCTAATTTTTACTGATGTATAGTAGCATGCTTTGTGTATAAAGCATATTAAGGTACGTACTCTCAAATTTTATTAACTGTTGAGCATACCCTTTTATCTATATATGGTGTGAATCAAAATTGACAGGATTAGGTAAAGAGCAGTGATTTATATAAGGTCCAATGATTACTTTTGTTTTCCCTATACTGGGATGCTGTATTTTTTTTTTTTTTTAATTGCAAGAGCCTTAAAATTGTCAAAAAAAAACTAACCAGAGATTGTTCTCAAGTTAATAAGCTTGCTGTTGTTTGCTATTTTTACTCCATTTTTTTATGATTATATGTTTTCTGTAATGCAGCCTTTCTTTGGCATGTTTGGATATGGGGGACCTATTGCATCCATGTATTTAGGGAGGTATGACACCTCCTTCTAATCACTTTGTTGGTGGTTGCACCAGTGTAGTAACATGTTAGTTTGAATGTTGGTCTGATTCATTTCTGTGCCCTATTATAGGCGTGCTTTAGTATCTTCCAAAACAAAAGAGTCAAAGAAAGTCTATACTCTTCATTTTGAGAGAGAGGCTCTGCTCCGCAGTTCTGGTTCTGAACCAACTTGGAAGGTAAATAAGTTCTGTGAGCCATTCATTGTCTCCTTTTACCAGGGAACTTTTTACTGTTAATGATACAGCTAAAAAAAGGAAAATCGTTTTTTTTTTCCTCGAAATTAGCATATTAGTTAAGGCTATTTGTATCTTTTATTTTAGACTAGTGGAGGCATGAGGGACCCTTCAGAAGATGAAATTAGAAAATCACCTCAGCGAAGTTTCACAAAGGTGAATATCTGTTGCTTCTCACACCATTGTTTTAATTTTTTGGAAGTAGTGTGTAATTTGTATTATGGTAGTTATGATTTTGTTGAAATATTTTGTTGCTTAAGTTTTCTAAATGATTACCAGGTTGAGATATTGGAACCTAAAATAAGAGACTTGGATGCATCTCGACTCCAATGCAAGCTGAAGGACATATATTTTCCATATATTCAGGTGTGCTTGCCAAAAAAAAAAAAAAATCATCATGTGCAAGTTGCAAAATAACAGATGTTTTGTCGTTCTAATGTATTGCTATATCTCATGATTGTCATTTTCTTGAGGAAGCAAAAAAGTTTTTGTTGGAAAATATGAGAAAGTGAATATGTAATTGCAATTTTGTTTTTCTAGGATGCAGTGAAACTATTACAATTGGTTCCTAATCAGTATTCTTTTTTCCAGCATGTACCAATATCTTCCGTTCTGAATTGGAAGAGTGGCCATTATTAATTTTCAATGTAGCCTTTACATATCATTTAAAAGTAACCTTGCAGAACAGAGTAATAAATTTATGTCTCTCCTAGAAGTTGGTTTTTTCAACGAGGGCTTTAGATATCATTTAAAAGTATCCTCGCAGAACAGAGTAATATTTAAGGTCTTCATTGTTTTCTGCAGTTAGTAACTGAAAAAATTACACTTTTAGAATCTTGTGGTTGAACCCTGAGTACTTGAACCTTTTTTACATGGTAAATTCTGATGATGATTAGTTTAAATATGATGTCATTTGGTGACGTCAATTTTATAAACAAATATTTTTTGTTGCTGGTAACTTTTGAGGCATTCTATGTATAAGTATAGCTGGCCACAAAGAAAAAGAAGTGTATGGAATGTTCATGTTAAGTTACTACCTTCACAAGTTGGTACTCGTGTGTGTGTTGAAGTGCTGTCCGCATCACTAAGTGTGTGCGAGTTTATTGACTCGTATCCTTCAATAGAGCATGATAATGCTTGTGACATTGTACTCAGTTCTTGGTAACTTTTGTATGCATTTTGGGTCCTTATTTGCTTTGTAACATTGTTCTGTCTCTTTATTTGTATGGATCCGCTCTTATCAATTGTGCTTCTCTAAAAAAGTAAGTTAGACTTTCATCCTGCTTCACTACACATGCACGCATCAGTATTGGTGTTTGAATATTTATGCATGTTTGTAAAATAAAACAAGTCACTCTGTTTAGTAATCTCCAACAAGGTGGTTACTTAAACGTGCAGTGATGAATGACCAATCCCCAACAAGGAAAGGAATAACTACAAGATAATGGCTCATTTTCTTTTTTTGTATCCAGACTTGATGGCAATATAAATCCACTCATTCTTTGTGAATTCCAAATCTATTTAATATTCATTATAATGCGGCAGTTGATACATCAAAATAGATTAGGCATTTGTTAAGATAATAGGAGGGTGAACATTAGACTTTATATCATAATGCATTCGTTTAGGCACCAGAGACAGTGATTTTGCTGGATGATAGAAAGTTTTCTTGTGCATTATTATGCTTTATTCTCTATTCTGTCCAACATTTAACATTTACTTCTGAATTATTTTGTTTATGTGCAGTGTGATGAGGTGTCCAAAACGGGGAAGACCACCACACCTGTTAAATTTCAGGTCTTGTACGTTGCTCTTCTTGATTTTGAATATGTCCTTGGTATATGTTGACTTCCCTTGTAACCACAATGTTACTTGTCCTTTACCTTTATTTTTCCAAAGTCCTTGGTATATGTTAGACTTACCTTGTAACCACAATGTTATTTGTCCTTTACCTTTATTTTTCCAAAGGAGGGAAATAGTTTCCTTTATTTTGGAAAGGGTTAGGTTTATGTCTGATTTTTTGTGAACTTACGTTTGATAGAGTTGTGCTGTCGTCTTGTACTACATGTCAGCAACTGATCTGCAGCTTATTATATCTAGTAATAAAATGTGCATCTTAGAAGTAAATAATAACGATGCCGAATAAGTGAAAAAAGGAAATAGCATATGTGATACTCTTTACTTTATAATTCTGTTAATGACTCTAGGCCTAGGTGATTGAGGTTTACATTTGTCTAATTGTGTAAGTGATTAATGCCCTTAGCATGGTCACCTCATTCTGGGCTGTTCAGGTTAATGGTATTGATTTAGCTGAGGTTGAAGGTGGGGAGGTGTCAATTACCAACTTGCACTCTTGCAACGGCCCTGAGTTTGTTTTTCAGCTTCGATTTTCTATCAAACAGGATGTTGCCTCAACCATAAGCCCAGGTGAACAACATACTGTTCCTATTCGTTAGATATGTGAACCTAAATTTCTGATATTGTTGACTTCAATGAACAACATCACTTTTCACATTATTTAGTTTTATACTCTTCTCGAGTCCTTTGTTCTTATTTTGAGTGGTGGCCAGTGATGCAATGCTAGCTTTTAGCATATGCCAGCTTTGAGTTTTTGTAGAATTAGTTTCTAAAAATGCGATATTTCAGGTTCAAGGACATCTCAAGAAGCTAATGCACGTATAAAGTGTGTTTATTTCCCCATTGCTGAGGTACAGAAACAGCTAGCAAAACATACTTTCTCTCTTTTAGTAGAGTGTGTGATTTGAAAATTTTCTTCTTACAGGGTAAAGAGAATATTGAGAAGATATTGGAGAACTTAGAAGCTCAAGGGTATGGAATTGGAGAAAGCTTTGAGACATTCACACGTGTGTCTATCCGGAGGCTCGGCCGTCTGCTTCCAGATGCTCGTTGGGTTAGTTAGCTGTCTTGCTATACGTCCTAATGAATTTGATTGGTAGACAAACCACTATCTGCCATCTTGTGCACCATACAAGTTCTGCTTTTAATATTTAGAAGTGGGGAATTTAGTATTTGACAAAAAGAAAAAACTAAGTTATGCTGTGATAAAGCTATATTCATGGTTCCAATAATTCAATACTAATTATCAAGGCTTGCTATGCATTCTCAGAACCATACCGTGCTTTACTTACAGAGCTAAGTTGCATATTGTACATTTTGATATGAATATGCAATATTAAGTCTTAGACTAATAGTGTGGGTCAAACTTTATTCCAGTACCCATAGGTTTAGCGTCTTCAGATTCTTATCTGAGTTCATAGTTTCTCTCTTCTAAGATTTATGCACTAGGTGATTGTAATTCATCTTGATATAATTAATATAATTACGAGCGGCCAATTGAAAATTTAATATCTATAGAGTGGACAATTACCAGATAAAGAATTTTGACAAATGGTACCTGCATCCTTGGAACTTGGTGGCAAAAACATGAATAAGCACCATGAATTTCCAGAACTTTTATTTTAACTTGGAGAGTTGTCTTGTGGTGTAAAGGTGACTTGCTTAAAGATCTAGGGCAATGAAGTGCTACTACTTCAGATGTCAAATCTCTGGACGTCCACGATGACATTTCCCTAGAATCTGTGAAATACATGTCCTGGAAGATGTTCTGTTTTGCCTCCTTCTGGAGCTTCTGGCTGCATTATCTTGGAGCTGTTATATGTCGGTCAATTAGGTGTTGCTCCATTTGCCTCTGTCACATGATTTGTCAATGGAGTATGGACCATGTAGGGTTAGCTAAACGATTGCTTTATTATCAAACATTGATAATGGTTTCATGGTATCCTGATTCTAACCCCACTACTGAACTACAAGCTAAGAAATCAGACGTAACTGTTTTCTGAGCTGCAGTCTGATGCTGTAGGAAATCTTGTTTGATGTGAGAATTTCCTGATGCTGCATGTGATATCTTAGTTCTTTCTACCCATTTTTGCTTCTTGGATTTGAGAAAGCATCCTGTATTAACATGCTAATTGGAACTTCAAAAAGGGCATTTCTCAGCATTGAACTCTGGTGAAACACTACCAGGGGATGCAACTTTTGCACTCACATGATCAACTGTGAGCACTGCAGATTATGAGAGTTTGATTGAATTCTACCTTGTGCGCATGTGTAAATACTGATACACAAACTAAAAGGAATTGAAGTAATTGCATTGTGGGTGCTAGGGAGGAATTGAATAATACAAAATATATTGTGCTCTAGGTCTGTTCTATTTCCATACGCCCTTGCTCTAGTTTAATCCAATTTGTTTTCTTACAAGTCTCTGGTACTTTACCCTTGTTTGACTGGTTGATCTGCAACTCAGTGACTGCTACACCTAACATCAATTGTTCTGCTTCATTATAGACACGTCTTCCTTTCATGGAAATCAAGCAGAAAAAAGGAGATAAAGCTCACTTACTGAAGAGATGCTGCTTAAGAGTTAAATGTTTTATTGGTATACTTTTGTGACAATATTCTCATCTTTTTGTATCACATTTATAAAATGTTTCTCATCTCTGTGTATATGCAGTACCTTTTTTTGTACTTTTTTCTGCATTATCTGTACTCACCAGAAACTGTTGTATTTGCAGAGACTGATGCTGGTTTCAATCCAACACCCTCAAAGGTAAGGAACTTAATGAAGTTTATGGTACACACACATGTGAACACTATTATTTGCCACAGCTTGGTGCTTAATATGGGGTTGTTTACTTTGTATCGAGTCTACTTTCTTTCCTTGAGCTAACTCCTCTTCCTCTGTTATGTCATCTCACATATAACATTAATTTATGCAAATTTATTGCTTAACTAGTGGTCAGCTTAGAAATGCATTAGTAATTGTTTGGCTAATAAGTCAGCAATTATTTCTTATTCAATATGTATTATGCATTTCTGCACTTAGATTTTTCCTGTTTCACCTTGTGCCATCTGAATCAGTACTCATTAACTTCAATTTGAAAATTGAAAAAAAAAAAAAATCAAGAAGCAAAACCTAGGTGATCTAGCGCACACATGACTCATGTACCTCATTGACACACATTAGTGCTTTAATTTCAACTAGAGGAAAGGATAGGTGCACGCACACACACACATCTAATAACCAACTTCAATCACTTTGGGAGAGTGATTAGGCAATAAATGCAGCCACTAATGCAAATGTAGCTGCATACAATGAAATGAACCTTGCTAATGTAAATGAACTGCAATTTGCAGACTGATCTAGCACACCACAATCCCTTTACAACTGCTTTGAAGAACTTCAGCTATAAGAGGCTTGAGAAAGAAAAAGGTTGTGTTTTTCTCTCATTTTCCATTTTCAATGTGGAGATAGTTTCAATTGGTTCAGTCCATTAGATGTTATTTTAATTTAATAATTTCATCATTGTAGGAGTTAATATTGAAATTTCACAAGATGGTAAATTGTTGAGTCCTTCAAATCTGGAGAAAAAGTATGAAGATTGGATTCTTGAGATGCATTCTCATTATGATAAAGAAATCGATGCTGGTGAGGATGATGGAGTTCTTGTCGTTGGCCTCACAAACAAAATACCTGGCATTTCATCTGATGGTAGGTCTGGTTAACATCTTATATTTTGGAGAGAAACATGTTGGCTGACATCTTGATTTGATTATAAATATCTAACTCATTTGCAACCCTGCCATGTAATGTGTATAAGTATAGAATTTGTTCATTCAACTCTTACTTTTGTTGCTTAATTGGTGTTTTTAAGTGTTCTTTTATACGATTTTAGTTAATCACATAATTTTTTTTCTTTTCACCTTGTAGTTGTGAGAGTGCATGATACTTTAAAGAGGAAGGGAGCAATTTGGAAACGTGGTCAGAAAATAAAAGTTTTAAGGGGAGCTGGGCCTGGGTTCCATAGTAAAAATGTTTACCTAACATTAGAATATTTTTTGATAGAAGGATTTCAAGGCGATGCTGGTGGTAAGTAACATTTCTTGCAGCATTATGACATTGAACTTGAGGCCTGAACATTGTTTGAATGTAAATGGAACAGATGACTTTCATGTCCATGCCCTTGTGTTGAATTGTTTGAACCTGACTCTTTTTTTTTTTTAAATATCTCTGTTAAATAGGGGATGCTTGGATTATATGCAGGTATAGCTGTACTTTATATTTTCTTTGCAGAATTTCTTTATCGTTGTGTACATCTTATTGTTATGATCTTTTTCTCATGATATCTTCATATGATTATATGGATATGGAAGGCCACTGGAGATTGCAAAGGAGAATGGCTGTGTGCTTTTGGTGAAAGATGGGATTGCCAGTTTCGATATTCACAGTTCTCAATCAATATCTATTAGTGTGATCGACTGTGGGAAGGTTTGCTTCATGATTACATTCAATGTTTCTTTTTCTATGCACACACACACACACACACATTTTTATCAATCTCTTTTCCATATGATTGACTAGTTTTCCGAATCATGGTCCACTGCATTAGTGCCAAACTATTGAAAGTTCTGAGTGGGATTGCCAACTTCAGAAGCAATATCAGAAAGCTCCCTCTACAATTGAATTGCTTGGAGAAAAACATTGTCGAGAGTTGGGGATCAATGGGGTTAGTGCATTCCAACATTCTTTTCTATGCTTATTTGGGAATGAAGTGGCCATTCACATCTTTTATCCTCCTTTTAGTATTCTAGGGAAGAAAACTTTAAATATATGTCTTGAAAACCATGCTTCAGTTGGGATTGCAGTGGCTAAGCCACTCAGCCCATACTGGCACAAAATTCAGCATTGAAACCTTTGGTTATATATGTCTTCTCCATCTTCATGGTGATCACTTGTATAGATATATTTTTTTCCATTATGATTTCTGTTCACAGAACTGTAACTATCTATACAATCTTGTTCTCTGATTTAGGCATTCCCAGTTGATGCTACAGTTCCAGCTGGATGCACTCCTCCTATGGAAATAGTGGCAGTTGTTCGACCTGGTTGTTACGTCTCTTCCAGCCATTCAAAGAATTTGGACCAAAAGTATATTGTCAAAACTGATTTAGAGATGTCTATAGAGGTTAAACTCAGAAGATCAGCAAAGGAACACCAAAGCGTAAAACATTTATATTCAGCACGTGTAGTTCCTTCTTCTCGTAAAGGGTTTGATGGCTTGTATATTTTTTCACTGGGTTACAACAAGGTGTCCAACTTATTTAAAGAGGCTGGTGTTTACACTTTTTTATTTACTCTCGTAAGTGATGCACTACTTAATCATGTATTGTTATTCATTCATATGTTGCAGTGTCGTTTATTTTTCTGATCATGTTCTAATGCAATAAACTTGATCTATAGCATGATAAAGATTGTAAGAAGTATGAAAAAAGAGTGATGGTCAAGGCATCTTCAAAGGTTGGAAAGTGGAAGCTTTTGAGTGATAAGCAGGAAAAATTGTGTGTGAGGTAAGGTAGCTTTTCATGATTAAGTCATTAACTTTCTTTGTACTAAATTGTTTATAGAAGCCTGCGAGACTTGATTTTAAATCCTTCCAAGTTCATTAGAAAATGGTTTTGAATTACTGTACCAATAAAGCATGCACTTATATGTGCATATTATATTTATAAGTTTTCATTTTTCTTCTAATCAAATAATCATCTAAATAGGGTGGGTTCATCATTTCCATCATTCTCTATTGGGTGTTTTGACATCTACGGAAATCGAATTCCATTCACATCCGTTCCAGAAACAACTGTGAAGCTACTAGATATGAGTGCCAGTGTGCTTGCTGAAATAGCCAAATTTAAGGCATACCTTTCTTCTGATAAATTGACTCTTCTAGTTAAGGTACTCTTTATCTATGGCCCTTTTGAAGATTTGCTATCTATCTTTTTTCTTAGGCAAAAAGTGCCTCTTACATAATCAGTGCCTTATTTGGGGTTTTTTTTTTTGAAAAAAATCAGAATGTGCTAATTGTGAGCGATAAGTTGGATAGAATACGGCCAGACTATGAAGCCACATTGGTGATATGCCCAGTAAATAAGTTGGTACCAGTTTCTATTCAATGTCAAGGTACTCTGATCTATATGTGACAATGTTGTTCATAATGGCATGGACATAATGTTTAATTCTCTCTCTCGATGTTATAATGGATTCTTCATCATTGTTCCTCATTTTGTATTAGTTATACCCGGATCATTACAGTGCATCACAGTCCAACCATCAATACAGGAAAAACACTTGCTTCCCGGTTTTGTGGTTAAAGAGCTTGTGTTAGAGGTAATTATTGTTATTAATTTCTGGTGCATCCTCTATTTAAGGAAATTTGAAAATTCAAGGTTTCTTCTTGTTCTTATGCGAGCTGTTGCAAATCTGTATTTGGAGAAGAAATTGAAAATTGGATTATTTCTAATGAAATTAGAGTTACAACCACAAACAAGAAAGTTTTTTCTACTATAAAAAAAGCTTAATAATACTAAAATCTGATCACTTCAGCAGCTTCGGAAGATATTGAGTATGAGAATATTCATTTTGATAGGATTTAACTTCAAAATTGTAATTGTTCATCAACCATTTTAAGTCACATGCTTCAGTACTTTATACCAAATTATCACTTTCTTAGTTTTTAGTAGCAGGATCTAATTTACAGAACTAAAAGAACTAATACAATTCTGTGATCCTTCACGTCATGTAAGGATAAAAAGCTTACTTACGGCTTTGATGTTTGATTGTAGAAATTCATTTACATCTTGGTGAATGAAGCATTGAAAGTTAAATTTCCTTTCCTCTTCAATGCAAAATCTGTGACTACAATATAATAGAAAGAACCATCATTAAATTGTCATATTTTCAATCTTTCTATCCCTTAGCTTAATGTTTCTCATATGCTTCTTCTTTCACCCCATTTGAGTTTCAAGTTTCATGAAATCTATATTTTACCTAAGTATCAAGTATGCTTGATTCCTTTTACTTGATGCGGAATGAAAAATATTATGATTCCTTTCATAGTGGATTGTTGGATACCTAGGTCATATTGATGTCACATTTTAATGGACTGAGCATGATTTGACAACATAAGCCAATTTCCATGACATTAATATGCATCAAAGTAATTTCATATTATAGATACTAGAATAATCTTTTGGTGTGTATAAAATTCTTAGCAGACAAACTTGAGTGGAACAGAAAGGGAATGAGCTCACTGAGATTTGTTGGAGTGGTTTTATTGACATGCTTATTATACCTACTACTTCCAGATTTTTGATGCCCATGGTAACCATGCTAGAAAAGGCTTGGAAGTTCAGTTGAATGTGGACGGGTTTCATATCCTTGATAAAGAAGGTTCAAAGCGTAAGGTCAGGTTCTATTGCTTTTCGACTTTCTGATTATTTGATTTTCAATAATGGCTGGATTGTGTAGTTAAAATGAGAGAGGAGGGTTGGGGAGGTTATTCTCATATACAAGGAAAAAGCAGATGCAAATAGTGAATTGTGGATGGCAGTCGATTCTGTGGCCTTAAAATAGATTATGCTTGCCATTATTTTGAATCTCTGTGTAAGCGATGTCAAATGCAATCATGAATTTTGATAATATCCTACCATGTATTGATTAAAAAAAGAAAAAAATTAAGACTACTTTCCACAGAATACTTAGCCATTGTAAAATTTCATTCTACCTTTTCGTCATTTCATTTTCAGTTTAGTGCTTTTCTTCAGTTGGAAGGTGGCGATGCGTGTACTTGATTTCATTCATACATTTTTAATAAACATGCACAGTAATCAGTGATGCTAGTCCCCATGCATGGTTTAATTAAGTTCCTCAGAAATTCACAACATATCCCTGCTGATGAATAGAAGGGGGCCTGGCTGGCTTCTCACCTATTCATCTTACAAGTGAGAATGAATTTGGTTACGCGAAGCTTTGATCTCCAAGGCTTTTCATCTATTCATCTTACAAGTGAAAATGAATTTGGTTATGCGAAGCCTTAATCTCCAAGGACAATTTCTTTTTAATAATATCATTTCCTTGCCTTTGTTTTGGATGTCAACAGTATTTTCACATCAAATTGTGCACTCTCTACCTCAAGTATGATTTACCACTATGCCAGATGTTGTTTGTTTTCATTCCTTGGTGTATTAAAAAGAGAACTCTTTTTTGAAGAGGCTTCACATTAGTATATTATGGTCATAGAGTTATTCCCCGTGGGCATTTTTTATGAGTAGCAGTTACTTGTCTCTTGCACTCATTGACCAGATATGATATTGAATGATGCATGTGATCTGCTGTCAGCAATTATGGTGTATTTCTCACATATTCAATGGATATTTGCATCATTGTTTGCAATTTATGTACAAGAAAATGAACCGTCTCCTAAAACATTAGACAGATACCTTTTATGGCATGCCAATTCTTATGGTTCATTTGGAGATCTTAAGCAGGAATGTAACAGTAGTTGGAATCGAGGTTTAAGCATGAGGTGTGATATGAGTGCTGACTTTGAACTTTTTCAATCTAGGTGGACAATGATGGATGCATTGATCTCAGTGGTGTCTTGAAAGTAACAGCTGGTTTTGGAAGAATAGGTATGCCATCATTATCCTATAGCTTGTAATCCCTTTATTTTTCTCTCTCTATCATTGTGCAACTCTTTCAGATTATCATAAGGCTGAAAGACTTTTAAAGAAGCAAGTCCAACGTAAAAATAGTTAAAAAACGAAGTGTTTGTGATCTTTTCTAAAACTTATTATCAAAGCCAAGAAAATATTTACTCGTCTGTCTATGTGATTCTGTTAATTGTATATGTACAACATAAACTCTGGTAACTTTCTAGTTTGTTAATCATATTATACCAACTTCTCAAACTTTGATTAACTGTGCAGTCAATAATAGTGTTCCTTGATTTTGTTCTAGACTTTGCGTATCAACTCAGTTGTTTGGTTTTCAAAATTATGGGCAATATTTCTTCAGTAAGCACTTGAAACTTGTAAAAGACAATCAGTACCTAGCATCCACTGGTTTCTAGTAATTATGTTCTGGTAATTTGAAGTCCTGGCCTTAAAACACAATTTTGAATGATCTGGTATAGGGACTCATTGACTTACATTTTTGACCATCGTCATAAACTTTCTATAACAAGAATGAAGAACTTGACTGTTGCAATATTGGGCTAGTACTTACAGCTGTGTTGATTTGGTTCCAATACCTCAATACCCACACGCTTATTAGCTAAATGACAATTGTTGCATACAATACGACCAGTTGCTTCGCCCGGCTTTTCATAACCCTGCTGTGCAAAAATGGGGTATGCATTTGAAATGTATGCCCCAGTATACTAATTCCATTCTTCCTTCCCTGTCCTCCAGTGTCATATTCTGTTTCATATCAAGACACAGTTGTTCTTAAGGAAGAGCTTCGAATTGAGAAGAGGGAGCTGAGAATTGCATCAAAGGTGAGTTTTGTAAGTTTTGTCATTTGATTGTCTTAGATATGTGGCTCCTTAAAGTAATTACTAACCAATTACATCCTTTTTTCCCTTTCAGCTACCAGAGCTTGTTACAGCAGGATCTGATCTGGAAAATGTAGTTTTTGAAGTTGTTGATTCTCAGGGTCTAGTTGATGTCTGTATCCATAATGAAGAGAAAGCTGGCCAGTACCATTCACTAACTATAAAGTCAGATTCCTTTAATTTAGAGGATTCTATTCAGTATACTTTGAGGCATGGTCGCTGCACTATTCCTGCAATTCGAATCCCTCTAATTGAAGGAAGCTTTTGCTTTATTGCTGCTCACTCCTGTTACCCAGAGCTTCAACTGAGGGTCATGCTTCCTGTCATGAAAGCTACAATACTGGAGTGTGGTGAGAATCCGTCACCATATTCAAACAGAAAGGTCTTACTGTCTCAGGACTCATTGTCGCTTGAGCATGCTGAAAACCTAATGATGTCCATTGTAAATAATGAAAAGGTACATACTCTTCTGGTGCAAATGTGATCTTAAGAATTAGCTTGAGACTCCCTTTTTTTCAAAGTAAATATGCCAGTTATGTTCTTTTACTTATTTGGAAGTCCCCATCCAACACCGAGTTTGGAGATTTTATTAGTTTCATTCTTTAAGTAGTGCTTGTTATATAGCTAATAAATGAAGTCAGATTTCAGTTTCTTTTCTTGGACTATTCCTGACAGGGACTTGTGGATGACATTGAAAAATATGGTGAGCGAATTGGATGGTTAGAAAGGGCACTAGAACACTTGAATGGTCGGAAGACAGAGATTGAGGAGCACATCTCTGAGCTGCAAGGTTTGGAATTACTTGTATAGTTTTTCTCCATTTAGTTTCTACTTTTTTAAGAATCCGTAAAATCTCAAAATGAAAGAAAGCAAATTGATGTTGTGCATGGTTGGCTTTGTTCCCAGATTCCATGGAACCAACCTTAGATAATTCAAACTATGTGCTCACTAAGGAGGAGATCCTGGAACAAATTGGAAGTAGGAACCATTCTGCAGCAGCTATTCTCTGCCATCATTATAGAGATTTATCATCTCAAGAATCACAAAACCATTTCATGGAAGGTATATTCGGGTTGGTTGCCCTGCTTGGAACAGCTAGGACTAAGAAGCTAAGCAGGCATGTAGTTGTTCATTTTATCTTGTTGTTAATGAGATGAAGAGCTTTGAGCACTTTCTTATGTGTAATCTTTTCTTTTAACTTCGTCATTTGCAGGGTATTGGCTGAGTTCTTGGGTGAAGACCAAATGCTTGCTGTGGTGTGCAGATCCATGGAAGCTGCAAGTGCTTTTGGAAAATCTATTTCTGGACGCTTTCTTGTCATATGCCTCAAGGATATAAGGTACTACAATAGGCTGATGCTTGTGTTTTGTTTCTTCTTTATCTCCGCCTTATAAACTTGGGATTCCTCTTGCATAACCTTGGGCATGTAGGTAACCATGATGTTCTTTTAGTTGGTTTTTTACAAGAAATGAATAAACTGTGCCAAGATTTTTGTTTGACAGGCCTTATACAGGGGAGCTCGAAAGTGGTGACCCGCAGAGGAAACTAATGTTGCCAGATCCTAAATTACCATGTGGGAATGTGCCATCGGGATTCATTGGGTATGCTGCCAATATGATAAGGTTAGATAACCAACATATGAATATAAGGACAGCATCTGGACATGGTCTTCGAGAAACTTTGTTCTATCGTCTCTTTGGTGAACTCCAAGTTTATGACACGAAAAAACACATGAACGAAGCCCGAGCTTGCTTCAAACATGGTGCTGTTTCTTTAGATGGTGAGATCATCAGAGCCAATGAAAATGGCATTACATCTCTCGGGTTCTGGTATGGTTCTCTCTCGTCCACATATAGATATGCTTATATATCTTTCTAACAGATTTTCTTTTTGAAGATAATTCATTAGTGCAAAAAATTAATTGATGGCTCATGTGCATGTTTAGGAGTGTGCATTCATAAGTTGGCTCCTCATGTGTGTTTTACCCAAAAGTCTATAATATATGCATTTTATTCGAGGTTGTAAGAAAGGAAAAGGCAACCAAGTTCTAATCATCTGTTCCCTTCAGGAATTCTGAAATTTGCTTTCCTGTTGAAACATTGGAGAATGAGATGATGCATGTTGCTCCGGAGAGGATGCAAATCCAGGAACAACTCAAAGCAAGCATGGAGGAGTTGCAAACCATAACAGGCAAAATAGAGGATGGGACAAGACGGCATGACAAAGCTTTGAAGAAGTTCAAGAAGAGAGCCGAGAGGTACCAGAAGTTCATGGATCATGTGGAGGAGGTGGAGCCTGTGCTCAATAGGAAATAGTAATGTTCCGTAGATCCATAGGATATCTTGATGATGCTAACACACAAGTCAGTCTGATGTATTTGTAATTACTTTCCTGATTTAGGTTTTTGCTGGTGATCATATTGTATAGTACTAGGGTTTTGTAGTGTAATGGGGAAGGCAACTCATAACAAAGACAAATGTACCAGTAGCTTGGACCTTCTTGTATAGAGGATCTTTGAAGTTTAGTTCAAAGCATGTTTACTCATCTCACTACAATATATATATATATATATATATATATATATAATCTTTACTTGGATGAATAAACATGATTATCCATGTACCTATGAATGATTGTTCAAATTAATTGTTTTATTATATTCCCATTCTTTCGAAAATTAAAAAGATTTAATTTGTAATTACAACAGATTTGAAAGATATATTGTACTTTACATAATAAAAGATTACATTTGAAAAATAAACTTACATATTTTTTAACTGTTGGATTGGAGTTTTTCATTTTTATTTTTTAAATAATTGTGTATGATATTATCATTAAAAAATCTTTGCACAAATAATTTTTTTTATATAACAAAATAAGCATACAAATAGATTATCTCATGAATATTATGATTTCCAAAGTCGCAAATATAAGAAACTAAAATTTAAAATATATTTTTAAATTAAGTATAGATGTATTATTTTTTTAATTAAAAAAAAAAAAAAAAAACTGGATGGATTTGAATCTTCTCTTCACCACTTAAATGAACTATTTTGCTGAGCTTTTTAACTTGCGAGAGATTGAATCTTGACTTGAGTTTTCGTTATTTTTTTAAAGAAAACTTTGGATTTAAAATATAATCATTAAAAGAATTAGAACCATTAGATTTTTTACCGATCCAACGGCTGAAATCGAGTTTGTATGAGATTGTGCTTACTCTAGCCACCACAAAGATTGAGAATTATAAATTAATCCTGCTATTTAAAAAATAATTATTTAGTTTTTAATTAATATTGATTTGACTTAATTTAATATTATTTTATTTCATAAAATGTCATTTTTATAATAATCTTTTTATATTTTTAGATATTGTTTATTTTTTTATTTTTTAAAAAAATAAAAAAAAGGACTAATCTAAAAAAATTAATATAAAAAATAAATAATTAAAATTTAAAATCAATATGATTAATTAATTTATTTCTCAGAACTAGAGAGATTAATTTATAATTTACTCCAAAAACGTTCCAAATAAATGAAAATCTAGAGAGAGAACAATTACTTCCCAAAGTAAATTAACCAAAAAAAAAAAAAAAACTCAGAGTGTGACTGAGTCGCCAGAGCTCAACTCACCAAAAAAAATGTTTCAGCCCAGCCACCATTCTCAGGTTTGCTTCACTTCTCAAATTCTGTTTGTTTCCCAAGAAAATGCAGGAAAGTTAAACAATATTTTGAACTTTCTTATTTCTCAATGTAAAGTTCAAGTTTTTTTTTCCTCCCTTTTTGGCCACATTTTCTTGGAAACCTAACAGAAACCCCATTAGGGTTTTTACACATGCATGAACTTGTTTTGGTGTTTTAAGCAATTTGAAGGTTGAAAACGACACTCTTGTTGTATTATGTTAGTCTTCTCTATATGTCTATTTTCTTTTATTAGTTTCTTGAGTGAAAAGAAGAACCCTTTATTGGGAATCCTGGAAGCTTAAAAGTTATGAAAGAGAGCTCATTACTCAGTATTATTGAAAGAAACTTTTAAGAGTGAGTTTGCTGATTTTGTTATGATGATGGGATTTGTTTATGAGTATGTTTGTGGAAATTTTACAATGTGGGTTTTGACTTGTTTTTAATACACAGTTTCTGGTGAAATTTTAGCTTGATTGAATTTTATTTAATTTATTTATAGACATGGGATTGCCTGCTTCGTAATTGTAAAAAATTTTTTGGTAGCGCGAACTTGAATCTGAGTTTTGAGGGTGATTCACAGTGCAAGAAGGCATTATAAGACATTTAAGTGGGTTTGTTGTTATTTTTATTGTCAGTGTTATTGAACTTGAAACCCCTCTTACATGAGGACTTGCTGGGTTGGGGGAAAAGAATGTATAAATTTGGAACAAGAAGATTCATTTAGGTTCAAGGAAGTTTTCGTAGGATGAGAATAGACATTGATGGAATGTTGCACTCTTTAATGTTGTAAATCCCCTGTATCTGAATGGCATGCAATTAATCCAGACGATTATTGTTACCTTGGCATGTAACTTATTTAACCTTCAGATAATTAGAGGACTATTGGGGAAATCAAAGGGAGCAAAAGCATTTCCATTGGCAATTGTATATCATCATTATACACTTTCCCATTCTGAAATTTAATAAGTTCGGTGAGAAAATTCTGTATTTTCTTTTTTAGCTTGAAAATCCTCGTAGAAAATAGTGCCAGTGGTTTTATATATACTAGAATTGTATTTTCTTTAATTTACTTGATTGGAGAAAATGTTTTTGTCTTCCATCTTTCTTGTTCTTTAGAGTGATGCATGATAAATTCTCCACATTATGTAAAGAAAATCTTCCCATGAAGAAAAACGAGCCTGCTAATGAGCAGACTGTTCAGTTCAAATACAAGCAATTCCTCTTCTTTCTGGTTTCAATTCTCACCAAGGCATCTTCATTCTTTCTTTCTTTTTGTTTTTCCCCCCACTTCAGGATGCTTCCTCATCTGCATTAATGCAAGTGGATCCAAAAGAAACTAGTATTGTTGTGAGGGATGAGATGCAAAATGGAGGATTTCCACAAGCACAAACCATCCTCTACAATTCTAAGGTTCTGAAGTAAAATTTAATCTGCTATATTATTCTTTGCTACAGGTCTGTTAATGGAAGTAGTAAATTAATTGTAAGTTTTTTTAGTCTTGAATGTGACTATTTATGAGTTTTAATTCTGGCGAAGGAGAAACAGTAACATCATATTAGTTAGAGTGAAAGAATTGAAAAGATTCATGATGATCATCACTATCACTGTATTGCATACTTGTTGTTCAATTTTACTTGTGGTTAAGATCTGTCTACTGTTTGTGTACGCCTGTTAGGTAAGTATATATATTTATATATGTCTTACAAAAGGAAGGTTTCATAAAAAAGATGCAGAATTTTTTATGTTTCTTAAGCTCACTTATATATATATATATATATATCCACTCTTGATACTTGGAATTTGAGAATGGGTCGAAGTACTAACTTTGGAATAACCCTGCAGAAACTTCAAGAGGATTTGCACGTATTGGGGATGAAAATCAAGCATCATGAGGACAACATTAAGTTTTTGAAGAGTCACAAAAACAGATTAGATGACTCCATTCTCGATCTACAAGGTATTCTTAATTTCTTACTTTCTACATACACACCATGGATTTTGAAATATAAAATCCTTCTTGGACTGTGGAAAACTGATGAAAAGTCTTAAACGTATCTGTCACAATCATGCTGCTAACTGGGATGGAAAGTACATCTGAGCATATATTTATCATTTCCATTTTAAAATTTATTCAATTTCTGAGTGGATGCTGCATCCAAGATATTATATTGAACAGTAACACTTCTTTGGGGCTTTGAATAAAACGGGGTTGTCCAGGTGGCATGAGCCCCTTTGGGATCTGCCATTCTTGTGTTATGATTTCATTTAATTTTTTGGTTGTTGTGAACCACAAAATTGTGGATACAAGTAGTATAATGCGAACTTGAGGTCTGGTTGTCCATTCAGAAAGGAGTTCTTTTAAAGGTCAAATCCTAGAATATTTTGGATCTTGGCTCTCTATTTATCACATGTCATACATTTATCCCTTTTTTCCCATCACATTCTCTCTATGAATGATTTTCATCCCAGTTACCCTTGGCAAGTATCATTCTTCAACAATGCCGAATAATGAAAATGATGCTCATTCCTCCAATCAGAGTGAGGAGGAAACAATGGAACAAATTCTACGTCATGAAAAATCTGCTGCGGGCATTTTGTGCCAACTGAAAATGCACCATGGTACTCAAACTTCTCATCTATCATTGACCAACGATGTGCTTGGTGTTGTTGCTACACTTGGCAAGGTAGATGATGATAACCTTGGCAGGTCAGTTAGAATCTTCTTGCTATCTGTTATTCATGTTTATGAGGTTGTGAATTGTGCACTGTTTACAGCTTCTCTATAGCTGAGGTTAATGTTTAAAGTGATGTTTAATTTTGACAAATGGCCATTTTAAGTATTCGGTATAATGAAATCGAATCATCATCCATCATCTCAGAACAATCTGTAAGTTCACAGTTTTCATGCGGGAATAAGTGTATCCCTTCTGTTCTGTGATTTAGAAGTTGAATTTAGGTTCTGCATAATTACAGTAGAACCAGTGCTGGTTGGATGTTCAAATGACATTAAAATGACCTCTCAACTGTTCAGCCTGCTGATGATTCTATCTTTATTAGTATGCATAATGCTTGATTTATCTTTTCGCGTTTAAAATGAATGCAGGCGTTTTTCAGAGTTCTTAGGTGTGGAGACTATGCTGGCAATTGTCTGTAAGACGTATGAAGGTGTAAAAGCTCTCGAAACATATAACAAGGAAGGCCAAATAAATAAAGGCTTTGGCCTTCATGCCCTTGGTGCTTCTATTGGGAAGGAATTGGATGGCCGATTTCTTGTCATTTGTCTTGAAAATCTAAGGCATGAATCTCGAATGTCATCTTTTGTCAATCCAGTATTGTACTCTGTAAAAATTCCATAATTTTCTTTCCCTTTTGCAGACCCTATTGTGGTGAATTTGTGGTGGATGACCCACAAAGGAGGCTTGATCTCCTTAAGCCAAAATTGCCTAATGGGGAGTGCCCACCTGGGTTTATTGGCTTTGCTGTAAATATGATCAACGTGGAATACACCAACTTATTTTATCTCACAAGCACCGGATATGGTCTTAGAGAGACTCTATTTTATAACCTTTTCTCTCGTCTGCAAGTTTATAAAACAAGGGAAGACATGGCACTCGCCCTTCCTTGTATAAGTGATGGAGCCATTTCACTGGATGGAGGAATGATAAAGGGTACGGGTATCTTGTCTCTGGGTAATCGGTAAGTGGTTCTGCTGTCATACCTGAATTGGTAATGTTATCTGATTGCATCTTATGGTGAACATCATTATTTTACTCTCTTCACAATGGATCTTGGTGATATGAAGGGAACTCAAATGGTTGAGAATGTTTTGTGGATTGTTGACGTAGGACAAGACGTCGGTATTGAAGTGGAAGGTAAAGGAAAAAGGGAAGAGGAAAATAAGAAAAACAAAATGAAAATGAAAGGGTGAAAATGTCAGAAAAACCACAAGGAGCAAAAATCCTTTGTCAAATTCTCATTTCTTTGTAGTCAGATGTCCATAAGGGTTGTTCTTTAAATACAATATGTCAGCTCTTTATATAACCACCCAATGATAATGGAACCTACACACATACAAAAATAAAGAAAGAAAGAAAACAGAAAAAACAGAAAAATAGATGTCATAATTAAAGGTAAAAAGATAACTAACAAAAGAAAGAACAGAACTGTATAACTAATGTATAGGAAATAAAATAAAGATCCTCAATATCACTAAAAGTCTCAGTAATTAACTATAATCCAATTTTTCTTGGTTGGTTCCCTGTCAATTGAATTAGGCTGTCTTGGCTGTAGAGTTCTGGCTTCTTCATTTGTTGCCTTCAGAAGGTTAATTAATGATTTGTGGAAGCACTAGTAAGTGCATGATGCTTCTACAGCTTTGTAAGTTGTGGGGTCATCTCATTCCAGATTCCCTTCTTTTTAGTACTCATTTCATTGGTATAGCATAGCTTTTAGGTGCTCTTATTCTGATGTTTCGCTTTCTCTTAAATGATACTAAAACATCACTAGTTTTAAAGATGTCTCCTCATTATTTAAAAGGGTGTTGCTTTTACTGAAAGTCACTTGCATGGAATATTATTTTTTTTAAATGATCGATGACAGGTGATTTTGAACAGTAAAATTAAGATTTTTTCGTTGGATGCGATGCATCCTTCAAGTGGTTGACCTTTTCTACCGCATCCCATCTTCTGTGTTTTAGATTTGTCACTGTAGATATGTCATTGGCCAATTAGAAATGAGCTCTCATTTGCTGCAGTATATTTTTTCTGGAACTTGTATGATCTATAGGAATGATGTGGATGTAAGATTCCCAAAACTGTCTGTGACATCAACCTTGCCTGACAACTACGTTGACACCGAGAAGCAGCTCAAGGAGATAAAATGGAAAAGGGAAAAATTGCTGGAGGATATAAAGAGAGAACAAGCACTATTGGATGCTGCAAAGCAAAGTTTTGAGAGAAAGAAGGAAGAGTTTGTTAAATTTCTGGCTCAAAGCTCAGCATATGCAACTCAGGTAATACTTCGTACATATCTTATGATCTGTAATTGACAGCCTCCATCTCACTCAGTTGTATTTAGTTGCTTCGTTTTGTGTGTGCATGTGTCTGCGTATATGCAGAAGCCGCATTCCTTGGTAAGATACAAATTTTAAACCAAAATGCATTATGTCAAGCTCTAGTTACACTTGAAAATGCCCCCCCATGAAAGCAAGAAATTATAATAGTTGCACAAACTATTATTTTAATGAAAGTGCTATTATTCAACTAATAAAAGTAGGGCATTAATCTTCTTCTATTTCATTGTCTTCTATCTATTATAAACAGTTGAATGAACTTCCAAGGCAATGATCATGCGTCATGTTCATGGTTTAGGTCCTTTTTACTAGGAAAAGTGCAATTACCGATACGAAATTTGTTTCAGTCAGAGTCATTTCATCTTTGAGTAGTTATGATTAATAAATCTGAAATATGGTCTTCAATGGTTCAACAGATGCAGGCAGGATTTACTTCAAGATAACTTTTTAATTGAAGAAACTTAAAACACCTCAATGGAGCTCAACATTTTCCTTCCTGATTCTGGGCAAAGAATATCTTGACTGAATGACAGGTCTTGTCGTTTTCAATCCACCGAGAGCGATTACTTCTGCAAATTCTATTTTGCTGGAGCAGAAGTAATTCTATTGTGCTGGAGTCGCTTCCGATCCCATGTTTGTTTGTAGGAAAATTCTAGTACACGATTGTCCATAGGATGCAGATCCTTTGTACTAGGAAAAGGTACAATTAGTATTCACCTTGTATTAGTCTCTTACTGGTAGTTGTCTGTTTCATTCCCTCCCAAGCTCTACGTACATGTTCATAAGGCTGCTGTTCAGGTCATTTGCCCATCAAAGGCTGCTAATCCCTGTATTGTTTCTTGACCTTAAAATTTTCAACAATGGATGGGAATGTTTTCTTTTACAAGTGTGAGTTCTGACAACTAGACTGCTGATGTGTCAACTGACAGGTTTGAAAGGACCAACTAAAATTGCCCACGTGTCAGGTCATCATACCTGGATTCCTGGGTGTGTTCTTGGGTCCTGCTTGCTTAATTCTCGATTTTGTTGTAAAGCTTGTAACTTTAAACTAAGTTCCAAACTATCAGAATTCCTTAAAAAAAAAGGCCCCCGTTTTCAAAATTGTCATAAATTTTAACAGAATAAATCAGAAGAGAAGGCATCACCAAATAAATTAACCTAATTTAACCTAATCCTAAATTATTTGTCTTCTCCAAAAAATTTGCAGGCCAAAACAAAGGCGCGAAAAAATATGCGTATATGTAAAAAGGTTTTCCTTTTCTTCTTAAAAACCCCAGTCAAATAAAAAGTAAGTAAATTATAAATTAGTCTCTTCAATTTTGATAAATGAATTTATTAGTCTCTTTTGTTTTGAAAGCTAATTATTAATTTTTTTATCTTTTTTTAAATTTATTTTAAAAATAGAAAAAAAGAATAATTAGATATTATGAAAAGACCAATAAAATTTTATTTTTTTGAAATAAGTAATATTGAATTAAACTTAATGAAGAAATTAAATAATTAATTTTTTAAAAAAGATAGACTAATTGGTCGTTTATGGAAACTAGAGGGACTAATTGATAATTTACTCATAAAAAGCCATGTAAAACCTCTTCTCCCTCGATCGGAAAAAAAAAAAACGCAGCGTCCCTCTCTCTACCGCGCCACAACTCCACCATCCTTTTCTCTATTCTCTCTCCTTCCGAAGCCGCCGCCTACAGTCATCATCGTCTTCCCTTCCTACTACTGCTCCCATCACCGAGAGACCACCACCAGCCAACAGAGACAACCACCACCTTTGATAACAGCAACGCCACCTCTAGAGGCCATCAAACCCTCCTTCCCTTCCGACCACGCCTATTGGCTATTAAACCCTCCTTCTCTTTCGACCACCCCTCTAGCCATCATAAAAAAGGACGGCAACAGAATACAACCAGTGCCGTCGTTCGGCCCACCAGAAGCAAACATCATCTAGCAGTAGCTGCCCGACGCCAACGGTGGTCACAAGAGTGTCCACAGTTCACCTCATCAATCTGGCTGATCTTAGGGAATAAACCAACCGGGAGCTTATAGGTAACGACCTCATTTCCTCTTTCCCTTTTGAGCTATTGATGAGTTTTGGAATTGCGTATTTATCAATTTTGAAATGGGCGTGCTTCATATTTTTCTTACTAATGTGGATTTACCATTTTAGCTGCTGATTTATTTAGTTTTGTTATTATGGTTTTGTGACAGAAAATAAAATAGTTGGTATAGCTAGAAAGTTATTGCTTTTGTGATTGGATATGACATTTAAAAAAAATAAAAATTATAACCAATCCATGTGTTGTCACAGCTGCTTCTAGGCTGAGTTAAAAAGCTTTTTTTTTCTTTTGAAGTGATATCTAATGTTATGCATGCTTCTTTAGCGTGAAATTTGAGGGCAAAACTACTTCCTTCATTGATTACAAGTAATGGTTTTCGATTGGATGAATGGACCAGTTCTAAGAACTTGATAGACTTCAGTTCCATTGTGGATGTTGCACAATTTTTGTTCGGTCCCTTTTTTCTTGCTGCATCTTAGAGTATGCATATTACAGCAACTCCAGTTTCTTCTTTTATTACAGGCATTGATTTTTAACTGCTTATTCTATTTCTATTTCTGGTCTCTTTTTTTTTTTTTTTTTTTTACTGAAAAGAACAAAAAGTTGATATAATCAGTGTTTGAGCTGTGAAGTGTGCTCATTTTACCTTTATATATTAGAAAGTAATCAAATTTAAGAAATTATTGTCGCCCCATTAGAGCCAAGGTTAAATTTAGGTGTTTTTGATATGTTTTCAAGCTTGAATTGGAACTACTGGGTTTTGAAAGTTTTGTTTTTTTTTTTGTTTTTTTTTTTTTTGGAAGGAGATTGGGTTGTTTGAGTGTAATCAGCTTGTTATTTAGATTGTTTGATTGTTTTTGTTCCTGTGTTTGAATTTTTTTTTAAAAAATAAACTGTAAAGTTTAGGTATTGGGTTTGATTGGCAGCATAATTTGTCTTGTGTGCAGCATGCCTTCTTAGCTATAAGCAACTAATTGGTTAGGGAAAGTAGGTAACAGTATGCTAGATGCTATGTGATGCTACTTTACTGTCTTAATCCTAAATACACTGACTTCTGGAAAGTTTTTGTAGGTGATAGGAAGTACTTGAATTGCTGGAATGCTTTTACATCGTGATTGAAGTTGTGACTGATAGAAACTTTAGGGTGGGTGTCACTTGGCTCTTGCAAATACCAATTGTTGATCCATGTGTTATTGCGTCGACTTTGAGAATGAACAGTGTATTTTCTTGTCTGTTGTTTTTTCTCATTTGCATGCTTTTGTGAGAAGTGCTGGTTGGAGATGACAGTAATATTTATGAGCGAACTTAATTCCTTGTTTGAGAACAAGCATCGATTTAGGAACATGGATGGACTGGCTCTTGGAAGGGTTTATTGGAGAGAGTTTAGTTCCTCAACTGTCATTTACTTTACTCCCTGTTTGATTACTGAGGAAATAAAACAAAGCAAAATGAAAAGAAATGAAAGTTTAAGAATCAGAATTAATATTCTACTTTATTGAATTTTGATTTTTTTTTTTTTTTAATGGGTTTGAATCAGGTTTCATTTGTTTGGAAATGGGTATGCTCTATGTTTTTGCTTACAAGAGGGATTTGGCACTTTAGCTGCTTATTTATTTATTTATTTATTTTAGTCCCAAGCTTCTTGGTTTTCTAGAAAGGGAAGAGAGAATTGATATGGTTACCTTAATTATAGTTACATTTTCACTCTGTTTTTTAATGAGAAAACTAAACTAAGCAAGAAGAAAATGAAATTTTTTGTTCTTTAAGAATCAAATTAGATTTATTCACAGTCTACTTGATTGAAAGTTGAGTTTTGATCATATTTTTGACATGGGCTTGCTTTATTTTTTTCGTTTACTAAAATGGATTTAGCATTCTCAATTGCTGATTTTTATTGTTTTATAGTCCCCTTTTTTGAGCTTTTTTCTTAAAAAGCAAAGAAAGAAACACATTTGTCTCTTCATGTTTTTTTTTTTTTTTTTTGAATTGTACCCACTTCACTGTTGTGTATTGGAAAAGAGTTGCATTTATGTAGTTATATTAATCCATTAGAGGTAATTGTGAAATTAGATTTTTTTCTGAGTTGATATTTGTTATCAGCCTTGAATTGGAGCAACTGAGTTTTGAAGGTTCAGACTTTTCTTAGAGAGGAGAAAGAAGTCATCAAATCAGGGTTTTAGAGAGCGAGAAAGAAAGAAATGGAATTTTGCCCAACGTGTGGGATGTTATTGCAATATGAGCAACCAAATATGGGGCAAGGAGCTAGATTTTATTGCCCTACCTGTCCCTATTTCGCTTCTATTGAGAGCAGGGTAAATCATTTACTAGTATCAATTAGTTTGGCTTTTTTTTGCCTTTTTTATTTAATGAATGTGACGACTGTTTTGTTGTTCTTAGGTCAAGATAAAGAGAAAGCAAAAGCTTGCTAAGAAAGACATTGAACCTATTTTCACTCTCGAGGACATGAGGAAAGGCGGTGCTGAAACCGACGGTGAGTTTCTTTCTTTGTTTATTTCCGAGATATTGTTGAAGCTGCAGCATCCATGCAGTAACATGAAATATTGGTGTAGAAAGAATTCATTTTTATTAAGGCAGATGAATGCTAATGCGAATTATATTTATTTTTCTTGATTTCTTCTCTCTCTCTATCCCTATTTGATTTCCCTTCTTTCTCGATGCCAGCAACGTGTCCCCATTGCGACTTCGGAAGGGCCTGCTTCCAGCAGATACAGATTAGATCAGCTGATGAGCCAGCAACAACATTTTACTTTTGCTTGAATGAGAAGTGTGGAAAGATGTGGCGCGAGGATTGAGTATTTGTCATGCCCCTTTTGCCTTATGAACCTCACAAGTTCTACTTCGATCTTCTTCGAATGCTTCAAGTTTACATCCTCAGATATGCTTCAAAGTTGAGTTCAATAGTCCTGTTCTCACAGTTTTGTTTCCAATGCTACAAATTTGAGATATCAGTGTGGACTGGAGAAGCAACGAAATAATGTTAATGTTTTTTTCATATATATATATAATCAATTCATGAAATATTAGTCATAATTATATAGCTTAAGTCATTCATTATTATTTTTAACAAAACCTATAGAACCAGACTTAATTTTTTTTTCTTTTTGCTTGCTATAGAACTAGAAATTGAAAGCCTTAGAGGAACACATGCATTTCTAGCTTTCAATTTTCACCTCCTAGTCTTCCTTTTAGCTCTAGAATCACAGTAAAAACACAGAGAAAAAGTAAAGAGGTAAAGAAAGAGAGAAAATTAGGGATTTGTCCTTTCAAGTTCATTAAAAAAAAAAATGAGGTTCTTAATAACTTATTAAACAATTGATTGGTAGATCGGTTAAGATATAAAAAATTAGTATTGTGATCTGTAGAAACACAAATAAATATAAGCAGTGAGAATTTTGGGAGGGAGGAGCAGGTAAAAGCAGAGTTTAAAAGTTTTTATTAGCAATAAAAAATTTTGAATTTTTCTTGAATTTTAGATGACTTTTTACTGTTAGAATCGTGCAACATCATTTATGTTGAGACTAAAACTATTTCAATTTGCTAATTAAGATTTAAAGAAGTAACAACGGAGTTTTATTTTAGTGAATTTTATTTTGATCCTACCAAATAAAACTTCTTAATGCATTTTAACAATAAGAATTGATCATGCCAGAATAAATGTATTTATTCATGGTCCAAAATCTTATGTTGGATAAAATTTATTCTTAATTTAATCTATTTGTTGAATAGTTTGGATCCATGATGCAATCAAGAAAAAAACATGGATGAATACATGATAAAATTAACTAAATTCGTAATTATTTTTTATAGCCAAATTTAGAATATATTATTTATATTGATTATTATTATTTTTCTTCTAACTGCTTGGAAATGGTTTTGAAATAAAAAAAATAAATTACATTGAGTTAAGTTCCAAAAATTAATTAACAAGTCGACAATAAATTTCTGATAAAAAAATAAAAATAAAAAATTATCATCATCAATATAATTTGAAAAAAAGAAAAGAAAAGAAAAGAAAAGGACGCAAATGACCTCTACAATTATAACAACCAATGAAAAAAAAAAAAAAAAGCTGAAAAAAGCCCAAGTTCATTTCTGGGCTTGTGTCTACTACCGCTTAGCCCTAAACACACAATAAAATCCTAGTGCGACGCCGTATATGGCAGAACTCCTTCAAGTCTGTCTACTTCGAACAAAAGGAAAAGCTTTGGGGTTTAGAAACAGGCAATCACTTGCTCGCTTTGCAGTTCCTCCAATGTAAGTTTCTCTCTTTCTCCACTGATTGAATTTCAAATCTTTGATGAGGTTTTCGCCATGGGTTTTTTTCTCTTCTGGAATGGGTTTGCTTTATATTTTTGCGGACTTTGATTTAGCTGCTTCCTTTGATTTTCTTTCTTAGTTCTATGTTTTTTTCGGTTTCTGGAAAAGAAAAGAGAAGATTGATATAGCCATGGGCTTGAAGTGTACTCATTTCACCCTTATATGGAAATGCTTTGTAAGGATTGAATTAGGTTGTTGTATACTTGATATATTTGGTTAAAGTTTTGATTTTTCAAAGGGAAGAGTAAATAATCAATTTGTTATTTAAATTATTTCTTACTGGCAATGAGACAAAAGGGTGTTATGTTTGAATGAAGAGTATGTTGATTTAGGTATTGGTTTGATTTACGGCATAAGTTGTCTTAGCTATAATTAAGTAGGTAGAAACTGAATTGCAAGTTTTGTGGTTTTGATGTCTTTATCCAAAACGAAGTTGGTTTTTGGAGAGCGGTTGTAGTTACAAGGAAGTATTTGGATGGCTGGACATTCTTGGTTGAGGTAGTTGTTGACAAAAACTTTAGGATGGGAGACACTTGGCTTTCGATGGGTTCTGGAATTGTATTTTCAGCACTTTTGAAATGGGGGTGCTATATCTCTTTGCTTACTAATGTGGATTTGGCATTTTTTCCTGTTGATTTATATAATTTTGTTTTGAGTCCCAAGTTTTTTCTTTTCTTTTCTGAAAAAGAAAAATAAAGATTTGATATAGCTAGTGGTTTGAAGTGCATCGAAGTCACTATTATGTGGTAGAAAGTAATTGCATCTGTGTAGTTATTTTGACCCATTTGAGGCAAGGGTAAAATTAGATTTTTCTTACTTGATATTTGTTTTCAGGCTTGAATTGGATCGACTGTATTTTGAAAGTTTTGATTTTTCAAAAGAGAGAAGGTTTTAAGTCAAATGCTATCTCCTTATTTCAATTGCTTATTCAGTATGAAATAAACTAGCTGCCTATTGGATTTGGTGTAATTCTTCTTGCTTGGCGTGCCTTGACTAATTGCCTAGGAATAGTAGGTAAAACTGTGTTAGATGTAATGTGATACTAAATGAGCTGATCGTTTTGGGAGTTCTTGTTGTTGCAAGGAAATATAAATTCTTGTTAATCTTGTAGTTGAAATAGTCATTGTTGATAGAAACTTTAGAATGGATGTTGTTTTTCTCCTGCAAATATCAATGGTTTGTCACAGATGCTTCTAGGCTGAGTTAAAAATCTTCTTTTTGATGAAGTGGTATTTACCGTTTACCTCTATTGCTGGCTTCTTTAACTATCTGGTTGGGATGAGAGTGAAATTTGAGCAAAAAACAACTTTCATGTTTGAATACAAGCAATGATTTGCCATTTGATGAATGAACCGGTTTTCAGAATTTTACCAGAGAGACTTCAGTGACCTGTGGATGGTCCACAAGTTTTGTCGTGACCCCTTTTCATTTCTGCATCTTAGAGTAATGTATATATCCATTACGGTAACAAACGTTTCTTCTTTTAGTGGCATTAAGCCAGAGGACCTGAAGAATGGCAAGCAAAGCTGTGAAAACTGTGGCAAAGGCAGTTTCAGAGTACCAGTACCCATGGAAAGAGAAGTTGGCAAAGCACAAGAATGAGCTGTCCAGAGGTGTGTGGGGTTACTGGAATCTCGGGGCATGGAAACCACTCCACATTAGTGGACGCCGACGAGCCAGACTTCGCAAGGAAGTCCTCCTCGCGGGGGAAGATTGGCCATATGACCCAGAGAGGAAAGAAATGAGAACCAAGATGAAAGGACACAAGTGTGATAGGATTTCTGCAGAGAGACGCGCCAACACTGCCAAACTGATGGAGCAAATGCCAGAGATGTTGTTGGCATACAAGAAACGAAGGTGGGAGAAGAAGATGAAGGAGGAAGACAAAAACAAATAAATACTTCCCATTGGACCATTGTCTCTTTGTTCAAGTCGCTTTTGTAGAGGGGCTTTTTCATCCCCTGGGAGAATTTTGGTGTAATTTGCATCAACTCTGTATTGCTTCCATGTTTTTCCATGGTTTAAGGAAACTAAATAGAATGTTTTCAGGATAAATTAATGGAGAATGCATCAAGTTCTCCTCTTGTGTGTCATATTTCAAAGACACACAAAGGCTCCCTTGTTAGCTTCTCAGAAGCAGATTAGGATACTGCAGATGTCTTCGAAACATCGTTATCGCCCCATGGCCACAATTATTGAAATCCTAATCTACTCTTCCACACTTTGAGAAAAATGAAAACCTAACATTTGTAGGTACAGCAAGGTGTTGCAGTGAAGTAATTACCCTGCCAGCCTCTCATTGATTGATTTAGCTTCAATAATGGAGGTGATTAGGTGCTGCTGTGCAATGAAATTGATGAAAATGAAATCCTTTTTAACTTCTGTGCACTTCTGTTACTGTGAAATTACAAATTTACAACCATTCATTCATGCTCAAAAAATTTAGGGCAAAGCAACAGAAAATCATATGACCAGACCAGTTAATTTTAATTTCCCGAAGAAAGAAAGGAAAAAAATAAGAAAAAGGTTCCACCGAGATTTGAACTCGGGTTACTGGATTCAGAGTCCAATGTCCTGACCACTAGACCATGGAACCCTGGGTCATACGTTGACGAATAAATATATATATATATATATGCATCTGTAGGAGTCAGTGCTTACCGTTTCTCTTCCCTTAGAGAAAGGAATTAATTGGTTTTCTTTTGTCAAAAATTAATTATTTAATCTTTTAAATTCTTCACTAATTTAGTTTTTTCATTAGATTATTAATTTTTATTCTTAATTTGTTCTTTTTTTATTTTTAATTGAAGAGAAAAAAGAAGAAGAAGAGAGAGAAGTGGGTGAAGAAGAAAAATAAGACATTATAGAAAAGACAATTCGAATAAATATATATATATATATCTATATAGACGCATATGAATAAATATTTTTAGTTATCCTATTGTAAAATTTCTTTATTTAGATCCTTATGCAAGATTCACTTTCCTTTTGAATTATGGTGAGGAAAAAAAAAAATCTAATCCCTTGAACATTTCTAGCAAGGATGATTATTTTTTTGAATATGGTCAAACATTCAATTAATTTTAAATCCCACCTTCACAAAGATAGAGAGATCAGCTCTTCCTTCCTTCTATACTCTTTTCTCCAACAAAATCACACCCATTTTCTTTTCATCTTTTTTTTTTTATTTATCAAATTTATATTTTTTCTGCGATATCAGATACAAATCAGCCTTGTCCTCGTATAGTTTCGTCCTCTACTGTTCTGTCTCCCATCCAAACCTGACCCCGTAGTTGGCACTTACCAAGTAGTGCACATTGGAAACTATCTTTTATGTGACTGTTACCAAAACAACAACGTTGTGTTTACTTCTTGTCCCTGGCTTCACTTGCCATGTATTGTGCAAAACGAGACAGCGACAATAATCAAGAGTCCCCTGTTTTCAGTCACTACCTTGATATTTGCAACACACACAGAGACCGCTTTGCCAAAACAGCTTGACACATAGACTTTTATCATCACTGTCCTTGGCATTAAATGTCTGTCTATTATTTACTGAAAGGACCAAGCTACTGTGTGTACCAAGGGCGTTACTTTTGTCGATTTCAATTTTGAAATGAAAGCAATAAAGACCCTTAATTTTCTGTAACTTGCAAGATTCCTTTTCTTGATTTTCTTGTCTTTCAAAGAATGAGAAATGGCTGACGATGAGGAGTACAGTAGGTGTTCAAGAAGTGCAGGAAAGTGGAGGTGTAAGGAGAGAGCCTCTATTGGCAAAGCTTATTGTGAAAAACACCATCTTTATACCGTGGAGAGGGGTTTGAAGAGAAGCATGGAGATGGAGGGTGAAAATGGAGGTGGGGTTGAGGTGGGTTCTCAGAGAAAGAAGAGAAAGAGGGAGGGAAGTGAAGATAAGTCAGGTATTGTGGTGGTAGATAAGGAACAAAAGGTTAGTGATCATGTGGGTTTTGGTGATCAAGGCGTTCATGACTGGTTTAGTGTAGGGAATTCAGATGTTTTGGGGTGGTTTGATGATGTAGGAGGGGGTAATGTTGGTGAAAGTTTTCAACTTTGGCAAAATGAAGCTACTGCATGTGGGAATAATGGGCGTGGGCAGGGTCTTGGTGGTGAAGGGTTTCATGGTAGCTTTGGTGGAGAATGTAGCGGTAATGAGGTCTTGGGTCTTGATGGTAAGGTTTTTCAGGTTTGGGATGGTGAAGGAATTCAATTGGATGAGTCTTCTCTGGGTGCTAGTGAAAATGGTGCTGTGGGTCTAGGTGATCAAGGGGCTCCAGGCCTATTTGGTCAAGTTAGTGCTGCTAATGTTGGAAATGTGGGCGTGGGTTCCAGTGGTGAAGGAATACAAGGGGTATTTGGTGAAGTCAATGGGAAAAATGGTGATATAACCCTCTCTGGTGAAAGCATGGAGGGACTTTTTGGTGAATGTAAAAATGGAGGTATGTTTGTTAGTGGTGAAGGGGTTCAGTGCTGGTGTGGTGAAGCTGGATGTGCTAGTATCGATGGTAAGGGAATTCAGGGCCTTTTTGGTGAAACTGCTTGTGGAAACGGTGGTGAAAGGATTGAAAGTGGATGTCATGAGAATGGAGGTGGAGATGATGAGAAAACGAAGAAGGAAATTGCTGATGTTGAAGCGGTTGGTATTGAAGGTTCGATTGAATTTGGTGGCAATAACAAGGTTGGAGGTGAGGTCTTTCCAGTGAGACGCAAGCAAGGCCGAGCAAAGGGTTCAGCACAGAAGAAGAAAGATCCTCAAGGTGAAGTTAATCATGGCGTAGGTGGTGATAATATGATCAGCAACGGTAGGATTGTAAAGGAGATGTGCAGTGAGGCCACTGGCATCAATGGAGACGGAAATGAGAATAAGCAAATCCTTGGTGATGGAGAATGTATTGAGGGATTAGTTGCAAGTGAGATTGTGCGGCCAAAAGCAAAGCGTGGCCGACCAAAGGGTTCAGGGAAGAAGCAAAAAGATGCTGCACGTGAAGAAAAACAGAGCTTGCCTGGTGAGGGATCAGTTGCAAGTGAGATTGTGCGGCCGAAAGGAAAGCGTGGCCGACCAAAGGGTTCAGGGAAGAAGCAAAAAGATGCTGCACCTGAAGAAAAACAGAGCTTGCCTGGTGAGGGATCAGTTGCAAGTGAGATTTTGCGGCCGAAAGGAAAGCGTGGCCGACCAAAGGGTTCAGGGAAGAAGCAAAAAGATGCTGCACCTGAAGAAAAACAGAGCTTGTCTGGTGATTTTTTGGGCAATAATGATGCTGGCATTGAGTCTGTTACCCCTGCAGCATTGAAGAGTGAGAGGACTACTCTTGCAGGTGCAGAGGACAGAGCAATTCCTGGTGAAGGCACTGGTGCTAATGGGAAAGCAAACAGCAGATCAAAGGGTTCAAAAAAGCAGGAGGAAAACCTTGCAGACGACAATCGAGAAATGCCTGGTGAAACCAAGGGTACAACTGACAGTGGCAATAGGATGGAGAGTGAGACTGGTGGTACTGGGATCATCACACCAAATAGGCGTGACAGACTCCAGGGTTCAAAGAATAATAAGCAGGAAAATCATGCCAGTGGTGAAGCCAAGGTTGGTGTTGATGGTGGTGACTGGACTAGTAGTCCAGTGGTTTTGTGGGACTTGAGGATTGCTCTTTTAGGTGAAGAAGAAGATGGAGGTGGTCATGAATTGCCTAGTGGTATTGTGGGTTATAATGGTAGTTGTGATAACAAAGCCAGGCTGACAGGTTGTGCTAATGACATGATTGCTTGTTTAGGGGAAACTGATGGGGCAATGGCTGATGAGAATTTTGGCAGTAGTAGTGGATTGAATGATAAAAGAAAACCTAAGCATAAGCGAGTGCAACTAGAGGACTCTGAAAATAAGCAAAAATATCTTCCTGGTGATAGTCATCAATTTCCTGGTGCTATCATGGGTACCAATGAAGGGGCTGATAATTTATTTAGGTTGACGGGTTTGGAGAATGGGACAGGTGCTCCTTTTGATGGAGATGGAGCATTGTGTAGTGACGCCACTAATGGTGGTGGAGAGAGGAATGCAACCATAAAGGAAATCACAAGGCCTAGGCTTGGCCGACCAAAGAGCTCCAAGAAAAAGCCAAAATATCCTGCTCGGGATTGTCAGGAATTGCCTAGTGACATTGTAGCTAGAAATGGAGATGCTGACAACATAATCTGGCAGGTAGTTTTAGGGAATAGGATAGCGGCTCCTTTATATGAAGAAGATAGGTTATTGTCGATTGGGATCACTGGTCATAGCAGAGAGGGGAATGGAATTAGAAAGCCTAGGCCACGTGGTCGACCAAAGGGGGGCTCAGTAAAGAAGAAAAATCTTGCTGGTTGTCAGCAGGAATTGCCTGCTGAAGTTATGAATGGCAATGATTGCAAGGACGCTGTTAGTCTGATGGGTTCAGAGAAGAGGGTGATTGCTCTTTTGGGTGAAGAAGGTCTGGTATTGCCTGGTGAGGCCACTGGCCATAGTGGAGGGGCGAATGATAACATAAAGTCTAGGCGTGGCCGACCCAAGGGCACCCGGAACAAGAAGAAAAATCTTGCAGGTGGTAATCAGGAATTGCTTGGTGAAGTTATGCATGGTAATGATGGCAAGGACGCCGTTAGTCTGGTAGGTTCAGAGAATCGGGTGATTGCTCTTTTGGGTGAAGAAGGTCTGGTATTGCCTGGTGAGGCCACTGCCCATAGTAGAGGGGCGAATGTTAACATAAAGAGGCGTGGCCGACCAAAGGGCTCACGGAACAAGAAGAAAATTCTTGCAGGTGGTAATCGGGAATTGCACATAAAGTCTGGGCGTGGCCGACCAAAGGGCTCGCGGAACAAGAAGAAAAATCTTGCAGGTGGTAATCGGGAATTGCTTGGTGAAGTTATGCATGGTAATGACGGCAAGGACGCTGTTAGTCTGATAGGTTCAGAGAATAGGGTGATTGCGCTTTTGGGTGAAGAGGGTCTGTTCTTGCCTGGTGAGGCCACTGGCCATAGTGGAGGGGCGAATGATAACATAAAGTCTAGGCGTGGCCGACCCAAGGGCTCGCAGAACAAGAAGAAAAATCATGCAGGTGGTAATCAGGAATTGCTTGGTGAAGTTCTGCATGGTAATGATGGTGAGAATGCTGTTAGGTCGATGGGTTTAGGGAATGTGATGACTACTCTTTTTGGAGAAAAAGATAGAGCATTGACTGGTGAGGCCACCGGCCATAGTGAAGATGGGGAAATTCCAAAGCGTAAGCCAGTCCGTCCAAAGGGGTCAAAGAGCAAGAAAACTCTTGCAGGAGGTAATCAGGGATTGCCTGGTGAAACGATGCACGGTAATGATGCTGGTGAGAAAACACCGAGGCCAACTAGTATAAAGAATGGGACGGTAGCTCCTTTAGGGGAGGAAGTTAAGTTGATGTCTGGCGAGGTAAATGGTGTTAGTGGAGATGGAAATGAAATCATGAAGACAAATGTTAAGCATATAAAGAAGAAAAATCTTGCAGGTGACGGAAGTGAGGAAATCCTCTGCAAAATCAAGAGTAATAGTGACGGGGAGGATAGTATTATTTGGCTAGAAGGTTCTGAGAGTGAAAGTCTTACTCTTAAAGGTGAGGAGGATAAGAATATGCCTACTGAAGCTGCTGGTGGCAATGAAGCTGGCAATGCGAATCCTCGGTCTAAGATTAGGTGTGGTCGACCGAAAGCTTTAAAGATGAAGAAGCTAAGTATTACTTCTAAAGAAGAAGGGAGACATAATGTAGAATTTATGGGCAAAGACGATGGTGAAAGTAAAAGGTCAAAAGATAAGCAAGTCAGACAAAAAGTCTTAAAGAGGAAGAGAACTATTCTGTTAGCTAAATCTTTTGACAGTATATTAAAGCAGAAGTCTGGAATGAAGAAGGAAAGGGGGGACAATTTGGGAAAGGACAGGGATACTCTGGTTGATCTAAGAGGTCACTCGAGCGATATTAAGAAGAGGCCCAGGGGGAGGCCACGGATGCAAAACCTATCAGAGACTTTAACTTTATTAGTGAGTTCTTCCAAATTCATGTTCCATAAGCTTTTTGAAATGGATCTATTAACTACTAAACATTTAGCCACTAGGAAACTGCTTTATGAATCTGTTGCTTAGGTACCCAAGATTGCAGTTGCTCAGATAACGTGGCTGTCCCAGTGAGTTGTGGTTTTTAGTGAAACATTGGCCTTTGTTATTTACAGTTAAAGTGAAATTTCAAGCCCCAAGTTTTGAGATACAGAATATCCTTTTAATTGGTAATGATATATCTGGTAATAAAATTTGCATACTGCATTCTTTCATTTTAGTGTCTGTGTGGACTGACTTCCTTTTATCATCAAGTATAAGTTCATAGGCTCTAACTCGGAGTCAGAGAGCTTCAATATGAATGTTGAAGACTGTTTTAAAGAGTGCCTAAATTTTTCTGCACATAATTAAATTGCCAATTTCCAGAATGTTGTACACAGAACCTTCTTAAGCAGATTTTACATCCTTTAAAGAATTGACTGCTCCTGCATATAATAACAACATCTTTAATTCAAACCTTATACCATATTCTATTTCTTGTCCTCATCTGCGGTTTGTTGCATGTGAGATTTCTAAAGATTCTGAAGTTATGTCCCAAGGAGTATTACATTTTTAAAATTTTCTTTTTCTTTTATTTTATTAGTGTGAAATTACAGTGTACCAAGTTGTGATCCTTGAAGGATTTAGATTGGTCCATTCTAACTAGGTTTATGTATCAGGGCGCCAACAAGAAAAATGAACAGAAGACCTTGACGTGCCACCAATGCTGCAGGAATAACAGGAGTGGTGTCGTCATTTGTTCCAATTGCAAAAGAAAGCGCTATTGCTATGAGTGCCTTGCGAAGTGGTAGTGGGATTTTTTCCTCAAGGCTCTTTCACTCAAAATGGGACAGTTAAAGACAATCTTGATGTTTGAAATTTTGTTTATGTTGCTGTCAAGAAGTTACTTCTTCTAGCTAACATTAGCATTTAATTCGAAATAGTTCAAGATAGAAATGAATTTTGTGTTCATTTAATCTTATTTAGCTCTTGGTTTGCAATTTAAATTTGATTTTGAAATGAATGTTTAGGTATCCTGAGAGAACACATGGGGAGATAGAGATGGCATGCCCATTTTGTCGTGGTAATTGCAATTGCAGAATATGCCTCAAGGAAGATGTAGTTGTGCTTGTGAGTGCCTGGTGTTTTTTTCTGCTTTAAATTTTCTTCATTTTGTCTCTTATTTCTGTACTTCTACATGTATATTTTCTTGATGCCAAATGATATATATGGTTTTGACAGGCTGGTGATGATAAAGCAGATGCAAATACCAAATTGCAAAAGTTTCTGTACCTGCTACACAGGACTTTACCTCTCCTCAGGCATATTCAACGAGAACAGAACTCTGAAATCTATGCAGAGTCAAGGATCCGTGGTATTACATTTTGATGCAGTTATCAGTTTGTGTAAGGTTGAGTTTTGTTATACAAATGGATGGTCCACGGCACATAATGGTGTGTTTGTTTTTGTTTTGTAGGTAGCCAGTTGACAGAAGAGCATGTTACAAAATCTTTACTTGACGATGATGATAGAGTATATTGGTATTGTCTCAGCCTCCCAGATCTTGGAATTGGAACTTGAGCTATTTATGAATAGAACTTCTGCTTTCTTCATTCTGTGTATTTTATTTGCTAGGTTTGACATTATTGCTAGGATAGGATTTCACCACTGACTACTTTGTCTTTAGCAACTTAAAGTTCACTATTATAACAGAACTCAAGCAATTTGTGTCATATGTCAATATTCTCTGTCTTAAAGTTTGTAACTACGTAATTATTCTTGTTGAACAGTGACAGTTGCAGTACATCTATTGTTAATTTCCACAGAAGCTGTCCCAATCCTGATTGTTCCTATGATCTCTGTCTCACTTGTTGTTCGGAACTCAGAATAGGACTTAAGCCTGGAGGTGATGAAGCAGAATCTTCTCACCAACAATATGTTGAAAGAGTAGATAGTCAAGATGCACATGTGCATGACCAGATTACTGAAAATGGAAAAGGAGTTGGTTGCAAGACCCAAGTGTTCAATCTGGAAAGTAAGTGTACTGCTGATATGTCATGCGAGTTTCCTGATTGGAGAGCAGAAAGTGATGGGAGAATTCCTTGCCCTCCCAAAGAACTGGGAGGCTGTGGTACTGAGATGCTTGCCTTGAGACGTATCTTTGATGCTAACTTCGTTGAAGAGATGATTAAGAGTGCCGAGGAACTTACTCTTAACTATCAGTCACCAGATTTTAGACTTTGTGAAGAATGTTCTTTGTGCCATCATACCAGTTCCACGGAAAATGGATCAAAAGATTTTGCAGTGAGGAAAGCAGCTTATAGGGAGAACAGTGATGATAACTTCCTGTACTGCCCTAATGCTCTTCAGTTGTGTGATGATGACTCGGAACATTTTCAAATGCATTGGATGAGAGGTGAACCTGTTGTAGTTAGACATGTACTTGAAAGGACTTCTGGTCTGAGCTGGGAACCAATGGTCATGTGGAGGGCTTTTAAAGGTGCAGAAAAGATTATAAAAGAGGAAGCACACAGGGTTAGAGCCATTGATTGCCTGGATTGGTGCGAGGTAGGTGTTCTTTATTTGCATGTTGAAGTTGCATTTTCTGCTTTTGCAATTGTTGTTTTGCTTATTACTGACTTTTTCCTCATTGTGCAATGCCTTGTGAGTTCCTTCAGCTTAATCTGCTAACGTGTTTGATCTTCACTTTCTGTACCGTTCTATTGGACATGCCTTTATAGATGATCAGAAAGATAAACAATGAACTTTTGATCGCAGCTTATTAGTTCAACATTAGACTAGGATTGATGGGAAAACCATCTGCAAATATAAGTTTGCTGGGTAAGTTAGGTTGAGCATCCTTAAAAGGTTTCTTGTAATTGCATCCACCATCGCTTTTATTCCTCGCATTATGTTGATCATTAACTGCCCCTGAAATTCAAATTTCAGAGAATTTTCCTGTGATAGGCCAGTAACAATAATGGAGGGCAAAGAAACAAGAGGGTTCTCAGTGTAATCAGAACAAACTTCAGGACTGGTTTATGTAATGGTATATTTGCAATGCAGTTGCTATTGCATTTGTTAATCTTTTGGGTTAAATGCAATTAGAGTGGTTTTTGCACGACAGAAATTGCATGGAAGCTGGTGCTTGAAAAATCTGGACATTAAATTGGTGGCCCCGCTTATAGGTCTAAGCAAGTGTCATCTTATACTAAAATTGCCCAAGGCATTAACATTTGTATAGTTTTTGCTTTTTTCTTTTTTTTGGGTTAAATCCTTTTGTCGTCGGTAGCTCAATTAAGATTCCATTGCATGTAGCTTACAGGGGTAGGTTCACTTGACCTGTAACAAATGAAGATTTTTTCGATTCTCTATTTTTTATTTTTTTCCCTTTTCTGTTTGAATAAAACAGTGTAGGTAGCAATATGTACTCATGATTTGTATTAATACTCCTATAACACTAGCAAAATAAAATAATAATAAATAAATAAATTGAAGAGTTTTATTGCAGTGCAGAAGTTTCATTTCAATCAGTGAAGTATCCTTTTATATGCCATTGCGGATAAGGACGATTCTTTGGAACACATACCATGCTAGTGAAATGGAATTTAGAATATTGAATTCTCTCCATGACATCACAGGTCCCTTTGCAGAGCACATGTGTGCGTGTCCATCAGCCAAGGTTACTAGCTGTTCTGACAGGCAGTTGGGTCATATGGTCAGCTAAAACCTAATTTTTCTTAATTGGGTGATACGTTCAGCTAAAACATAACTGTTCTTAATTATGAAATATTCTTACCTATAGCGTATGGAATATAATATGTAATTTACTCTTGATGGTGCAGGTTCAGGTTAATATTTTCCAGTTTTTCAAGGGCTATTTAGAGGGTCGTAGCTATATGAATGGTTGGCCAGAGATGCTGAAGCTGAAAGATTGGCCCCCGTCAAATTTATTTGAAGAATGTTTGCCAAGGCATGGTGCTGAGTATATTTCTATGCTGCCCTTCAGTGAGTATACCCATCCAAAATCTGGCATTCTGAATATGGCTACAAAACTTCCTGCTGTTTTGAAGCCAGATTTGGGGCCTAAAACTTACATTGCATATGGATTTGTGGAAGAACTTGGTAGAGGTGATTCGGTGACGAAACTGCATTGCGACATTTCTGATGCGGTATGCAACATTTCTGTCTGATAACTTCTACTTTATGTTTATGGTTAATGTATTGCTGCATGTGTCCGGTCTTCTCAGTTTTGCATGCTATGAACAATCAATGGTTCTTACACGTGTGCTTTAGATTTGCACTCCCAGCTTCTGTTTACTGAACTTGCATTAATTCATCTTTTCCCCCTGTTTGTAAGCAATTGCAATGTTAGATTGCAGGATGCTGCAATCATTGATACCAGAATACCTGATGCATTTTCTTATCAAGATTTTTTAAATGCTTGTCTAGCTTCCTTCAAGTTGAGCATTTTCGTAAATGCAATGCATGACCTATAAACAATCAAGGTTTTCTTATGCCTATTTAGATTAGCATTTTCAGCTTCCGTTTATTGACTTGACTTGCATTCATTCATGTGTTTTTTTCTATTTGGAAGCAATGGTAATGTTAGATCGCCGGCTGTTGCAATCATTGCTGCTAGAATACCTGATGCATTTATGCAGAGTACTTATTTTCATCAAGATTTTTTTTATGACTTTTTCTACCTGTCTATACATTTAGCATTACTAATGGTGGTCTTTGACCTTGATATTGCACTGTCTTTATGCAAGTAGTCCATGCTACTTCATATCATAAATTCTTACTGTCTTTTGAATTTTCATTTAGGTCAATGTACTTACTCATATGACTGAAGTGAAAGTTCCTCGATGGCAAAGCAAAATTATTAAAAAAATACAAAAGCAACATGAAGCTGAAGATATGAATAAGAGTTGTGGTGAGATAGAGAAAGTGACTCGTAAATCTGGAAGGAAGCAACGAAAAAGACAGCGGAAAGTTGAGAAAATGGATCCTGAATTGCCTCAAAAAGATGAAAATATCGAGAGTGACTCCTCACTGGAGCGGTTGTATGTCCAGGAACAGAAACTGGAGGAACAAAGAAGCATGTGCCAAGAGTTGAGGAAATCATTTGGTGTTGTATGTGGACTAAGATGTTCTTCTTCAGCCAAATCTGAGGTGGCTGCTGATACAAATTTGGAGGCAGTTGCAAAAATGAATGTGGGTATGAGGTCTGCTGATTTAAATGAAAGCGTGAACAGAGATTGCATTGAAGAAAATCACCCCTCAGAGCTTGTGCATGGTGGTGCTGTTTGGGACATATTCCGTCGGCAGGATGTGCCCAAGCTAATTGAATACTTGAAGAGGCATCAGAAAGAGTTTCGCCACTTCAGTAGTCTACCTGTGAATTCTGTGTGTATCTTCGCATGCTACAGTAATCATAACTATATTATTTCCAGTAACGTCATTTTACTAAGTCCAATTGCTGCACTTTCTTCAGGTCATTCATCCCATTCATGACCAAACCTTTTATCTAAACAAGAAACACAAAAGGCAGCTGAAGGAGGAGTTCAGTAAGAAACTATTTTTCTGAATAAGCCATTTAGTTATATAAATGTTTCCTCAAGATTGAGTAACCATTTCTTCTTTGCAGATGTTGAACCTTGGACATTTGAGCAGCACCTTGGTGAGGCTGTTTTCATACCTGCAGGATGTCCTCACCAAGTGAGGAATAGACAGGTTATGTTCTTCTTGCATTAAGTTTTCCTATTTATGATGATGAATAGTTGTAGCTTCCCTTTTTGGATATCTTATACGATAGTCCAATGATTATATATGTTAGGTTTCAAGTCAAAATCATAACGAGTGACATGTAGTCAGGGACTTGTGAGCTTATCTAGATATTACTAAACTTGATCTGGATTTGCATTTTTAAATTTGAACACTAAATTAATATATCAAGGAAAGATTACAACCTACAACCTGAAAGTCACATACGATGTTTTCTGCATATATGGTCAGGCTGTACTGATTGTTTTGATCTGGATTTTGTAGCGCACGTAGCTAACACAAACTTACACTTGTTTTTTTCCCAGTCATGCATAAAAGTGGCCCTTGATTTTGTATCCCCTGAGAACGTTCAAGAATGCATTCGGTTGACAGAGGAGTTCCGTTTGCTTCCAAAGACCCATAGAGCTAAGGAAGACAAATTGGAGGTACATGTTATCTAATGTAGTTCTGCTACCTCCTTAAAATGCAACATTTTGTCTTCTTTCTTTTTCTATGTCAAAAGCTTTGGATGATTATAAAAGCTTAGTTCAGATGCATTGTCCATGCTGTTGAATCCTTGATTCCTATGGATGGTTAGCTTTGGTGGATATATTGTCGTGTAGATAGATACGCCTTCTTCTGGGGAAAGAATCAAGCTTTAAGTGCTTCTGTCCACTTCTAGCATACGGTGCCATGTATGTCAATCTTGATGATGTGCTTAGCTAAACAGACTTTTAGCGGCATATGTTTTATTCAGTATTGCATCCATTTGTTATCCTTCTCGAAAGAGATTGCTGCTAAGTTCCATCTCATAATGGAAGCTTAGTGATGCTGAGCAAGTGAATTTATGAATTATGTGACCAATTTATATTTATATAAGTTTGACGCTCCAAAACAATTTTCATTTTTTGTAGGTGAAAAAGATGGCGCTATTTGCTGCGAGTGCTGCTGTAACTGAAGCCAAAAATCTGACTTCTTGAGTAAGACCAATTTTGCTATAGGCCTCATTAAATCTTGCCAACCCTTTTATTGTTTTGTCTGGGGAGGCCAATATATTTTGTAGATGTCTTTCTTGATTCCATTTATCTACTGTAGTGAAATAAAGTATGCAGTTTTCTTAAAGTCTTGGTAGTTGCCAACTTCGATGTAAATTGAACGCACCCTGACAATTTAAAATCGGACAGATTTAGGATCATATAGGAAAGGGAGATTCAATATTACAGTTAATCTAAGAACCTTGATTAAATTCAATCGAGTTGTTGAATCACAACATTGCTGATGCAAGAATCTGTGTGAAATGGAATTTCTATGAGATGTTGATCCACATATGAACATTCTATTTTGGAAAGGTGCTATTTAGTCCCAAAAATGGAGATGATATGTAGAAGATATGGATGACTCTAAGCTGTAGAATGTGTTCCCTTCATCGTCCGGTGGCTTTCGCAGCATATTAAAGACGGCATTTTTTCAGTCAAGGTCATCGAACATTCTTGGTACCGGTTTTAATCTATCGTTAAGGTATTTGTATTTTCCGAAAGCAGGGTGAGGGGACACCACTGAAGTCACTGAGGAAGGTTTGCAGCAGAGAGTTCCAACCGAAGAGAATGAAAAGAAGCTGCTAACTTAGCCACAATAATGAAGGCACCAACTCAAGTTTCAGGAATGGGATCAGCAGAGGAGGTTATTACACATCATCTAGAGAGCTCGAGGACCTTTCAACCTCTTCCATACACAGACCTAGCATGATTATACTAGTCAAATGATAAACCAGTGACAAGAGTGATCATTTAAGGTAGTTCATGAACTATTTTGATGATGCAAGTGAGAATCTAACTAAAACGTTGACCCAACATTTTGAGGGTGGCTTGGTGCAAAGCTCAAGAGCCTCATCTGTAAATGCTGGTTACTCTGCGTACTTACTCTTGAAGATGATAATTGTGCGATATGTAATCTCCTCTTTTATTGTTACGTTTGGACCAAGGAAAGAAAAATTATATTCTCGAAAGATTGACAAGAAAAGATATATTTTATAACAAAAGTAATATGAAATTAAAAAATAGAAAGATTGATGAATAAAGATAATATTTTATAATAAAAGTAATATTAAATTAAATATAATTAATATTGTTTAAGGAATTAAAAAATTAGTTTTTTTAAAAAAATAAATAAAGAGGCTGGTTTATAATTTACTCTAATTTATTTATTTTTCAGATTGTGGCCATGGACTAGGTTTGATACAACCAACTTAAGATCATCCTTTTGATATAGTTAAAAAAAAAAAAAAAAAAAAAAGGTCATCTAGTATGAAGGAGTAAATTATAAATTAATTTCTCTAGTCTAATAAAATAAATTAAATAGTGCTTGTTTCAAAAACTAATTGATTAGTTCTTTTATTAATATGTAGTATGGTTAATTTAATATTACTTTGTTTAAAAAAAAATTTCTTCAATTTTTTCATATTTGTTTTATTTATTAACACAAAATAAATTGGAAAGAAACGAAAAAAATTAATTTACAAATAGATTTAAAAATATAAGAATTTAATTCATAAAACTAGAGGGATCATTTAATTTGTTTTAAAAAAACTAAAATGATTATTATTTTTCATTCGACAATAAGGATGTTCTTGGATCAAATTTTGTTCACCTCAAGATATTATCCTCCCTAGAAGTAGTTATGGGGCTTTCCTCAAATGTATAGTTTCGGATATTTTGAGAATAAATTCTCAAGATTGCTAATTATAAAAATAAAAAAGAGAATAATTTATAATTTCCTCGCTGTTTAGAGATTTGGACTCTAATGGTAGGAAGGGAGCATCACTCTTGATCGATGGAGAAATCTCCTTCACTTTCTAATTTCTTTGTTTGTTTTTTTTTCAATCTTTCTACTCTATCTCATATGCAACTTTAAAAATTAATGAAATATATATTTTTAAAGATCAATAATTAAGTTTGAGATTGTTAATGAAAAATTTAATTATATTAATTATAAATTTTCGGGAAAAAAAATTATTTACTCTAGACACAATATAATTGTAGGAATTATTCCAAACAAAATTAAGAGGATTCAAGTAATTTGCATCTGGATTATAAGATTAAAGACAAATAAATGGTGAAAAGGAAACATCATCCGTTCCATGTTCATGGATCCAATTTCTTTTACCTAAAAATGGTGGTGGCAAAAAATATTCAATAGCTATTTTATTTTTTATTAATTGGGTCCAACTGTCTACAATACAAAGTTAAATTAACTCTCACAGGGACGTATTTGGTGATTTGATACAAATGTAGGGGTGAAAATGATGGATTTTCCATAAAATCGACAACATTATAGTTCTTACAAAACAGTAATTATCACAATAAAAAAAACTGAAGATTTTTGTTTTTTTTTTCTTTCCTTGTTAAACAGAAATTTCATATCTTGTTTTGTCTCAACAGATATTTTCTAAAAGTTCTCACCTTAACTTAATCAATCTCCCTCTATTTCTCCTTTTAATTTTTCTATATAACTGCAAAAATTCTCTACCTATAATTCTGAAAATAAAAGTAAAAGATCTCCAGCTAGACTAGATACTGAAAAAATCTAAGATATACCCATTTCAAAACACACCAAATTATCTAAAACCCCTCTTTAAATTTCCAATCTTGACCACTCTACAGACCCTAATTCCCCGTTCTGTCTTTCCCCTTCATTTCTCTCTTCAGCAGCATAATTCTGTATAATACAGGATGATTTGAAAATCTGAAGCATCCCCATTTCAATTCACACCAAATTATCCCAAACCGCTCTGCAAATTTTCTATCTTTAGCTTAATTTTCCTTCTTTCCTCGGAATATTCTACCACCATGGCAGTTGCTGCAGTTAGATGCAAACCCACCAAAGTAACTGCTTCTCAATTTAGATACTTCATGTTCAATTACGTGCATGTGGGCAGTCGCTTGTCTAGTTCTCACTGTGCTAGCAAAATTTCAACATGGGATGACCATTCTGCAAATACCCCTTATAACTACTCTTCTTTCAAGCCTGTTTCGCTTCGAGGGGAATTTGTTGAAAAGGGCACTCAATTGTTGGAAAATATGGGAAGTAACAGTAGTTTTGATAGAAATTGGAGTGAGAAAGTGAGTAGTAATAATGGTGGTGGGTCTAGTTATGGGGATCCACCAGAGGTATGGCAACCACCTGGTGATGGTGTTGTAAAGATGAGGGTGAGTGATGGAGTGAATTTCAGGGTAGGGGGTAGAGGTGGGTCTGGTTCAAAGGATGGGGGTTGGGGTGGGTCAAATTTGGGGAGTAGTTTTCCAACACCAAAGGAGATTTGTAAGGCACTTGAGAAGTTTGTTATTGGACAACAGAGAGCTAAGAAGGTAGGATTTCTTTATCTTTTTGTTTTTTGGTTTGGCATTTGGTTATTTATTGTTTTTAGAGTGATTTTTATGTGTGTAGAAATGAAAAATGTGTTGGTTTTTGCTCTTAGATGCAATAGAAGTAGCTTACCAATCAGTGCCAGTAGTTCTGGTTATGGTGGCTAAAATTAGAATTTGAAGTAGTTTTGGAAGGAAAAGGCTGTCTTTGGATTGTTTGATGTCTTCTATTAGTTCTTGTTTTACATGTCATATTTTGTTTAATTATTAGATGGCGAAGGATAACAACGAACTTGCTTCATTGCTTTAATGGAATTTTTTGGGACAGCCTTTTATGGGGCAGTGGCTATCGCAATATAAAAAGGATACATGTTTTTCGTTACTGTCATATCTTTTTGAAGTGAAGAAGGGAAAACTGTCTGTATTTTGAATCTTGTTTATTTTTTATAGCAGTTAAGTATGCATGTATACAATGGATAATCCATATGCACTGCTATGCTTGCATGGCATTTTGTGTCATTTCAGTATTGTCTACGTGCCAGTCTTCTCTTTTCTAATTTTTTTTCTTGAACAGGTGCTATCTGTTGCTGTTTATAATCACTACAAGAGGATCCATCTTGAGTCTGCTAAAAAATGGTCAGTTTATTCTTTAGTAGTAACTGTTGTTCTCTTCTTTTCTGGCTGAATGAAATGGTGGTTCTCCTTATTTGTAGCTGTGAAAGGTTTTCGTTTGATGCCTCTTAGACGGCCTCATGTGTTTGGCCTTAGTTTCATCGTTATCCCCAGAGCTAGTGAATAGCAGTGAACTGTAGTGACAATAGAGGTTTTATTTGATATGAAACTATACCTTTTTTATTTTCCTAAGAAACAAGGGGGAAAAGAAAAGAAACATATAATCTTCTTGTTAGCAATCTCTTGTGTTGATTAGGTGAACATCATAGTAAGCATGCAAGCTGCAACAGTATTCGATATGTGCAATTAATATTATTAATGGAGTGACTCTATTATGGTACCGTTTGTTCTCTTTCTTCTTTTCTATTATATTAAAAATAGTGTCATCGGTGCATCTTTTCTTCGTTGTACCAGTCACAGTTACTAGATGGTTTCTATGTACTCACCTTGCCCATTGAGCATGGCTTGAACCAGATCTTTCACCATACAAAAAGCAAGTTTGCAAACTTGACTATCCCCTTTGGGGACATTGGGTGCTGGATAGTCTATGAGATCATGGGTCAATACTCGATAGCTAGGTCATGTTTTGTACACACATGAGTTGCAATGTTGTTGTTCATTATGCTTATTATGAGAGTTGTCTGATTTAACATGCTTAGTACAACTTGGGAAGTTAGGAGGGACGCAGATTTAGGCAATGGAAAAGCAGATACCATGGATGATGACGAAGTTGAACTTGAGAAAAGTAACATTCTTCTAATGGGGCCAACGGGTTCAGGTAATTTGTTATTATCCTTATTCTGATTGTTCAATGTTCTTGAACGCTGCATCTTTATGTCTACAAGAATTGAGTTGTAGTTGCTTTTAAATGGTAATAGGTAACAAGGTCCCAGGAACCTAGCTATGATTTTTCTTTTCTTTTTCAGCTGCTCTTCTTTGGTTCATATATTGTATTGACTGATAATATCTGTTATAGATACTGGTTCTACATGCATGGATAAAAGTCACTAGCTGTTGATAATTTTGTTTTGATAGAATAACCACAGATGATTATTCTGGTCAGGGAACCTTGTTGTGGCGTTATTTTAATTTTCTTTCTCAGTTGACACCAATAGTTTGACTGTAGACGTTTAAAAAATATTGATGCTTTTACAGTGTCTCTTTTTTCTACTCATTTCTTACTCTAGAAGAATTAGTACTGCTTCCTTCAACATTCTTCTGGTGTTTTCATACTAAATACAAATTGTGGGGTAGAATAGGATTACTGTTAAACTGATTGTTTTAGACACTATTAGTTACTGGTCTCACTTCACTGTTTTTTATGTCATTTCAAGGACAGGGAAGACGTTACTTGCCAAAACCTTGGCACGGTTTGTGAATGTTCCCTTTGTTATTGCAGATGCAACTACTTTGACTCAGGCAAGTTGGTGATTTTCATTACTTTATTGTTATTGACCTATTATGAACTTCATTCCTTGTTGTTCTCTCATCTTCAATTGGATTTTATTAAATGGTTGAACGGCTATGCAATAAGGAACTAAGTTTGATTCTGTTGAGGGATGGTCATTAGAGTTTCTTTAGTTCGAAGCTTGATTATCAGATAAGGTTTTCTTTAAAAGTTAATTCATTTACCTAACTCACATCTAGATCAGTTGTGTACGGCTGATTATTCTTCCTCAACATATATTTTTCTGGATTGGTGAAGATGCAAAAGACTACATTGATATTGATGGTTTTGAAATCAAATGGGCACTTTTCTTGAGATAGACAAACACAATCATATTTCTTTTGCTTCTGAGATAGGATGTTCGCACTCGGGTTTTCTTCTTCTTATTTTTTTTGGTTTCACATCAGTGGCTAATGTATGCATATTTCAAAATCTTGTTAGGGAAGGTGACTTTAAGTTTTCATGAAATGTTATGTGCAGGCAGGATATGTTGGGGAGGATGTGGAGTCGATATTATACAAACTACTGACGGTGAGTTCTCACAAACCTTATTTATCTTCTTTTTCGAGCACTTATGCATGGGAAAAGCTGTTACCTTTCATCATGATATATGTCCAGTGCCATTTTGGTTGTGTTTCATTAACTTGTTGCTTACCTGGTAGGTCTTAGATTCTTAGCGTACTCTCTCAAAACTTACAAACTGTTATCCTTATGGTTTCTGACTTAGTGTGGATATATGCTAAACTGTCTTGGTAGATGGTTTTGGTTTTGTCTGAGACTAACTTTTTTATGTTAAATTGTTTTTTTCTTCATAGGGAGAGGGAAAAATTGAGCAGTCTTCATAAGAGAAATTATTTAATTGTTTGTGGCCCTTTGATCCCTGGCAACTAAAAAATTCTGCATGGAACTTATAAATACATATCAGGCTATAGTTGGCATGTGATAATTAAAAATTTCTTTTTGCTTGGCATGTTTAAATTCTCAGTGGGGCCACTGTACCAAAAAAACATGGCTCTGTTGAACCAGTTGGACTCTGCATTATCTTGCCTACTGTGAATGAACAAGTCTTAACCTTTTCCTTTCCTTTCTTTCTTCATATCTCAGGCTGCTGACTATAATGTGGCAGCTGCTCAGCAGGGCATCATTTACATTGATGAAGTTGACAAGATCACAAAAAAGGTTATGTCCACCATTTTACCGTCAATACTTTCATCTTTATTTCTTTTCCTTAAAAAATTATGCTCCCCTACATCTTCCATCTTTTTAATATGCAGGCTGAGAGTGTTAACATTAGTAGAGATGTGTCAGGGGAGGGTGTTCAGCAAGCATTATTGAAAATGCTTGAAGGAACAGTAAGTGTTTCTGCCAAAAGTTGTTGGAAAAGATTGATTATGAATCAATTTATAACTCTATTGGCACAATTCTATTACCGTTTTGCAACTAAAGTAGTTAGATGATTCATCTGTACCTTTTCATTTATATGGATAGATTTTCTTATTGAATAGTTAACTTTTATTTGGTTATCTTTTTACCATCATATGTTTACAGCCATGGTTTTTTTCCGATCTAGGTAGTCAATGTCCCAGAGAAGGGAGCTCGAAAGCATCCTAGAGGTGACAATATTCAGGTAGATACCACATCACATGGTTTGTAACACATGTTTCTGACTGGTTCATGAATTATCTACATAATATTATGCAGCATTTGCTATTCTTAAAACTTCCTGACAACTATAGACATGGTCAAGTCTTCACGTGACCGTGAAAAAGTGTGCTGCTGCAGTTGCATTTTTTCTTGATCTTTATAATTTTTTTTCTTTTTTCAACAGATCGACACCAAGGATATTCTTTTTATATGTGGGGGTGCCTTTATTGATTTGGAGAAGACCATTTCCGAAAGGTTTTACATACATACATCCTCTATTTTTCTTATTTTTTTTCATGGGGTAAAAGACATGAATCCTTTTCTGAAAAGGGAAATGCAAGTGAATATTTATGGCATCTTTGCAGGCGCCAAGATTCGTCGATTGGGTTTGGGGCCCCAGTACGTGCAAATATGAGGATTGGTGGCGTTACTAGTGCTGCTGTGACATCATCTTTATTGGAGACTGTAAGTGAAAACTGGTCTTCAATTAGCCACAGCTTTTATGTCCCTCTCTTTCCTTTTTATAAGCAACTACCAGTTTTTGTCTTTGCTCCTAACAGCTTTTAGATACTCACATGTTATATGAACTGAAATCTTTGGCAGGCTGAAAGCAGCGATCTTGTTTCATATGGTTTGATACCTGAATTTGTTGGAAGATTTCCCATCCTTGTCAGTTTATCAGCTCTCACTGAGGATCAACTTGTCCAGGTATATATAGTTGAAATGTTCTCTGTCCAATAAATTCAACATATATTTTCTTCTCTTTAATGATGCTATGTTTCTGATGGAATCATGGAGAGGTTTTTGAAATTGTTTGATATCATGGATAATAAGCTTGGACTTCAACCGTTTTCCATTGTTCCCATCTAAACTGGTTTGGTTGAAATGAAGTGATTGATGTACTTGGTCTACATAGCTCATGAAGAATTTCCTCATTGTTTATAGCCTTGTTTATTTGGTCTTCTTTGTCATTCCTAACTGGAACTGGAAATAACATTCTGTAGGTTCTGACAGAACCAAAGAATGCCCTTGGGAAGCAGTACAAGAAGTTGTTCCAAATGAATGAGGTAAGTGTTCTTTCCAAGCTGCCTGCTCTTTAGATGCTTTCTTGGTGAAACCTTGTAGTTTTAATGAATTTGTTGCGTATTCTCTAACAAAATGCTTGGCCAGTAAACGTGTTTAGTTTTAAAGCCATCAAATTATTATTTTCCCCCTCAGGTCAAGCTACATGTCACGGAAAATGCTTTGAGATCAATTGCTAGAAAAGCAATAACCAAAAATACTGGGGCTCGGGCCTTGCGGTCCATATTAGAGAACATCTTGATGGATTCCATGTATGAGGTATGACATTTCTACACCCCCCCCCCTTGTATCATGAGAAGAAGCCTCCCGTGTTATATTTGAAAGATGAACATATAAATAAAGCATTATGTTTAAATCTCTTCCAGTTCTGAGCATCTTCCTTTTGTATTGACCGTCTGTAAACTGAATTTATTGAATTTGTCCATGTGCCAATGGCCCACATGGCACTTGCCTCTCATCCAGAGGTGGTCCAGGTTAGTATGTCTCTAACTTTGCATTTGACTGGAAGGGGAGTCCATCCATGAGGTGGGGTAAGTATAACTTTCTAGAGAGCAAATGGAAAAAGAAAGAGCTAGACAGAGGAAAAACCTCATATATGATTGACACCTAATACCCTCCTTGAACATTATTTTACCGCGAGGTGGACCTCTGGGGTTCATTACAACTATCTACTTTTTGTATTTAGATTAGGCATCCTCCAGAGTATCATTTGATTTCCTGTTTTGAGATACGGATTTTGCATTGCTTTGTCAATTCTTGCCAAGCTTTTTTTTCTCTCATTGTTTGTTTTCCGAACCTTGGGCCTAACCTTACCAAGTGTGTCCCTTGAGAATGAGAAGCAAAGCTTTGGAACACTTTGTTTTCAACTTAATGTGGTGTTTATTAACTGCAGATGCCTCTGCTATCTGATAATCCAGGGAACAGTAGCTAAGTTGTCATTTTCAGATAATGCAATTTCTGCCTCTTTATTTTGTGCAGATCCCTGATGTTAGAATGGGAGATGATATTATAGATGCTGTTGTAGTCGATGAAGAGGCTATTGGGTCTGAGGAACGTGGAGTCAGAGTTGAAACCCTCTACGGCAGGGGTGCATTGGATCGCTATCTTTCCAAAGGCAAATCAAAGTACTCCGAGGTTTGTATTACTCTTTGAATGCATCTCCTTTACAATATATATATATATATATATATATATATATATGATCCCTGGCCATAAAATGATCCTGGCTAATCGGTTGATCTTTATGTAGAAAACCTTGGAGGGTTCTGATGGAGAACCAGAGGTGGAATCAGAGCTTCCTTCGATAGTTGCCAGTATGTAATTTATTGGTGAATGTTATTTGTAGCCTCTTCACATCACATCCCTGTACATAATAAGCTCACATTAATTTAATAAATTTAAATTCTGTATACATGTTATAATTCCTCAAAAACTGTGCAGTTTGCCTGACCACCGAGTCCAGAATTTTAATATCACTGTTTTATTATATGTTCAAGTCAGTCAAAGATTATCATGTTCTCCCATCCCATTTTCCAGCATGATTTTCTGGGAGAATTAAATTATTGTCTTGTCACTTTCATATGTTCGTATTTTGCTTGCTTAAGTCCACCATTATTTGCTGTCATAGAACTTTGCCCTAGGATTTTGGTTGAAGTTCTCAACAAGCCTTGTGTGGCCAGGTCCTACAACTTTTGGGGTGCCATCTAGCACCTTGGACTCTATAAACTAGGAGGAATTATAGGAGGAAAGTTCAATCAGTACAGAATTCAATCAACACTTATGCTCTATGACCCTTTAATAGGGCAGAACTGCCAGTAACCCACTTGTAGGATTACTTTTTAGCAACTTTTGATCCTTGAACAGTTGAACTATGTGACTTGGTGACATTTTCTTAGTTTCTTTTTCTTTCATCTCAATATTAAATCAAAGCATTATTGAGTCAAAGCTTGAAAGGAAGATGAAAAGTTGGAAGAAGGTAGGTCTACTTATCAAAAACTGTGCAAGAAAGAAAGAAAGAAAGGCAAGCATCCTGACATCATTTATGCCATTTGGAGCTTGGGGCTGAGCTTACTTGGGCTCCAAATAATCATTGTTAAATGAGTAAATTATAAATTATTCTTTCTAGTTTTGAGAAATAAATTAATTGATTCCTTCTTATTTTAAAAGCTAATTATTTTAGTTTTAGTTTTAGTTTTTTTTTTTTTAATAACTTGACTCTTTTTTTTTTTTTTATCAATTTGTCTTAATTTTGTTGTTTTAAGAAATAAATAAATCAAATGTAAGGATTGAATACAAAGAAGGACATTTTTAAAATAAAGTAATATTAAATTAAATGTCATTAACTTTGTTAGGAGATTAAATAATTAGTTTTTGAAATAAGAAAGATTAATTAATTTGATTTTAAAAATAGAGGGGCTAATTTATTATTTATTCTTTTCATATTGATCCAAAAAAAAAAAAAAACATTGTTAAGAGAACAAACCAACCATGTGGTCTCATCAAACACCAAGGCTATATTGCCTTTGCTGCCTTTATATTTGTTTGCTTATTTTATTTGACCATGTCGTGTCATGTCTCCCTTCCATTTCTTCATTTGCATATGCTGACACAAAGATATATACTACAGAATAATGCTAATTTTATAGAAAAAAATTTCTGAAATCCTTTGTTGAAAATTTTTATTCCTGTTGCAATGATCCTACTTTTTTTTTTTTTAGAAGTGATTTCGAAAAAAAATTGATAAAATTAATATTATTTTATTCTAAAACTTATTAATTACTGCGTGGAAAAATTTAAATTTGTGGAATGCCATGAAAAAATGTTGCTAGAACATTTGCTTTAGGCTATAATACTTTATCAAATTACAAGGATGTCAAATTTGTCTAAACCAAATACAAAAAGTTATGGATTTAATATTTGATTGATTTAAAAACTGACTCGAAGATATTTCATTATGTAAAGATTTTTTTAAAAAAATTGATTTTTTATAATAAGGTATTAGTTTAGGCTGTTTACAGTTCCATGGTGTTAATTCAATAATTTTGAAATCAAATTTTGAGAAAAAAAAATTGTTTTAAAAGGATTAAAAAAACAAAATCGGACTACTTTTAAATGAAAAATTTTATAATACACAAGAAGTAACTAGTGGCATGTACAATAGTTACTCCTTATGCTCACTTTGAGGAGAGAGATAGACACATAAAAAAGAGAAAAATTATATCCATACTCACCAAAAGTGATAAGAAGATTTCTACGTCCGCTTAAATTTTTTTATTTTCTCTCTCCTATTTTTTTCTCTCTGTTTTTGTGTGTCTATCTTTCTCTTCAAAGTGGATCCAAAGAGTAACTACTGTACATGCCATTAGTTATTCTTTGTGTATTATCAAATTTTTCACTTTTGAATATTTAACCTAACCTTTTAAAAAGAAAAGTTGTCACATTTTCTTTTTCCTTCTATTGAAAAAATCAATTTTTGTGTATTATGCAAAAATGGATAGCTTCCTCATGTCTTCGACAATCACATCTATCTCCAAGCTCAATAAAAAAAATTATTTATGATAAATAATTGTCTGATCAAAAATGAATAATTTTAGAATTTTGTGCATCTAACAGGAAAGATTTTGAGTCACATTTTACGAAATATATTTTTAATTTCACAATAAAAGATACCACTGCAACAACATAAAATATAAGATTAGGTTCAATGCAACTAAACTTGTTCAGCATTAAATAAAAAATAAAAATATAGTTTTATTGAATATTTTGAATTTATTTCCGAAAGATTTTATTCATTAAACGAAAAAATCATGTATTGAATAAATGGATTTTTATAAATTCATTAGTTGATTTTTTTTTTTTTTTTTTGAGAAATGAATTTGAAAAAAAAATGCGATAAAATTAGCTTGAGAAACAGATTTAGTTAGTTGCAGTAAAAAAAACCAAATGGGTTAACTGTCTAAGACAGTTATTTTGTCGTGCAATGTTCAAAACAGGTTGGTTTTTTTTTTTTTAAACTTCCAAAGAAATAGGTTAAAATGTTGTTAAGTAACGTCCTTTTCCATTTATCAACAAAATCACTGTGATAAAAAAAAAAAAAAACAAACACTAAACTTTTAACAACCGTTAGATCTCTAATCCAGCTCCCCCATTTCAAATCCAACGGTCATCTTTCTCTCTCTCTCCCCCTCACAAAGCTTTGGAAGAGAGAGAGAGGGAGAGAGAGAGAAAGCAAAAGGACGGAGAGAGCCAGACAAGAAAAGAACATTTTTGAGAGAGAGAGATTCTGGGGAACCAAACAAGCCTCTGTTTCTCTCTCTCTCAAAACTTTCTCAAGAAAACTAAAAAAACTTGAAACTTTAGATATAAGAAAGAAGAAAAACAAATACCCATTATTGAAAATCCAATCTTTTCAATTGGGTTTGTGTCTAAATATTTGATTTTCTGCCATTTTAGTCTTGTTGGGTTCTTTTTTTCCTTTTCTTTTTTTTGGGTTAAATTTGTATTTTAATGGAGTTCGATAATATTGAATGTGTGTCATCATCAGATGGACTTGATGAGGATGAGATCCATCATCATAATTTACAACAACATCTGCATCAATTTGCATCATCAAAGCTTCACAATGTAAACAGCAACAACAACAATGGTATTACAAATATTGTTGGGGGTCCTACAGCTATTGCTCCTGCAACTAGTGTTCATGAGTTGCTAGAATGTCCTGTTTGTACCAATTCCATGTACCCACCAATCCATCAGGTTTGTTTTCTTTTTTCTTTTTTAATGTGTTCAATCTGTAATAAAAATGTATTATGGTTTGTGTTTATCTGGCTTTGTTTGCTTGCTGTCTTTTCTGATTTTTTTTGTTGTGTTTGATTGGTGTATGATGGATTTTAGTGGATTTGCGTAATTGGGTTTTAAGGACATTGCTGATTTCATGTGGATGATGATTGTGTGTTGTTTTAGGGTTGGTGATTGTTGAATTTGATATGTTTTTGGGGCTGTTTTAGTGAGAAACAATTTTGGGTTTTTGGCAATTTGATTTGAATGGAGTAGTGCTGTATTTGAGTGTATGTGAGGGAATTTGTCTAGACCGGATAGCATTTTTGTCCCTTTTATTGTGTGATGCCTTTGAGAAGTTGCAATGCGATGATCTTCTCTCGTTTATTTTCGAGCATTCCTGAAGCTGAGTCATCCCAGTCCATGAGATCCATGATCCATTTTTCTTAAGATAATGCTTTTTGCCTTGAGTGGGATGTTAACTTCCCTATGTCAAGTTTGTTGCTTTCTTATATCCTTTAATGGTTCTTATCGGTTGCAACATAAGCTGTCAAGTACTATAATCTGCTCTGGAATTGGTGAGAATGGTTATCTTGTCTGGAGATTACGTGACAAGTTGTTGTTTTTTACTTCATATGTGATTCTTTCATGTTGAGAGTTCTTTTTTTTTTTGCTTTGCTCGATTAATACATTGATTTGTTGAAGCAATGATGGCTCACCTATGCTTCTGTTGATAAGCTGCAAGTTAAGTGGGTAATAAGATATTCTTCAGTGTTATATAAGTGGAGATATTAGTATTTAGCTTGATCTTGCATTGCTTCATTTTCATGATTGATTTGTCATCTTCTTATCTGATTCCTCTTGTTCATTTCTTGATCTTGCTCAGTATGCTTGCCTCTATACTGAACTTTCACTTGTTACTTTTGGAGGGGAATGCTAATATGGCTGTGTTTGCTACACTATGCCTACAAACCTACACTTACTTGCAGTGTCACAATGGGCACACACTATGTTCAACCTGTAAAACAAGGGTACAAAATCGCTGCCCTACTTGTAGGCAGGAGCTTGGAGACATTAGGTGTTTAGCCCTGGAGAAGGTGGCTGAGTCACTGGAACTGCCTTGCAAATATTACAACTTGGGGTGCCCGGAGATATTTCCATATTACAGCAAGCTCAAGCATGAGACTATTTGCAACTTCAGACCATATAATTGCCCCTATGCTGGATCAGAATGCTCTGTTGTTGGAGATATTCCTTTCCTGGTTACGCATCTAAGGGATGATCACAAGGTGGACATGCACACAGGATGCACTTTCAACCATCGCTATGTGAAATCTAATCCCCGCGAAGTGGAGAATGCCACTTGGATGTTGACGGTAATTGTAGCACTGCTTTTTGCATTCTTAAACTGTTTGCATGAAGAACAATTTCATAATCATGGTTAAATATGTTATATAATATTTCTCCAACTGTGGGATGCTGACACGTTGAACTTGAAGCCAACTTATTTCTACTCAACTAAACCTTATTTCCAAACCAATTGGACTTAACGTCATTAGCATTTGAAAGAAGTAATTGATTCAACAGTTGACAAATCATACAAGAAAAGGAGTTCTAAAAAATTTCAGGTTTTGACGAAAAGAAAAGGATTAGCAAACCCTGCATTTGGATCCCTACCATATAAGATGTGACTAGTTTTAACTGGCTGTCACCCTACCATATTCAGATCCTAGCACAAAGACAGATTTGTTGAAGCTTGGTGAAACAAATTAGTTTGCAGGCTTTTCCTCCTGCACATAGTTTGGTATTGACACTTGGATTTTTCTTCCTCCCTCAACTATCAGAACAAAAGAAAGGAAGGAAATATTTACGTCTGTCAGTGTGATATCGAGAACATGATATTGTGGCCTTATTAAATATCCTATGCCTCACTTGAAAAAATGAGATCTTGTAATCTGTATAGTGGACGTGATTTGAAATTTCATTACTAACTGTTAACCTAGGTGATAAAGATATTTCCAAATCAACTATGGTTTAATTTTCATCCCTTAAACCATTCCTCTAGAAGTTCTGTTAACTTTGATTTATTCATTAGCACATTGGTCAGGCTTGATTGCATCTGGTAACTCAATTTGTGTAATTGTGTAGCTTATATGGGGATAGGATATAAAGAGTAATGAGAGACATCTACTTTCATTTATATTTTTTGGTGTGTGTTCACGTGAGTCTGTCTCTCTAGACTACCAGCCCCTAAAATGACCAAGCAACCTCGACTTGCATTTTTTCTGGATTAACCCATGACCTGCATATTTATTATAGAGGTTATAGTTCATTATTCATTTATGGATTGTGCATGTGCTTTATTTATCAGGTCTTCCATTGTTTTGGTCAATACTTCTGCCTTCACTTTGAAGCTTTCCAGCTTGGCATGGCCCCTGTTTATATGGCATTCCTTCGTTTCATGGGTGATGAGGCTGATGCTCGGAATTATAGCTACAGCCTTGAGGTTGGGGGAAATGGCAGGAAACTTACGTGGGAGGGTACCCCACGAAGTGTCCGAGATAGCCACCGGAAGGTCAGGGATAGTCATGACGGTCTCATTATTCAACGAAATATGGCACTTTTCTTCTCTGGTGGGGATAGGAAGGAGCTGAAGTTGAGAGTTACAGGGAGGATATGGAAGGAGCAACAAAATCCAGAAACTGGAGTGTGCATACCCAACCTTTGTAGCTAAGGCAAAGTGATTTTGAAGACATTGACACGGTTTGTGTGTTTGGGACTCTTGTGTGTTGTACCTACCTACCTCTTCCATCCTTTTCTGATATGTTGTAAATGGATGGAATTGATGAAACTCACAGTTTTTACAAATTTGTATAATAAACCGCTGTTCTTTCATGAACTTCTCCTTGATGGTAAAGAAACTAGGCTTCCAAGTTAGACTGGATGAAGCCAATTACAGGCTCTTCGCTGTGTTTCTTAAAAGACTATACTATGAAGATAATATTTAATACCACTCAAAGGTAAGAGCTGCCCATCAGGTTTAATTATGGACGTTAGGATTTCATTGGGAAGCAAATAGCAATGCTTCCTTGCTCCAACAATCGCATTGGGAAAGTATACATCTCTATCTCTCTCTCTTATTTTGAATTAAAAATTTATGGTACAGTTTTAAGTTGCAAAATTGTTGAGGCTAGTCATGGCAACATTGGTCTTTGTAGTTTTACAACACCATCATCTCCATCAATTTTCATCATCAAAGCCTCACAATATAATCAATACAAAAATGGTATTACCAATGTTACTGGGGGTGTTGCAGCTATTGCTCCTGCATGCAACTAGCGTTCATGAATTGCTAGAATATCCTGTTTGTACCAATTCTATGTACCCACCAATCTACAAGGTTTGTTTTTATGTTTTAAGAATGTGAACTTCATTGTTTGTGTTTACATGGTTTGTTTGTTTGCTTTTATTGTTTTATTATTATTATTATTATTTTGTGTGTTTTTGCTGTTTTTGATTAGTGTTATGATGGATTTTAGTGTATCTGCATAATTGGATTTTAAGGATATTGGTGATTTCATGTGCTTCTATAGAGGTTTTGTTAAGTCTTTTTTTAGAATTGTTTGCTGAGAGAAGGTTTTGGCTTTTTAGTGAGTTTCTTAGACTGGGTGGCATTCTTGTACATATCAATACGTAGTGTTCATAATTTTAAATCACATACGCGACTGAAAAAAAAGTCATAATCACAGTAGTAAAGTAATGATTCTGACAATCGATATGATGAATATATTAATAAATTTATTATAATTCACATATTTTTAAGAGCTTTATTAATCAAGCATACTAACATCTTGTAGACTGTAAAGTGCAAAAACTGAAATTTTGAATATTTTGTTTTTAGTATAACATCGTTATATAATGACAAATAACGACATTACATAACAATAATATTGTCATTCACATAAAACAATAATGGACCTCTATAACGCTAAATATCGATACTAGAATGCCCTGAAACCATTATCTTATTTGAATCCATGGTGGTGCTCTTGTGAGATAATCTTTCCATCCTTTCAGGAAGTGTCTCAGCCCTACTCAGCCAGGGTTTAAATATGGAAGGAACAACTAAAAACAAAACCTAGAAACTTGAGTGTGCATACCCAACCTTTGTAGCTAAAGGCAAAGTGATTTTGAAGACACATTTACACGATTTGATTGTTCGGGACTGTTGTGTGTTGTACCTCCCTCTTCCATCTTTTCCTTATGTGTTGTAATGGATGGAATTGATGAAATTCTGCAGTTTATATATATATATATATATATATATATATATATATATGTTATAAGCAGCTGTTATTCAATGAACTTTTACTTGATACTACAACAAATAGACTTTCTAGTTAAGACTACGAAACTAATCGCTGGATTGGCATTATGTTTCCTTAAAAGACTATGCCCTGAAGATAGAGAGTAATTTTTTGATGACTCTAGCAAGAGCTGCCAATTTTAATACAGCAACCTGAGAGGTAAGCAAGTGAATGAAATGGTAAAAGTGAAATAAGATTTTCATATTTCTACAGAAAAATATACAAAGGGTCCAAAAAATTGTGCGAGTACTCCCATTTCTGAGCCTGTAACTTGTGATTTCTAAATATCAACAATCCTTCAAAAATGCTTGAACAGAGAGTGATTCAAAGAGTACGCATGCATGATTACTGGAACTCCTGCTTATCATGATGTTTTAGGTCTTGATAACCCAATAAACATTTGAACAAGGAAAAAAACCGAAACCACATTTACTTCCAATGCCATTCGGACCAGAGAACCAGGAAAATGTAAATATTGACAGCTTCATTAGTATTTATTCACTTCCCAGATGGCTAATGCTTCACCATTTGTAAAGGAAGAAATCATGTCATGTTGGCAAAATCAGCATCTCAAATTGCTCCCATATTTTGACTGCTACCACAAAGTTGATCTATCAAATCACTCAACCAGCTAGAAGGAATCTAATCTGGATAGCGTATCCTATGAATTGAGGATCAAGAAAACCATAAATTTAATACTTTCATCTTAAGAATTCCACATAAGAAGATAACTGTGAATTTAATGCCCTTGTTAAGAGATTTTGTTATGAAAAAAGATGAATATAAATGTCCAAACACATGCTCATTGTGTGCACAGATCAAAGAGAAATCGACTAAGTGTCAGGAAGCTCCACAAACTCGGAGAAACAGCAGACAATACAGTAACAATAGGCAAATAAATCATCATTATTTCCTAACAGGTTTAATTACATAAAGATTGCTCAGGCTCACAGTTCAAAACTATTACATTAACGTCAAAAGAAGCACAAAAGTTTTACCATTTCAAGTTGCAACCTGCTGCTCAGTTGCACCATCACTTTTAATTTCAGTCTCATCCGAATTATCACCTTCAATTACTCTCTCCTCTGTGTTTGCATCAGTGGGAGCAAACTCTGCAATAGTAGCTTCCTCAACGCTCTCTCCTTTCTCAACTGGCGCCTCTTTGTTAGAAAAGGAAGCCTCGATGGCATTTTCATTAGCTCCTTCTGACTCTGTCTCAGCTTCCTTTTTTCCACTGGATGAAATTAAAGAGTTGATGACAGCTTTTGCGCTTCTCTTGGAAGCCTCAGCTGCTTCAACCTCTTTGGCCTTAGCCTCAGCTTTCAGTCTCTCTTTCTCCTCCATAAGTTTTGTTAACTCCTCTTCTCTCCCATCCTTTCTCAATTCTCCTTTAATAAATTCCTGCAACTCCTCACTAAACTCAGCCTCCTCATCATCTATTATTCCTTCAGCCATTTTAAGCACCTCATCCAATTTCCCAAGATCACTCATTGTCTTCATCATAAACTTGTAGCTCTCATCATCCATCTTGAGTTTCTTCACCATCATATCATAAAACGATTTTGCTTCATCAATCTTCCCCACTTTAACCAACTCATCAACCAATCTATTATAAACTGCCAAGTTAGGTCTTGACCCCGATTCAACCATTTTCCTAAAGTAAGCCGCCCCATCATCAATTCTATTTTCTTTAATGCAAGTATCCATCAATAGAACATACGTATACTCATCCGGTTTAACCCCCTTTCCATCCATCTCTCCATAAACCTTCTCAGCTTCAACCAGCATTCCATTTTGGCACAACTGATCAATCAAATTATTAAAAGACAAAGTATCTGGACTGCTCCTATAATCACCCATCTTCAAGAAAACTTCAATAGCATCCTTAAACCTCCCTTCCAAACAATACCCATCAACCATCACATTAAAGCTCCCCAAATCCACAACCAAACTCTTTGGCGGGTTATGCTCTCTTAACATACTCTCAAACAACTTCAACGCCTCATCAAACTCACCATTCTTACACAACGCATCAAGCACCGAATTATGAGCAACGGCACTCCACTTACCCCTCAAATTCTCTGATAAAAACTTATTATAACACTCCATCGCCTCCTTCTTCATCCCTCTCATAAAATACCCCTTCATCAAAGCCCCGTAAACGAGAACCCCATTCCCCACAACCTCACCACCCATTTTCTCCTTCAACTCCTCGTAAAGCCTAAAAACCAAATCGGAATCCCCACTCCTCACACAACCCACCATCAAATAATGATAAATAACCGGATCCGGCGAAAACCCTTTAATCCCAATCATATCATCTTTCAACTCCAAAGCCTTCTCTAACTTCCCGTTATCCACCAATCCTTTAATCATAATCCTATAAGTAGTCGGCGAAGGGCTCAAAGGAGCCTCATTTACCATCTGTTTATAATAATCAAGCGCAGTATCCGGCTTTCTACAATCCAAATAAGTTTGGAACAGTAAATTATGAGTTATCACATTGGCAGCAATGCCAGCTTGAGTGATAAACCTATGCAAAGAGAGCAAATCAGAGTATTTTGATTGGCGTAATTGCGCATTAAGCACAGCATTAACTGTATAAATTGTTGGCTTACAATTCGAATAAACCGAATGGCGCGTGTAAAGCGCAGCTTCTTCAAGATCATTTTCACGAATTAGGGTTAGAATCTTGTTGTGAAGATTTAAGCGGTTGCCTGTAAGAGAGGAAATGGGTTCAGGGAGTTTTGGGGCATTGGGGTTTTGGATGGGTTTTGGGATTTGTTGGGTTTGCTGTTGGTTTCTGTTGAGGGAAGAGAGTGGGGGTTCAATGCGGAGACGACGTTTGCGTCGGCGGCGCTCAGCAGCGGCTTCTTCTTGGGAGGAGAAGGAGAGGAAGCGGACGGAGATTCTGGACGGTGGTGAGCGGTGGAGGGGGTTTTGGTGGTGGTGGCTAGGATTTTGAGGTGGGTTAGGAAACTTGTGGGTTTAGAGAGAGACATGTTTTGGGGTTTTGAGGTTTTGGCAAGGAAATGAAGATTTTTGGGGTAGGGTTTATGGCCCTAGATTTTTTAAGGTGGAAGAAATGTTTGATGGGGACAACTTCAAAATAGTCCCCAAAAAATGACCTCTATCTAAATTGAGTCCTTTACATTTGTCTATTGTATTCTAAAATCCTCAATTGGATCCTTTATTCAACAAATATGCCTGAAATTATGCATAGTTTGGGAAATTGAGTTTGTTAAATTGGAGGGTTGAGGGCCTGCGTGTTTTAGTGGCTTAGGACTGCAATTAGCTCTAAATCAAAGAGTGGGTTTAAGAATGGATTAATTAGGAGGACTGACTAATGTTTCTTTTGGGCTCTGAAGATGTGTGGCATGAATCTATAAACACCAAAAAGGCCCAGCCTGGTACAGGCAAACCAAGTTGTATTTAGGTAAATTTAGGGACTTTTAAGAAGAATTGGAGAAGGTCAAAAATGTTAAGTTTAGTAGTAAATTTTATCTGGCTTGTCTAATTGCTATTTTAAGTTCTAATATTCGTATTCCTATTATTAAAAAAAAAAAAGCTAAATATTTTGGAGTTAATAGCTAAATTTATCCTTATATAATTAATAAGACAATTTTTTAATTTATCGATATATGCTTAAATGATTTAATTTTATTCTTGAATATACATTAAGTTTCTAATTTTTCATTTTATCAAAATCTTGCCGTCAAACAGTCGAATCATTCACTTGATTTGTACATAATTAATTTTTATTTTTAAAATACTCTTATAAGTTTATCAAATAAAAAAATTTTATGTGCAAGCGTGTGACTAATTTTACTAATTTAGTTTGAAAATCTTGTCAAAAGAATATAAAGACAAATTAGATGATTATTCTATTATATAAGGATAGATTAAACTATTAACTAGATCGTTTTGTGTTTTTTTCCCCTAGAATACCTTTTCTCCGACGATATGAAATAAATGTTGTAAATGTTTCGCATTTTTCCTAAATTATTCTCTCTATGGATTGATTATCTGGTATTAGACTTGGTCTACACTTTCTAAATACCTATAAATAGAAAATATGCTTTGTTGTATCCATGGTGTAATGGACGAATGACACAGCAGAAATGAGTTGTTGTCTTGACAAAGAAAACTGAAATAACCTCTTGTCAAGGACTAGCTAGCCAGGTTCTTTAAATACAATCAAAACATTATGTTTTTTTTGCATCAATTTCTATCGTTTTATTCGAATTTTCATCTTCTCCAAATTCCTTAATTTCACATTTGATAGAATTGGAGAAGCTTTTTGATGGGGTTAGCACCAACAAAAGGTTCCATGAGGTTGATTCAAAACTTCATGGTGATGCTGCTCATTGTTGTGTTGGCTTTCATAGGAAATGCCATGGGACAAGGACAAGCCCCTCCAGCACAAAATAAAAAGAAATTTCCTAATGTTATATGTTGTATTAAGTTATTCAAAATTATTACAGTTGGCATGTGTTGTAAAGAAGGTCAATTTTAGGGTTCCTATATTCCTATTCTATGGATGGTATGTTTTATTCTTCTTCTTCTTGTTGTTTTTTTTTTTTTTTTTTAAGTATCGTTACTCTTTGTTAATTTTTGAGAAACAATTGGAATTTGTTAAAAAGTGTGGTATAAGAAAGTATTGTTATATTATTTCAAGTGTTTAAGTAAAACAAAAAATAACCTTCGTCGTGACGTTCAAATTCCACCGCTTTTTTTTCTTTTTTTTGTTTTAGTTTTTAATTGTCATGTTGTTTGGCTAATTTCTCCGGACGTAGATTAAATCTTTTCGAATTGAGTTTTAGATGGATTGATCATATTTAGATTGGTGCAGAAATGGTATGTAGATCATCAAAGAGACAAGAAATAGAAAGCAACCTCTCCTATAATTTTTAACAACCAAACCAAACTCTTGAAAGTTGAATTGTGAATAGATAGATAAATAATTGTTTAAGTTGTTAATTTCAATAATATATTAAATGCTAGTTGTATATGACCGTTAATTTTAATAAAATAAAAATTGATAGAGGATGATATTAAATAATATATATAAATCAAAGGTTATGATTTATTATTTTATTATACAAGGATACGATTGAATATATATATATATATATATATGAAATCCGATTCTAAACACAAAATATTTCATATAACTTGAAAATTTAACGAAGACAACCAAAAAAGTATTCTATCTTCATATGAAATTGATAGCCATCAATAATCACTATTTCTAGAGAAAAAGATTGTTGTTGACACAAGATCTGTAAATTGTCAATGGCAAGATAATTTGTCCATTGGCAAGTTTAAGTAACTACGACTTGTAGCTTGTAAAAAAGAAAAGAAAACTTGCATGGTATATATATGTTAATTTATTGCTTTTGCACACGTAAAAGAAAGTGAAGTAAATATAAAATAATTGTTACTTTTATTTTTTAATATACGTTTTGTGTTTATGAAGTATGGTTAATTAATGTTAAGAACATTCTCTTTTATGGAATGCCTCACTTGCTAAATTTTGGGATTTCTACTTAATATTGGGAAGGCTAGATTTTAAAATAATTGAAAATTAGAGAAAAAAGACATAATATTGGGAAGGCTAGATTGAACCTTAGTGAAAAAAAAACAAATACCTCTATGAACGAAAAGAAAAAAAAACCTTGAATTATTTCTTATCCTAAACATTATGATTTAAAAAAATTTCTAAGCTTGCAAGCCATTAAAAATAAAAATCAAAGAAAGTCCCATGACCTCCTCCTAGAAATTAACCTAAATTGAAAATCCCAATTCCAACAATTTTCCATTCTAAGCTGCTCTTATTGTTGGCGGTAGTGGTGGTGGCAGGGTATGTTGCCATAAATTGAATGGTTTTTGTATGTATAATTTGCAATAATGTTTTTTTTCCCTCATTAGTAGAAAAAGATAGAGGAATTAGATGGAATTTTAACGATATTTGTTTTAATTTCTCAATAAAACCCTGACATAAGGGGCAAAAAAAAAACTCATATTATTTAAGATGGAAAATCAAGGATTTTTTTTATGAGGGTATTTTTCGCTAAAATTCATGAGGTTATTTTACAATTTAGATTATTGAGAGAAAACCCAATACATATCTTTGTTCTTCCACTATGAATGATGTAAATTAGACATGTGGTTTCTTCTACACTAATTTGAGGGTTGAGGGCCCTTATGTTTTAGTGGGTTAAGATTGATATAGGCTCTAAAACAAAAAATAATTGGTTTTGACGGTAGGATTTATTAGGGTTTACAAATGGATTGTAATTAGCTCTAAACGAGGCTGTATTGCTGACTAATTAGGTAAATTTAGGGACTTTTGAGATGAAAAGGTAAAAAAATTCATTTTTTTTTTTGTTCAACAATAAAGATGTCTTCGGATCGGCTTTCACGCACTTCAAGATTAACCCATTTTCTAACATAGCTAAAGTGCACTTCTCGACGCAAGATTTCGAGTATTTTGAAAATAAATTCTTATGAGTGATGGTCACAAGAATCGAACCCTAGACCTTGTCTCCATGTCAATATTTGCTTATAAGCGTGGCTACCACCTTGTGGTTTAAAAAAAAAAAAAAAAACCTTACGAATTTGTATAGTTTTTTCCTCTTCTTCTAGAATATGTTTTTTTCTACTCACATGAAGTAAATGTTGTTAACGTTTTTTTCTACTCACATGAAGTACATTTAGGGATAGATAAAACGAAAGTAGAAGTGAGTTGCTAACTAGGATCTTTAAATAGCAATCAAATCATGATGTTTTTTGCACCAAATTCTATATATAAAAAAGAAAAACCTTTCAATTAAAAACATTGTTTTTGCACCAATTTCAATCCTTTCATTGAAATTTTTATCTTCCCCAAATTTCTTTCTTTCACATTTGTTTGATGGGGTTAGGACAAACAAAAGGTTCTATGAGATTGATCCAAAACTTTATTTTGATGCTACTAATTGTTGTTTTGGCTTTCATAGGAAATGCCATGGGACAAGAACAAGCTCCCCCACTACAAAATAAACATGTAAAGCTTGATGGTATATGTTGTATTAAGCTATTCAAAATTATTACAATTGGCAAATGTTGTAAATATATTCAAATTTAGAGTTCCAATATTCATATTCTAATTGTAGTATGCTCTTAGCCTTTATACATATTCAAATCTATTTATTTTTCAAATATCTCAATCTCGTTCTTTTTCTTGAAATTTATCTGCAATTGGATCCTTGATTATAAAATTTTATTTTCTTTTTCAAAACTAGAAGTCTCTCTCCCTACCTACATTTTCAAGCTAACAAAATTACAAAATACAAATTCTTATAAAGAGTCAAAATATTCCTTTTCTTTTCCACACATAAAATCTAAAAATAATGTTTGTACAATGTTCTCACCATATTATACCATAAAAACCAAACTGAAAATTTGAGTTATTATCTTCTTGGTATTTTTTGAGTTTTGCTATATATAATCGAATTATTATAAATAGATATCCAACCTTTACTTTTATTTTTTATTTTTTTAGATCCTAATTATTTATTTGTTTATTTATTTATTATTATTATTATTTTGTGAGCAATCCGATCCAGCATTTTCGCCTACCAAAGTCCGATCACATGTGAGAAGTATATAGAAGTAAAATGACCAGAAACTCCAAATTTAAATTAAAAAGAAAAGGTTTATTGTATCTCAATCCTCAAATTCACCCACCTCTGTTGTTCCACAACTTTCAAACAGTATAGCTACCACCACCATCCACTGTTAGCTCACCACCACAAGCCTTTCTCCTCTGCCTACTTCCCCACCTTCACGACCCAATGCCAATTCATCAGACCCAAAAACCTCTTCAACTTTGTCTCCAGCACCTCAATCCCAAAAATCAAGTTCAACTGGTTTCATACCCTCCTGCATCTCCCAAGTTAAACAATGAAGCAAAAGAGTGATAGCCAAATCAAATACAGAAATGATTTTTTGGTTTTTCGATTCAGTTTTGATTTTTAATTAATCGAACTGATTAAAATAAAAACCAAAAATGAATGGAATTAAGGTTTGATTTTTTGGCTTTTGATTAAAAACTAGGTTTTTTTTTTGTATTTTTTCTTCTGAATTTTGATTTTTTTCTTGAACTAAGCTGAAAAGCCACTTTTTTACAAATTTTTTTTCTGATTTCTAAAAAATACTAATAGTTTGAATCAAAATTTTAGCAAAGAATATCATAGGAAAATGCTACAGCCAAAATCTGAATGATCTTTAATGTATCAAAAATTCAGATATAATAACTTGAATAATACTCATTCCTAACAAATTTAATTCCCAAGAACTTGTAATCAAGTAATAACAATCTTTTGTAAGAGGTTATAGGTTAAAATCATAATAGATTATTTTATTATGAGTCTTCGGTGTGTGTGTTAAAAAAAAACATTAATTTGGTTTTCGATAGAAATTAAATTTAAAAAAAAAAACAAACGAAACCAAAATAATACCAATTTTTTGGTTTTAATTTTTTCGTATAATATTAAATCGAAATTATTAATTCAATTTAGTTCCATTCGATTTTTTAGTTTAACCGAATAACCCAAGTTGTTTACCAGGGCAAGATCTCCGTCCTGACCCACCAAACATCACATCTTGCCATATATGAGAAAAAGAAGGACATGTCCATACCTGTAAAAGACACCTTAGTTAAAAACGGTGGGGCCCTGTCGAGATCAGTTTCAATGTGAAGAACAAAGAACGTCGATGATTTCAATGTCAGGAAGTTAAAAAGTTTACTTTTTTTTAATTTGGGTGAGGGGTTGTTTTGTCATTTAACTTTTAATCTAGATGGTAGGGTTTTTACTTGATCCTCCAAGTATCTTAAGTCGACCTAAAAATCTAAACTAATTTTTTGTTATTCTATTTAGATTATAAGATATAAATAATCATTCGAAAATTTTTTTTACTTACATATAAATTTAAATATAAAATTATTTATTTAAATAATTAAAATTTCTTCTACTTATGGCATTTAATATGTTAATGAAATACTTATTATCGTTTTAATGGATTAGATGCATGTCACAAGCGTTTAATGTAGTTGGAAATTAAGAATCTATCTCTTTTTGGTAAGAAACTCAAGATATTTATCGAACACTCAAGAAATTATAGAACATAATCGTCATTTTGTCGTTCAATTATTTTATTATTTAATTTGTCACTTGTAGGTCTTTTTCACGAACTAGCAAAAACGTGTATTGTCATTTTAATGAACTACATGCATGTTACATGCATTTAATGTGATTTGAAATTAATTAATTAAAAAAATTGAATTGCTGATTAAAAAAAGTTTAAGATCCAAATCGAAAAAATTAAAAGTTGAATAGATATCTCTGTTTGATAAAAAAAAACTTATGATATTATAGAACCAAGAAAATTATGACTAAAAAAAAAAAATCAGAAATGCTTAACAACGTATATTTTGTGATAACTTATGCTCCAAGCTATATCGTTGAAAAAAAAGAAATATTATTCATATTATTAGATAAAGGTTAAACTTGTCAATCCATCTTCAAATTGGACGAGTCATCAGTATTCAATTTTGAACGTCTAAAAATTACTTCTCGAATCAATTTAAGTCAATAAAATAAATCTCAAAGCCGTATTTCTAGCTGGCACAGAGCGACGGTGCCGCGGCGGCTTGTCCTTTTTATTGCTGTCGCCGTCTATATGGAAAAGGCGGTGGACAAAAACAAAATTATTTCTTTGTGATGCATAAAAAATAAAGTTGAACTAAAATTACTTCCATTAAAAGTCAAATTGCATACGTGGGTTGAATAAATCTGGTATTGTGCGTGTACGATCCGAATAAAAAATATATATATTTTTTGCATAGCGTGATTTTTTCGATTCTTTACATTTTAATATGAAATTTTGAACATAGATCGAAAAAAAATTAAATTCATTTTTCTAAAAAATCTAAAATTATATTTATTTTTTCTTTAAATATTAAAAATATAAAAAATAAAAATTTTAAATAAATCTAATTGAATAATTTTTATCGTATAATTGTTTATGTTATTGTTTTTTTTGAGATAAATGATAAAAAACTAAAAAATTAACTGAATTTAAAAAACAAACTAAAAATTAAAAACATAAATTAAAAATTCAAAAATTGATTTTAAATAAAATAAAATTTAGAAAAGATTTCACACTTTTAACCATCATGTTACTAATTAAGAATGGATGATGAATAGGTAATTTTTCATGAAGGATAAAGTATGCTATACCTCAATTTTTTTTAATTATGGGATATAACACTCATTATTATATAATTAACAAAGAAACTTGAATAGGTATTTTTTATTAAAATATTTAATACAAATTGAAAAATTAACAAAGACAATTAAAAAAGTACTCTATCTTCACATGAAATAGGTAGTCATCAATAATCACCATATCTATAGATAAAGATTGATGCTGGTATAGGATTTGCAAATTGTCTTGACAATTTGTCAGCAAAATTGAATTAAGTAATTATGATCATTGACTTTTACCAAAACTTTCATGACAGATGTTAATTTATATGGAAGGATTATGATCCTCTTGACTTTTGCGCATGTAAAAAAAAAAAAAGAAAAACAAATGTAAAATGATTGGTATTTTTGTTTTTTTAGTTGAATTGCTGGAAAACGATGGGTTTTTTTTCGCACAATTTAAAAAATATAGTAATTTTTATGTTATATCAGCAGTTTTAATTTATAATTTTTTTGTGTTAAAATTGTTAGTTATTAAATTTAATCTGACATTACATAGAATGAATATTAATTTAAAGAGAATATATCTAAAATTAAGATAGTAAATAAAAAAAATCATTAAGTTATGATTAAATTTAAAACAATTATGAAAACATAATATATTAATGAAAATATTTTACTCGTAAAATTTTAACATGTAGTAAAGTTCTTAAAATAATGAATATTTTTCATGTAACAAAAAAAAATCTTTGAAATTTTTATGTTAAAAGGCATTTGTATTTATAAGAAAAAAATATGAAGAATATTAAAATTTTGTTAGTGAATAACGAGAAAATGAAATGAACAATTAATGATATTTTACAAAAATACATTATTTAAAATTTTGACCAAAGAAATATCTTAGAACATATATAAATAAAAAAAGGAGTCATCACTTTTGGATAAAGGAAGTGATATATCTTTTTTGTTTTTGAAGTATGATTAACGTTAAGAACATCCTTTTTTATGTAATGACTCACTTGCTAAAATTTGGAATTTCTATTAAAAAAAATCTTGGATTAAACCGTAAAATTAATCAATTAATTGAATGCGGATTTGTTGTTGGGTTCTGCTTAAGGAAGAGAGTGAGGGTTCAATACGGAGACGACAATTGCATCGGTGATGTTCAATCAAGGCTTCTTTCAAGGAGGTGAAGCGAGAGGGGATTGTAGACGAGTGGCGGTGGAGAGAGATTTTGGCGGTGGTTAGGGTTTTGAGGTGGGTTAAGAAATTTGTGGGTTTATAGAGAGACTTTTTTGTTTTTTGAGGTTTTGAGTTTTTGGTAAGGAAATGAAGACTTTTGGGGTAAGGTTTGTGGCTATAGATTTTTCAAGGTGGAAGAGATAGTTGATGGGGCTAACTTCAAATTAGTAATAATGACCACTTATCTCATCCAAGTCCTTTACACATGTCTCTATTGTACTCTAGAATCCTTAATTTGATCATTTATTCAACAAATATGCCTAACATCATGCATAGTTTAGGGAACGGATTGAGAAAATCCTCAAGAAAATTTGTTGATATAAGGATCCGATTAAGGATTATCAAATATATCGGGGACTTAATTATTTAAAAAGTATATTTTGAGGACCCGATTGAAAAAAATTGTTATATATAGGAACTAATTCGAGGTTACTCCTAGATGGTATTTAGTTAGCAGATTTTAAGGTTCTTTTGTTGAGTTTATGGGTTTGAGATCACGAAACCTTAAACCACTAATCATAATGAAATGGACCTCTCTATGTCCTATGAATCTCAAATTTTGGATTTTGCCTAAACAATTGCATTGCATAAGCTCTCAACTCTCAATCAAGCTTTGTTTTTTTCTTTTATCGTTAGGACATCCTCAAAAATAGTTCTTGTACACTCGAGATGAACTATTTTTTATTGTATCTTAACGAGTCGTCAACACTCGAAGTAGTGTATATGTAATAAATTTCTTTTATGCAACCTCCTTTTGAATTGAATCCGAGACAATAACGTAGATAACTTATTCGAATTAAGAAACTTCTTTTGTACAACCTCTTCTTGATTTGAATATGAAATAACAACGAGGAGAGTTTTGTTTTTGACAAAGATCATCCACGAGTTTGTGAAATTAGGACATGGTTTCTCCTGCGCTAATTGGAGGGTTGAGGGCCCTTATGTTTCAGCGATTAAGACCAAAATTAGCTCTAAATCAAACAATGGGTTTTACAAATGGATTTATTAGGAGTAATGACTGGTGTTTTTCAATTATGGGTTTTGAAGAAGGGTGGAAGGAATGCGTAAAACGAAAAAGGTCCAACCTAATAGAAAAGAATGACCATGCATGACGAGCAAACCAAGCTGTATTGCTAACTTATTAGGTAAATTTAGGGACTTTTTGAGATGATTTGGAAAAGGTTAAAAAATTTTAGTGAATTTTAACTTAATTAGTCTTGTCTAATTGCTATTTTAAGTTCGATATTCACATTCCAAGTAAAAAAAAAAAAAAAAGAATCGATCATTTTGTGTAGTTTTTTCCCTTCTAGAATACATTTTCTCTGCCCACATGAAATAAATATTGTTAACGTTTCATATTTTCATGAATTATTCTCTCTATCCTCTCCATGGATTGATTATCTTGCACTACTTCGTACTAAACAGATTATATCTTCCGATTTTTCATACAAATCAAAAATGTTATTAATTATTATACTATATTAGCATCTTTTGTTCATATTTTACAAATATATATATATATATATATATATATATATTTTTTTTAAAGTATATTCGGACAATCTTTTATAAAATAAATTTTTATTAGAAACATACATCACTTAAAATTTTAACAAATCAAACATTTTGGAACGAGAAAGAGACTCCACTTTCTAAATGCCTATTTATAGAAAATATGCTTTGTTGTATCTATGATGTAATGAATGATTTACACAATAGGGAAATATAGAACGAGAGCGAGAAATGAGTTGTTCTCTTGACAAACAAGCTGGAATCAAACCTCCTGTCAAGGACTAGTTAAGGTCTTTAAATGCATTCAAAACATGAAGTTTTACGCATCAAAATTTTTGTAGATCGAAATCCTTTACATTAAAAACATTGTTTTTGCATCAATTTCTATCCTTTCATTGTAATTTCTATCTTCCCAACTCTTTTCTTTCACATTTGATAACTTGGAGAAGCCTTTTTGATGGGGTTAGTGCCAACAAAAGGTTCTATAAGGTTGATTCAAAACTTCGTTGTGATGCTACTCGTTGTTGTGTTTGCTTTCCTAGAAAATGCCATGGGCCAAGCCCTTTCGGAAAAAAATAATCGGACAAACTCTGTTGCGGTTGTATGTTGTATTAAGCTATTCAAATTGATTTCTATTGGTGGGTGTTGTTAGGACAAGGAAGGTCAAAATTAAGTTAGTTCCTATATTCATATCCAAGTATTGTACATATGTTTTTCTTCTTCGGTTAAACTCATTCCGTATCTTTGTATTATTTAATATTATTTACTTTAACTTATTTATCTAAGTATGGTACCATTTCATCTATATTTAGTAATTATGTGTCATCATATAATTAGTTAGATGTTCGATTATTACAACATTCAATAATATGTAATTTGTTTTGTACCCATATTTAAATATATATGTTAAAATAAACGAGTATTGCATAGTAGAAGAGTATGGATAAATTTCATCTTTTTTTTTTTAATATTGAAATTTTTTTAAAAAATAATTTAATTTTTATATTTTTTAAAATTATTTTGATTGAGATTTCATACATGTATTACACATTTAAAAATAGAATTACCATGTTGAGGTCACGTCAACTCACAGTTAATAGCATTATAATGGAAGAGATGAAAACATAATAAAATAAAAAATAGAATGATTCAATTAATATGAAAAAGAGTATAGGGTCTGAACTAAAACAATTCGAAGAGTAGAGGTAACATATATCTGGAAAAAAAATCCCAAAAAAAAAAAAATTATGCATTTATAGATTAAATTTGCTAATCCATCTTCAAATTGGATTGGTCATCAATACGACGATATGTTCTGTCCTCTTAATTCAATGCAATAAAATACTCTAAAGCCATATTCCTAGCTGTCATAGATTGACGGTGGCCCGGTGGCTTGTCCTTCTCGTTCCTTTCGCCGCCTACATGGAAAAGGCAATGGATAAAAAGAAGAAGAAAAATAATTTCTTTATCATGTATCAAAAAAGAAATTGAACTGAAATTACTTTCTTTAAAAGTAAAAACTAAAATTGCACAATCCCAAAGGTTGATTGAATAAAACATATATTGTGCGACTAAAATCCTAATAATAATAAAAAATAAATAAAAATTTGTCGTATTGATGGGGTGAATCCTAATATAAAATATATTATATACAAATTGGATAACATTAATACATCATAGGGTGAAAAATCATCCAAATTTAAACAAATCAATTTTTTTGTTCATTTTTATTAACATCATATGATTGATTTGATTGATCAGACGTATATAGTTTGTTTTATATCATATCTAAATAAAAAAAATTAAGATAGATAATATTAAATAATATAAGAACATGTATTGTGTTTCACCCCTTCAACGTGGTCCATGGCTATCAAAATATGGTGATGGCAGCATGGGAGGAAGCAATCACTTCTTGTTTCGTATCTCTTGATTTTCAGCAATCTTCTTCTTCAAGAGAAACCTATCTTTTTTCTTTTTTCTTTTTTTTTCTTTTTTGTCCTCGCATTGAATAACTAGATCAAACTCTGAATTTGTTTTGAAACTTGAATTGTGAATAGATAAATAATTATTTAAGTTATAAATTTTTATAATGTATTAAATGCTAGTAGCTCCTGAATAAATAATTTTAACTCGTTACATTTAATTTTAATTGAAAATATTTGCAGAAAAAAAATTAAATAATATAGATAAATTAAAGGTTATAATTGATTATAGAGAGAGAGAGAGAGAGGGAGGGGTATGATTGAAAAAATATATAACATGTAAGAATAAAAATACAAAATCCAATTATAAACACAAAATATTTAATATAACTTGAAAAATTAACAAAGACAGCTATAAAAGTCATATAACCTCACATGAAAACGATGGCCATCAATAATCACCATGTCCGGAGATAAAGATTATTGCTGACATAAGATGCGTAAATTGTCAACCTCAAGATGATTTGGGCCGGGAAAGCTTGTTGGTGACATAAGAAAGCTTGACTAATTATGACTTACTCATAAAAAAACATATTAAAAGATCATGATCTTTGACTTTTACCCAAACTAACAAAATAAATGTTAATTTATTGCTAATCCTAGTATTTTCCACATGTAAAAGAAAGTGATATAAAGGTAAAACAATCGGTGCTTTTGTTTTTTAATATATGTTTTGTGTTTATGAAAATAAGGTTAATGCCAAGAACCTTCTTTTTTATAAGATGCCCCGTTTGCTAAAATTTGGGATTCCGAAAAAAATTTATGTCAATCTTAGTTTAGAAAATTTATATATCTCTATTTTTTTGTGAATGAGAAAACCAAATGTTGGTTGAAAAACAATAATTCACCAAATTTATGAATGAAATTATATGTATATATATTAAGAAAGTAACTTATTTTTTATTAACTTGATATTAATAAAAAAAAGAAAAAAAGATATTTATATTTCTGTACAAAAGTTATCAAGGGTAATAACATAATTTAGAGATTAGAACCAACCACGGTCGTATCTTAGAGAAAGAAATAAGCATCTAAACTCTACAAGAATACCTAATTTACAAATTGATTGTGAAAGGATTAGGGATGGCAATTGCTGATATAAAATAAGTATTTATTTTATTCGATCTAATAAATATCTATTAAAATTATTTAATGGGTATTAAAGTGAGTAAAGATTAAAAAAAAAAATACATACCTGCTAATATGATTTTAAAATATAAGTACTCATTTTTTATTCTATTAATACCCACTAATTTATTAAGTTTTTTTTATTACTATGTAGGGATTTAATTACATAAAAATTTAAAAATTAAAGACTAAAATATTTTTTAAGAAATTTTAATGACCAAAAAAACATATAAATAAATGATCAAAATAAAAAAATAAATTTTAACGACTAAAATTACAAGGACTAAAATGAATATTTTTGATAAATGAAATTTAGAGGGTAAAAATTTAGGTTTCATAATTTTATAAAAGCACCAAATGATAATTCTAAAGAAAATGAGACACACACAAACATATATAGTGCATTAAAAATGAAAATGAATTATAATGACCCACGAAAAAGATTGACTACTTCCCAAGCACTAAGTAGATGTCTTGACTGCTGATAAAACTTTCCCTGTTGGCTTTCTTGTATCTGAATCAATATTTACCATTATTTGTTGCAGGCCATCCTTGGATTAAAAATTCTAATGATGTTAAATTGCCTCTGGATATATTCGTGCTCAAACTCTTGAAGGTTTACTTGCGCTCATCATCTCTTCAGAAAGCTGCTTTTAAGGGTTTGTATTGCTATTTACCAATGAGATTGTTTCGTAATCTGCTTTGATGCTGTCTACTCTACTGCGAAACACATATCCACATTATCTTGTGTTTATTTAATTAGAGGAGAAAATAAGGATAGTAGGATTCGATCTTACGATCGTTTAGTCATCAAGGTTTTAATATCATGTTAAATGACCATTTCATTCAAAAGCTGAAATTGTTTAATAAAATCCTAGAATATGGTTTGTATTATTCGCTAACATATACAACTTCTCGTGCATAGTATATGTAGATTATATTCTAATTTGAAAGGGCATGCATGGCTGGGTAGACACACAGAAATGTCAGCCAGAAGTTTGTTTGATACATTTCAATTTTGCTATTAACAAACTTTTAATGTCCATTATAGTTTATGGATTACAACTGTAACTCTCAAGGTATGCCCACTGGCTAATCAATGATTCTAATGGGCTCCATAAATGCATTTTAGTGATCATTTTCTTAAGGTTGTCACTGAACAGTCAAGCAATATTCTTTTACAATTGGTTATTATTAAGTAATTTTGAGGCTTAGTTGGATTCTCTTGTGTAGCTTTGATCCTTGATGATTATGTTCTTACAATATCATATCGAACTTTTTCTGTTGGCATTTTGGCAGGCTCTATCTAAAACGTTGGCTTTATCTAAAACATATAGGGATTTAATTGCATCAATTTTAAATATGAAAGACCTAAATATTTTTTTCAAAAACTCTGATGACAAAAAAAGTTATAAATAAATTATCAAAATAAAAAAATAAATTTTAAGGATAGAAAAAAATTTTAAAAAAAAATTTAAGGATTAAAATAAATATTTTTGATAAATTAATTTAGAGGGTAAAAATTTAGGTTTCATGATTTTATAAAAGTACCAAATGATAATTATAAAGAAAATGAAATATAATGCAATATATATAGTGCATTAAAAATCAGATTGAATTATAATTACTGTCACTTAAAGTCAAGTTCCATGTCGGTGTACCCATAAAAGTTAATTCAGTTGGTGGAAAATCATTATTAGAGGGCGAGATAACACGAAATTCTTACACAAGGAGGATGGGATAGAAACAAACATCATTTTTTTTTCAACACGAAAGATTCCTTTGAACTAACTTATATGTCAATCAAAATTAATATTTTTTATCATATAATCTTAGAATGCACTTCTAGCATTTAATTTGATGCATTCAGAAAAATTTAAGAAAATCAAGAACTAAAATAAATATTTTTAACTACCAAACCCATCCCTTAACATTGATAATTAAAAATATAATTATGTGACCAAATAAAAACTTTTTTTTATATATATATATTTTTTTTCATATATGAGATTTTACGTCTCATATTAATTGTTAGACGTTATGAGGATAGCATTAGTAATCGGTGAAATATGAAAAAAATCGTATTATTGTATCGCACGAATTGAATTGACCACCGTTATAAAAGTAAAAAATTACTCACAACAAAGGTTTTTTTTTAATTTAAATACTTTTTTAAAAAAATTAATTTGAATCCGTAATTTTTTATAAGTGTAAAAGACTCACAGCTGTTAAACCAGAAGCCTGTTGTTAGTTTTTCCTTATATCATATTCCATGTTCCCATAAAAGTGACTGAAAATAAAGTTTAGCTTGTCTTGTTCTGTCAAGCTGCATGGATCAAAAGATATTTGACAACATTAACTAGTGAAATATCCAGGAAATTATGACAAAATTTTCTAAAGACAACATTCCACAACTGGTGGAACCCTCACATTCATGTTTGTGACTTTGGTCTTGGTCTTTTATGGATCCTTAGCTATCTAGCACCCAACTGCCGACGTAATCGACCTTTCATGGTTCCAAGTCTTTGACTTGACTGTTTGGTTTGGTTTGGTTGGATAGGAAACTAACAGACTTTGCAGCATCACCCATTTGCCAACTTGTTCATTGACCAGCTAAGAACAAAGTCTTCATGTTTATTCTAAGGAAAAAAAAAATAAAGTCTTCATTTTTCCAATTACGAGAGTGTCATTACCCATTTGCCAACCTGTTCATGAACCAGCTAAGCCAAGTTTGCAATGAAATTATTATTTTAATTATTATATTATATTTGAAAAGAAATTAATTTTATAATATTTCAAAATAAATAAATCGGGAGCCAATAAATCGATAAATCATATAGTATAGTATCCATAGCTTTTCTCTCTTTTTTTTAATCTTTCACATTAATTTTGGGAAGAGTTAAAAAAAAAATAAATAACTTTCTTAGCTGGTAAATGTATTTTTTAAAATTTATTCGCTCAATATAACTTTTTATTGAAAAACAATAATTGTCAATGTTTATCGTTTATAATAAGTTTTGTTTTATTTGTAATTAATAATATATCCATGCATGTTTCTACATTTAAATTTATTAAGTTCAGAATCAAACAAAAGAATAATTAACTTAATAAATTAAAATAAAAATTTTATGCAATAGTCAAATAATTAAAAATTATTGCACAATAGGTTGACCGTCATCGAGAAATTTGAAAATATGATAATATAGAAAAAAATTAACCTAAAATATATGTGTGTATTTTGCGTAATATAAATTTTAATAAATAATCCTGTTTAGTCCCTTAATTTAGTATTTTATCAAAAACAATATATCAAAAAGGGAAATTTTTTTATAAAATAATATGTATATATTATTATCAAAATACTATGATTTTATTTAAAAATTATAGTGGCAGTATGCCTTTTTTTAAAAATTATTTTAATCATTTGATTGGAAGAGAAATCAAATTTAAAATTTCCCAAAAAAAAAAAAAAGACATGGATTATGAAACTAAGCTCATGCACGCTTGGGTTTGGTATGAGAGGCGTGCGTGCTTGGCCTTCCAATAATTTGATCAAACCAAGTGAACGACGCGTTGTCTTCTTAGATTACACTTTTTTTCCTAACCATGTCGAGACTTGCCACTACCGTCAACCAACTCTCCTAGTCAATCTAACACATATATGTCAACGAAATAATTTTCGTGATTGAAAAAAGCATTCTCTCTTCTCTTAACTATTAGGAATCAAAACGCAAATTAAATGAAATATCATCACTTAAACATAAATAATACTAAAAACAAAGATTGAAATATAAATACAAACTTCGACCATAAACTAAAACCTTCAAAACCAATCTAAAATTTTCAAAATGCCAACAAACAAAACCGATAAAAAAAAAATTTATAAGAAAAATATTTTACCATATTGAAAACGATTGATTTTCCCTAATAAACAAGATGGGTCCCCAATATATACTTTGACGAAGATAAAGATTGTTAAAAAATATAAATTTTTTAAAATGAAGTGAAAGATCAATAACAAAATAGGCTAACCTCTTTCACATGGGAACACATAGAAAATCCTTAAAAAGTTTATGTGAGTTTAATCGTGATTCGTGAAGTATAAATAAATACAAAAGTGGAACGTTAAACTTAGGATTGAAGGGCGAATAAAAAAATAATTGATTTTTCAGGTGCAAAACATTTAAAAATTGAGGGATATAATTAACAACTTTCAAAATGTTTGGATTGAAGTGTAAGATTTCCAAAATTTGGGGGCAATGTTCGCATTTAATTATATATAAGACGACAGTTTGGCAACCAGAAATTGACACCAACGGTACAAGTAACAAAAGCCAAGTTGATTTTGTCTAACCAAACGTAATTTAGTCATTTATTTGAAATTTCTGTCCAATTGATGGAGATAACATCAAGAGGACAGCTAACAAAAAACTTGCAAAAACATAGTTTGATGTGTATGTTTTTGGACAAATTTCATATACTCTTGGGAATTTGCAGGCAGCTGCTTAAGATTTCTACAAAATTTATGAAGTTCTGTAGAATATTGTTCGTGAGTTTGTCAATGTTATTGCCATCAAAATCAACTAAACAGCGACCTAAGTCATTGTCTACAGGCTTGCACAATAGAGATAACCCACTGATCCATTATCTAATTCTTTGAGAAATTAATCTCCCTATCAAGATCCGTAAGAGTTCCCTTTTCTATTATTGTTGTTGCTGTCATTGATTCAATTTATTATTATTATTATTATTTTGTTTTTGTTTTTGGATTTTGTTTCTTTTTGACTAGTTGGTCTTTGGAAATTTAAATATTGCAATGAAGATGTCATACACACTCCCTCTCGTCAACTTGTTTTTATCTTAGATACCCTACTCCAGGTAATTCCAAGAGGTACATGTCACGAGGTTTGCTGCCTCTTTTGATTTTGTAAGTTGGAATCATAGACTAACAACTAATTTCTACGAATAATGTTTTAGATCGACGTGAAGGGTATTTTTTTAAAAATTATTTGAAAATTAAAATTAAAATTAATCTCGATTGATACTTAAACTAATTCGATAATATCATTACGTGAACAAAAAAGAAAAAGAAAAAGAAAAGAAAGTATAGTCTAAGTCATTTTGACAAGCAAGATTATATGCACAAACGAACAACTTAATTACTATTATTATAAATTAAATTAAATAATAGGTTCAGATTAATTTTATTAGTTGAAGATAAGATCATGGGTGGAAGACATATCCATTTTTTATGCCTAATTTCTACTAATTTATCCCAAGTTTGTGTATATTATATTTTGGTCGTTGTCGATTGTCTAAAAAGTAATGTTGTTGTAGCATATATACTTAAGTGATTTAGCACAAAATCAACGATTGATTTTGACTCGTGTATCCTCTACGAAATTGACGACTCTGTCTCCTGTTTTTAATTACTACGGTTGGAAAATGTTGAGGATTGTCTTGCTCTTTGTTGGAGATTCATTAATTTTTTTTTTATATATATAATCTAGGATGTTCGAGTCAATTTATGCGCATCACGACTAATCTCCGAATCCATTGAACATTCCGTAAGCCCAATGGACGGATAAAGCATCGTAGGGGTGAGAGACGTGCATAGAAAGAGTCAAACCCCGATAGTCATCAAGCAAATCCTTAATCATTAGATTATGACGGTAAGCGCATATTCATTCAATTTTACAAAACAAAGGAAGTCAATCATTAATTATTTTTTAATTTTTTATTCATGTGTCACATGATTTGATTGACACATCAAAATTCAAATCCTACGTAATGAATTAAGATATTATCATATCTTATCATATCATAAAGATAATACGATGTAGTAAGTGATGTTGGATCAATTTTGACGAACTTTTAATGCACCATCATCGCAAGAAAATCTTGGTAAAGCTTCTTAATAAAAAAAAACTTGTCATATTTCTTAATGAATTTTACCTTGAATATCAATGAAACAGCACCACCATTTCCATCTTAATATTATATCAAAATCACTTCAAGTTGCCTGACTATCTATAAATTCATAAAACCATAAAATGTTACGAGTGTTAATGGGTATTTAGCCTCTGCAATCTGATTCTGGTCCACACATGAACATGATTTGCAGGTATTTAGGTATCTTTTTTCAGTCACGGTCCAAATCCGAGAGGCCAATTAATGGTTGCTATTATTCTTTAACATTTATCTAAATGTTATCCCTCTGCTGTGACATCAGAGGCAAAAATGGATGGGGCCAGAGGAAGTAAGCCAATCCTCATTGAAGTGGGTGCCGATACAGTGGAGACTGGTGAAGAGGAAAGGAAACACTAAAAGATCTTCTGACTCGACATTATAATATTCGATTTCATGACAACGCGATAAGCTGCCTCCCATGCCAATTAGGGTTTAGTCATGTCCAAAACCTAACATTTTCATCACTGATACATGTTTTATCCACTAGCTTTTTCCACGTTCAACATAACTTTATGCCTTGATACTAAATTTTTTTCAAACAGTTTTAAAGATAAATTTTTGGTAAATGTTTGATATATTTTTTAAAAAAATTAATGACAGTTTTTGCTACTAAATTATTGAGATGGTAATACATTAAGTTATGTGCTATTAATTTGATTAATTTTACTTTTTAACTATTATGTTTTGAACAAATATTATATTTTTGTTAAATTTTATTGTCCTCCATAGCCAAAAACTCCTTTAAAAAATTGATGTTTTGAACTAAAATTTTTCATAGATATTCAATCTACTTCCATAAATAATTTCAATTTTTTTTTTAAAATTGAAGATTATTTTTTTCTTTTCTAAACAATAAATATTCAATGAATTATGAAAAAAAGAAAATAAACTAGAATTATTTCGATTTTAAGTTATCTTAATACCAAGGTTTGAATCCAAAAAATGAAACAAGCAATCAAATCTTCTTAACAATTATACCAATTTCTTAAAGATATTCACATTGAACATGATTCCAACTGGAACCCAAATCGTGTGGTTAAAAAACAAACTAATTCAATTGAGTCTTCGTTGAGAGTATTGCCATTGATTTGGGTTTTGAATCATGTCTATAACATTTTTAGATGATGGCATATTTATTTGGGCCAACTGTTCCTCAATTATTGTGGTTGCGAAAGCATATCAATCATGTGAAAATTTTAGCATGATGCGTTATTTAGGTCAAGACATGAAGTGTCTTTAACTTATGTTCGTAACACTACTATAACGATAATATATCTATGTTTGGCTAATGTTTCTCATGTTGGACATGATTCCAACCCAATTTATGTGGTCTTCGAAGCTCACCAATTTAGATGTAACGTCAGCATAACACGATTTGGGTTCCAACCATGTCCACTTTTTATTTTTTATGATAATGATAAATATACGTCGCATGTCGCATGTCTATAAATATGAAATAAATAACTCAATGTATTTTTATATAATAGATAGAGTCTTCAATATGTTATTACATTTTAAATTTCATTCATTGTATTTTAGAACAATATTTAAGATTTTTTGATCATTTTTTTATTATAGATAATTTTTTAATCAAAATATAAAAATAAATATGTATCTTTAAAATCATAAGATGGCATAGATATCTAAGTTGCCTTATTTATTTCTAATAACGTGCAATACGTCCAAATTGGGGACACGAAAGTGAACGTGGAAAGCGAAAAAAAAATTACACTTGGATAGAGACAGAAATCACCGATAAAGGGAGATGGAAGCTGAAAAAAAAAAAAAAAAGGTAAAGCCACAGGAAACACAAGATCCTGAGTATCAAAGTGCTGTCTTTCTTACCTGTCAAGATTTTTCACAAAAAGACAGTCACAGAGGTCAGTGCTGTCTCGGTTGCATGGCTTGTATGCAGTTAATGGAATTTTGGTTGATTCTTTCCCTTTTTTGTCATTGTCTTCTTTCTTGGATTTTCTTGATTTTTTCGTAAGGTATTGTTTGATTACTAAAAATTGAGTGATGAGAATGAAAATAAAAGTTAATTTTATTCCTACCTTATAGCTCTTTGATTGAAACAATGAAATGAAAATGAAAGTTAAATATAATTTCATTCCCATATGGAAGGTGAAAAAAAATGAGAATGGGATTTCTTTCTTCAAAATAAAGATATATTATTTTTATTTATTGTGTATCAACTATTTCTGTCACTATCATTTTCATTTGATGGTAGTGATAGATTTTTTTTAAAAAAAAGCTATTATTATTATTTCGTTAGTATTCTTCATCTACTACTGTCGTCATTTTTATTATACCACAACCACCATAAAAAAATTATTATTCTATCATTATTTCTCTTCCATCATCATCATCATTTTTATTATATTACCACCACCACTACTATACTTTTTCCACTACCACCTTTTATGGCTATAGTATCATTTTTTAAAAAATATATTATTTCTACTATTATACTATTATTACTATCATCTTCTTTTCATCCTCCTTCTCTTCCACAATCGCCAACACTATTAAAATCACTTCTATCATTTTTATTACCATTATAGTTGATGAAATTATTTTTTAATTATTATTTTTATTCATATTAAAAATCGGATATTAAAAAAATTTAAATTTCATTGCGATTTTTTATTACTATTTCAAACATTGTATGAAAATGTAAATACCATTTCGATTATCTAATTTTTATTTTGATTTCTACTTTTTCATTCCGGATCTTTCCTTTTCGATAAACAAACCACACCTAAAAGTAGCAAATGGTATATAATAGAAAATATTAATATACAAGGGTGTGCAATTCCAATAGATTGAGGGTAAAAAGTGCAATCAAACCAATAAATTGTACTGGATACCAAGGTTTGACTCAAAATATTAAACAAGCGAGCATACCACCAATCCCTTAAATATATTCACATTGAATGTGATTTCAATCAGGAGTAAGCAAATGGTTAAATGGTTCGATTTTGTATAATTTAGTTCGATTTTCGATGAATCGAATTAAGAAAAACAAAAACCGAACTCGAAATAAGTTCGGTTTGAAACTAAATTATTTTGGTTCGATTTCGAAAAAAATCGGTTTTAATCGAAATATTTTGCTTGTAAAAAAAAAAAAAAAAACCTTTTCCATCTCATCATAAATTAACTGATTAATTACATCTCTATTTTCAAAAAATGTGAAATTTTAAGTTATTTTTTAAATAACATAGTAAATAATATTTTAATAAATAGTTGAAAATTAATGTAGTAAAAACGAAAAAAGTGTATGTTTGGCTTCGAACAAGCCAAATTCGCTGCTAAAATTACAATAGGATCTCATAGGTTGTGCAATTTGGTTTAACTTTGTTAATCTGGTCCCTCTAATTAGTTGAAGTATAAGTTTAGTCCAAGACAACAAAAACTTGGCGATTTAGTGCAATGACTAATGAATGATTGGAGGGAAAATTTTTGAATGTGAATAGGACGATTTTTTTTTTCGATTGAAAATCAAAATAATTTCGATATTTCAATTCAGTTTTAAATTTTACAAATTTAAGTTCAAAACCAAATCAAAATATATAATTCGATTCGAGTTCTATTTGGTTTTTTGATTAATCGAACCGTTTGCATGCCTCTAATTCCAACTCCAACCTAATTCAATGAGTCATTTGGGTTTGAGTCATGTATATTTTTAGACGGTTGCATATTTATTTGGGCTAACTTTTCCCTAATTATTGTGGTTTCGAAGTCACATTAATCATGTTGAGAATTTAGTATAGTGCATAATTAGGTTAAGACACGACGGGTGCTTGACTCATGCCCATAACATTACTTTCAAGGTAAGATATTTATGTTGGGAATGTTTGTTACGTTGGCCATGATTCTAACCCATTTTATGTGGCCTTAAAAAGCACACCAATCTTGTAGAAAATTAAGCATAAAATGATTTGGGTTCCAATCATGCCATGGACTTTTTAGTTTTTATGACAGTGGTAAATTTAGGTGGAATTTCTACCAATATAGAGTAAATAGCACAATTTATTTTTATATGATAATTTAAGTTTTCAATCTGTTTTTATATTTTAAATTTCATTTATTATATTTTTAAATAATTTTTAAGTCTGTAATATATTTTTCCGATCAATTTTCTGGATAATGAATAATTTTTTTGATGAAAATATGAAAAAAAATTACTTAAAATGACGTGACTTGCAAATTCTAGTTTTGAAGTCTTTATTTTTATTTTTTTTAGTATTTTAGTAAAGGATATTTCGGTCAAAAAATTACTTATGGTCAGAAAAATTGATCTAAAAAATAAATTAAAGGCTTAAACATTATTTAGAAATATAATTAATATAATTAAAAACGTGAAAAGAAATTAAAAATCCAAACTATTATATAAATAGAGAGAGAGAAAGTGTGAGCTATATATCTTTAAAATCATAATATTTATAATGGGAGCCTGGCATAGATGTCTAAGCTGTCTTATTTATTTTTAAAATTATTTATTTCTAATAAGATGCAATGCATCCAGATTGGAGACACGAAAGCGAACGTGGAAAACTAAAAAAATTTACACTTGGATAGAGACAGAAATCACCTATAAAGGGAGAGGGAAGCAGAAAAAAAGCTAAAGCCACAGAAAACACGAGACCCTGAACATCTAAGACTGTTCAAATAAAGGAAACTGAAAAGTGAAAAACACGGATCAAAGTGCTGTCTTTCTTACTTTTAACGATTTTTTTCACAAAAGACATTCACAAAGGTTAGCGTTATTTTCTCTTTCATTACAGAACTTGTTCTTTTGGTATGTTTTTGTCTTCTTATATGTTGTTTTGGTTGCATGGCTTCTATGCAGTTAATGGAATTTTGGTTGGCTCTTTCCTTTTTCCTCATTGTTTTCTTTGTTGGGTTTTCTTGATTTTTTCTTCTGATTGTTCTGTCAGCGTTTCTGGATAATTCCTACATTTTCTCAGCAACCAAACACGATGAGGAAGGCTCCGAGTTTTGGGTTTTATAAGTTTTGAATCTTGGAAAGAATCTTTCATTGTCACGTTTGGTTTTTCAATGAGTATCCTCAGCAAGTTGCAATCTTCATTTTTTTGTAGAGAAATGACTATATTTATTGTCATGACCTAACTTTTAAATTCAGCAATAAAAAAAGTTTTATTTGAACTTTAGACATAGTGAAAAGTCACTTTTTTTTTATCAGATTCATTACTTCTCCAGTTTGGTTGCTGAGAAAACTGAGGAAAAGAGAAGAAAATGAAAATTTTGAATCTTACTCTGGCTTCCCTGGAAATCATTAGATTATTTTCAACCAGCTCAAGTGGCTGCTTTAGGCCTGTGGTCCCAGATAAAGCCATTGTTATTTTTTTCTTAAATAAACACATGCTATTTTGTTTTCCTGCATTGGTAATGACAAAACAATTCAAAATTAGAATATTTTATCCTTTTTCTAAGATGCGTTCACCCCAAGATAGTGCCTGAACTAAAAGTTCTGACTTAACAGGAAAAGTTGAATTTGAAATCTTAGAATCAATTTCTTGAGGTATCACTAGTTACGATCTTTTAGTCTGGTGGTGTCTTTTTTCCCTCTTGTTGAGAGAGGCTTTGAGCTGCGAAATTCGGAGCTGTTGAACCAAGTTGGGATAGGATGGAAAGGAAATTTGGGAAGCTTAGTTAGGCTTAGAGAAGCTCCCTCAGAAATGATGAAAGTCTATTAGAGTGGTGGAGGACAGGGCTAGTTTAATAATTTATTTATTTGGTTACTTCTACAGTTGTTAAACTACAACTTGATAGTTCCCTTCCAAGTCATCTATAGATTTTTTAATATGGAATATGTCATGCATGCGTAAGTAGGCTTTATCTGTATTAGATGCTATAATATTTGCTGAATTTTCTTCCCAATTTCGTATTAATTTACATCCTTGAGTATCAAAGACTGCTTTCACACTGTCCCTGGACATTAGAGGGTGCTAAGTCTATTTCAAATGGGAGCCAGTTGCTTGGCTGCACTCGTGGCCTGACTGTGAGGGCTGGAGAATGTGTAGGTCATGTTTGCTATGTAATTGTTGAAGAGAAAAAAGACTGTCATTTTCCTTCTCCATTACCATACATTCTGCAAGATTGATCAAACATATTCTTGTAGTATTATGTTGATGCTTCTCATAGTATTATGAGCTTTTCCTCTTTTCTTATTGAAGATATTGCTGCAATGATGCTTATAACCATTCTTATCACGAGCTTCAATAGTTTATGAATCAACTGTGTTGGCCTATGAAATCATCCCATTGAATCTTGAAGAATCTTGAACTGTTCTACAGAACCTTGCTTATCCTTGAAGCCTGATGTAAATTTATACTAATCATTAGCTGACCTCACTGATATGGTTGAACAACTTTTATGTCTTCAATATTTAACTTAAGAACGTATCTACAACCAAACTAACTGACGCATTTGCATGTTTACTACAATAGTATCGACTCTGCTTTAAATATAATGTCAGTATGTGCCTATACTCATAAAAAAAGTCGTGGTTTATTGGATTATTAGAATCTGTTCTCATTACCAGCTGCTGTCGTAGTAATAATTTTTCTTGGAAGTAGTGGATTAGTTTAACTTTTGAGGATAGATTTTAGTGATCATGATCAGATTTGTGTCTTTGTTTTGCGTTCTTGGTCTCAATGGTTGGAATTTGACCATTTATCTTTGCAAGCAGGTAAAAGGCTGCAGATAATCAAGCTGAGTCATCAGTCCAATCTATACTTCGCGAATTACCAGGTGGTGTTTTCAAGTGGTACAATTGGCATGAGCCTACTGATTGCCAGCAATTCTTACTAGTGACTGGTGCTGGTTGTCTTCATGGGTTGCTACCCGTCAAAGAGAAATAAAAATACACCGGGGTATGAGGATCCTACAGTTCTTGCTGCTGAAACACCCTGTGAGTATTCAAAAAGCTCATCGTTGCAAATTCCTGGGTGTAAGTTGCCCTGCTTAGTTCCTAGCTATGCTTCAATATGATCCAGATTTTTTTTCCATTTTTTTCCCCCTAAAAGTGTTGTTTTAAGTTAGGACATCTTAGGAGGTAATCACCATCGTGCAGATTAAAATAGTTGTAAGACATGAAGTTCAGTTTGTTAGAGACAGTACATGGAATGGGTTGTGTATCCAACCTTTGGTGTGGTTGGTCACTAAAACAATAACAAATTTATTTGCACTGAAAAGAAGCATGCAAGGCATGTTGTCAGGGAAAAGAAAAGAAAGAAAAACAATGTTGCTGTTCCTAATCACTGGTTTCAGTTTCAGCTAGATAATGGTCACCCAGTTCGGTTGTATTTCCTGCTAAAAATATTACTTCATATCATGTTCAAAAAGAACTACTAACTATGTGAGATTGACTGTTGACATGTTAAATATTTTTGTGTTGCAGTTACTGTTAGCGAAGTAGATGCCTTATACGAACTTTTTAAGAAATTAAGCAGCTCAGTCATTGATGATGGGCTTATTCACAAGGTACGGATATTAGGTGGAATCCTGAAGTGGTTTATGGAGTATATGTTAATTTAAGTTTGTTTGCAATTAAGACTTAATTGATATCTGTTGATATCATTTAAATGTCTCTTTCTTCTCATCAGGAAGAACTTCAGCTTGCACTCTTCAGGAATAAAAACAAGAGGAACCTTTTTGCAGACAGGGTATGTAGTGCAACCTTTTCCTATAATATAGAAATAGTTACCTGATGCCATGGCATTTTTCCTTCTTTCTAAGTTGCATCTCCTTGCTGGACTACTGCAGATTTTTGATTTATTTGATGTCAAGCGCAATGGAGTAATAGAGTTTGGAGAATTTGTTCGATCTTTGGGCATCTTTCATCCAAATGCGCCAGTTGAAGACAAGATCCATTGTAAGACTAATGTTTCTCTAGGTTGAAATGCAAGCAGGCGTGAGTGCACACACATGCATGTCAATTGGGACTTCTGTGGACCATAAATTGTGAAGTTATTCACTTGACCAGTTTTTGCACATAGTCTTGAATATATTATTAATTGGAAGAATCTTTCTGCAGTTGCTTTCAGATTATATGATTTACGGCAAACTGGTTTTATTGAACGAGAAGAGGTGAGTGCTGCAATTCTTTTCTTTGCCATTTCTTTTTTCTTATATACCATATAATGCTGCATGCTGACGACTGCAGGCATCTTTTAAGGTTTATTCTTTTGTTCTTTCTGTTAAAAATTCCACATTTACTAATGCCAGAAGCAGCTATAGTTTTGATAATTTATACCATCAGATAATTAAAACGAATGTGATGAAAAATGAAAATAATGATTACCATCTGTGTTTATATATCTGTTTCCGAATGTATATTCTGCCTCATAAGTTGAAGTTATTCAACAGTTGAAGGAGATGGTATTGGCGCTTCTGTATGAATCAGATCTACTGCTGTCCGATGATGTCGTTGAAACAATTGTGGACAAGGTACAATTTGGTTTTGCTGTGTCAGGCTCCACTATTTCATAATTATTTGGTCAATTATTCTAAATTTTTTTTCTTCTGAGTTTTTCCACAGACATTTAGCGATGCAGATTTGAAAGGCGATGGAAGAATTGATACAGAAGAGTGGAAAGAATTTGTGTCAAAGAACCCTACTCTTATAAAGAACATGACGCTACCTTATTTAAAGTGAGTTGCGAGTTCCAAACTCAATTTGTAAATTGCGCACAGGCACACCTGCACCTATATCTGGTTATTTGAGTAAGATTAATCTAGAATATACCTCTGAAATTCAAGTGATTAACTTTAGGCATTGCCATTTTTTTCCCTCCAGGGATATAACCTTGGCGTTTCCCAGCTTCGTGTTAAGTACCGAAGTTGAAGATTCAGAAATGTAGCAGACAGGTATCAATCATGTCATCTAACAATGGTGCTCTGTGCATTTTAAATCAGCTCTGTTTGGGAGATGTTGGAATTTGCACGAGAGTCGATACGACAACTAGCGCTGCCAAGATCTGATCTACGACACGCAACTTATTGCCATCATAAACTGCTTTAATGCAGAATTGGTACGGCTTAGTTTGCTCATGCTTTGCATATGTGTACATCACATTACAGCTTCAGAAATTTTGCAATGTGTTTAAATAATGTGTATAGAAGAAGTGTGTTTCAACACTTCTTAATCTTTGAAGTAGTACTTAATCTCTTCCATATAAGCTGGAGATAACAATTTCTGCTCATGTCTGAATTAGAAGTCCAACATCCCAAAAAAAAAAAAAAAACTAAGTCATATGACATGTTGGTTCTATTTTTGAAAATCTTCAGATTTTTTTGTTTTTTTTTTCGTTTCAGTCAGAGTCATTTTGGTTAAAAATTTGTCTATGGTCGAAAGCATTCGACTGACATGGGAAGCTTCCTTATTAAGGTTAGGTCCTTGTCTTTGTGTCAAGCAATGGCCGACCAAGAGATAGAAGTCGGAGATGGTTATGAGGTCATCTGTAATTGTAACCAACAGTATTGCATAATGGATTCTGGTTATGTGTTTCAGATTGTGAGCCTCTGTTGCTTGCCAATCCATCTCCACGTTCCTTGTGATAATGGACTCTGGTTAGGATCGCACAATTCGATAAAAAGAAGAACAATAATAGAGATAAAAAATCGAAAATTCAAACTATTATATAAGATCAGATTAAACTATATAATCTTGTTTCTATTATTGAGCAAGAAAATATCATTTATCTTTGAGATTTTTATAACCATGACAATTGTGCCAATGCTAAATGACATGATCTTTGCAAGTTATGCCTACCCACTTCCACATTTATCTAATCGTATACATTAACCTATTATAAGATGTTGGTTCATGCAATCACGTGGAGAAAAAGCAAGAAATTTGTGAATGTACCTATAGGAATATAAATGAAGCACCTAAAATTAAATTTATAAGAAATATTAAGAAAAATATCTAAGAACGAATCATGATTTTCTGTCATTTTCAAGATTCAAGATCAAGGACAGGTTGTGCTTTATGTCAATAAAATTTTAGTTTCCATGTAAGTTTCACGTTCTTTTGCACAAACCTGCAAAAATCGAGTAAATTATAAATTAGTCCCATTTGTTTTGAAAAACAAACTAATTAGTTCCTATTGTTTAAAAATTAATTATTTAGTTTTTTATCGTTAAATTTTTGTTAAATCGGTCAAATTAACACGTAGTACCTAAAATATACCTTAACATATATATCTACATAAGGAAATATGTTGTGGTATTTGAGAAGATAGAAAGAAAGTGGAGATTAATAAAATTAAAAGTTGAGATTTAAGGAGAAAAATGAAGATATGTCTGAAAAAAACAAAAATACATAAAAAAAGTAAGAATACTCTATCTTCACTTTAACCGAAAACTAACACTAACGAAATAATTAAATTATCGACTGGATAAAACGTAGAAAACTAATGGTTCGTTTTTAAAACGAAAAGGATTAAATAATTTTTTTCGAAACAAAAGAGATTAATTTATAATTTACTCGTGATTAAAAGAGAATAGTGATGAACATTAAAAAAAACTTTAAAAATAAACATAAATCGTCATCAAGACATTCAATACCTTCAATTGGATCTTACTTTAAGAATTTAATATGAAATCTGATCAATTTTAGCATGAATGTCTTTTTCTTTTTGGGGGATAAGCTCATGAATGGCCTAACTTATGCCACTCATCCTTACATACTCATCCTTACAAGCTGTTAGTGGAAACTCCACAACGTTCGTGTCCTGGTTGGTTCCTTGTTTATTGTCCAAACAAATGAGCTTTTTTCCTCTTTCTTCTCATCATTCAGATTGCTGTCTGCAAATGAGCTTTAATAATTTATCAAACAACCGTCTTGCCCTATCAAATCACGCCATTGAAGAATCTCTCCAGTTCAAAAGAGCCTTTTGATTTCTTTCTTTTCAGGAATGCGCCGGACGTCGTTTTATTAACCTTTTTGAGAAAGCTACTTTGAGTCCAAGCTTTTAACCTCCAGGGACGTGGTTTTGTCCCCCAGAAATTAATATTTTTTTAGTGTTTTAATGATGTATATATTTTTTATATTCTAGCATCAAGATCCATTGGAGAAAGTTTGGAAAGAACAAACTATTTTAGAGTAAACTATAAATATAAATTATTCCATCTCATTTTGAAAAAAAAAAAAAAACTAATTATTTAGTTTTTAAAATTTTTAATTTCTTTAATAATTTTTTTTTCAATTTTTCATTAAAGTAGTGATGAAGTGACTTTACTCTAATATTTTTAGTTCCTAAATTAGGTTTTTTAATGTATTATTTTTCTACTTCATACACATTTCTTTCTCTTCAAGCATCAAAACAGATCTTTAATAAATATAAATTAATCCATCTCCTTTTGAAAAAAAAAATAATTATTTAGTTTTTTACATTTTAATTCTTTAATAATTTATTTATTTTTTCATTTTTTCGTTAAAGTAGTAATAAAGTATCTTTACTCTAACATTTTTAATTCCTAAATTACGTTTTTTTAATGTATTATTTTTCTACTTCACACACATTTCTTTCTCTTGAAGCACTAAAACAAATCTTTATTTCTCTATTCAAATCTCAACTACTCATTTTATTCATCTCTATTCCTTTTTCTCTCTCCTCAAATACGAGAATATATCCCATGGATGTGTGTGTATATATATATATTAAAAAATATTTTAGATATTAGATTTTAATTTGATAGATTTGACAAAAACATAAACGACAAGAGATTAAATAATTAATTTTTGAAACGAAAAAAATTAATTAATTCATTTATGTAAACGAGAGTTACTAATTTATAATTTACTCAACCATTTGACCAGGAAATAGACTAATGCAATGATTTTTAGAAGGGAAAATCTTAAATATACTCCCAAACAATTAGGAGTAAATTATAAATTAGTTTCTGGAGTTTTGTAAAACAAATTATATAATACTTTTTATTTCAAAAACTAATTAATTAATTTTTTGATTAGTGCTATGGTTAATTTAATATTAATTTGTTCTAAAAAAATATTTTATTTTCTTATCAATCTTTTCGTATTATTTATTTTTTTCTATTTCTTAAAAAACAAAATAAATTAAAAAACACAAAAAGATTAAGTTACAAATAGATTTAAAAACATAATAATTAATTAATTAGTTTTTGAAATTAGATAGACCAATTTATAATTTACTCAACTATTAGTGTAATATTAATTTTATGCCCAAATTATTTTTGATAAGAATTTTACTCTCAAACTATTTTGATTTCTGAATTAAAAACTTCTATTAGAGCACTTAACAAAAATGATTAAATTTCCTATAAAATAATGTCGTTCTTATTAAAAAAAAAATACAATTTGGATGGAAATGTAAATAAAAAGTCTTTAAAATGAAAAAGGGTCTTTAATTGAAAATTTTGAAAATGTAATAATAAAACTGATATAAAAAACAATTAAATTAAAACTATCTATATAATTAGAAAATATTTTTGAGGTTTGCCCTTTCTATAATTAGGCTTAATAAAATCTCTAATTTTTTTTTACTTAAATAAGGGAACGTCATATCTGCTTACGTAGGCTTTGTTTGATATTAGGTTCGATAATTTTTGTGAAACTCTTTTATTTATTTATTTTTGTTTTATTCAAAGTAGAGATATTATTTGTGAAATTCTTTATGACGTTGGAAATTAGTTCTGAATATTCTACCATATCTTTATATTAATTTATGCTCTTGAGTGTCAAGAAATATAGAAGCAAGCTTTCAAAAAGATTATAAATTGAACATGTGGCTAAGAGAGAGTACATTTCGGACATATGTCTCTACTGGATGCAACATGGAGAAAATAATGGCTGCGAAAAATCATCATAGCTGACCAGAACAGTCTTGCCACAGACAGGAAAAGGTCTGTTTTTGGGGTTTTCTGTGGAGGCTGGCCTAGTTTCGGTTAACCAGAAAGAGGAGAAGAAAGGGTGAATTTTTTTGTGGGTTTTCTTTGTCCTGCTGACACTGTCACACAGTGTTTAGCTTCTTGGTCTTACCACTTAAGTTGAGTTCTTACATCACTGAACGAGAGGGATTTCTGTTGACTCCAGCTAAGATTCCAAAACCTGGCAATTCTAGGTGAGAATCATTACTTTTAATGTATCTATTCTTGATTGTAACCAGATTTATGTGTTTGTTTTGTGTTCTTTGTCTCAGTGCTTAAAGATTTGACCTTTCTCATCAGGTTAAAGGCTGCAGGTACTCAAGCTTAGCAATTATTTCAGCCTAGCATTTTTCTTTGGGAATTTCCAGGTGGGGTTTCTAAGTAGAAACCACCATTGGCATGGTCCTTTGATTGCCAAAGAATTATAAAACTGACTTGTGCTAGTTGTCTTCATGGGTTGCTGCCTGTCAAAGAGAACTAAAACGAAACAATGGTGTGAGGAGTTCACAGTTCTTGCTGCCGAAACGCCTTGTGAGTATGCATTATCTACAAGCCTACTTCCTGTTTATTATTCAAAAGTTATTGCTTTTAGTCTTAGGACATGATAGAGAGTGCATTGATTGGTTCCTGTATATTAATTTTTGCCGTGGTTGGTTCTGGGAAGAACCAATGACAAATTTATTGGCCTGGAAAGAATACAAAGCATGCATATCAGGTTGTTAGGGAAAAGAAAAGGAAGAAAAACAATGCTGGTGTTCTAATTATTAGTTCGAGTTTTGGCTAGATACATGAACAAGGTTCATTGGACCAAACCAGTTTAAATTGATTGGAGCTGGGAAACAACTGTTAACTTTTTTTTTTTTTTTGGCAGTTACTGTTAACGAAGTAGAGGCCTTACATGAACTCTTTAAGAAATTAAGTTGTTCGGTCATCGACGATGGATATATTAACAAGGTAAGGATACTAGGTGGATTTTTGAAGTGATGAGTACAGTCTAATCTAAGCATGTATACGATCATGGCTTGGTATGTGTTGATATCGTTTTAATGTCTGCTTGTTTCTCATCAGGAAGAACTTCAGTTTGCACTCTTCAGGACCTACAATAAGAAGAATCTGTTTGCAGACAGGGTATGTATGCCAACAATTTCTACAATATTCGGATAATTAGCTATGCAGACTGGTTGTGATCTTCTCTTCTCAGCGGATTCTAATCATTTCGGTGCTAGAGATTCTTGCTTGTTTGGTCATGTTGCTGTCTCCTAATACTGTGGCCTTTACCTTCTTTCTAAGTTACATGCACTCGTGGTACTTCTGCAGATGTTTGATTTATTTGATGTCAAGTGCAATGGAGTGATTGAGTTTGGAGAATTCGTTCGATCTTTAGGTGTCTTTCATCCAAATGCTCCCGTTGAAGAAAAGATTCATTGTAAGACTCATATTTCTCTAGACTACAAATTTGGTTTTTGTTTGTCACATGATGATTTTAGCAGATAGTCTTGAATAATTTACTAATTAGAGAAGAATCTTGTTGCAGTTACTTTCAGATTATATGATCTAAGGCAAACTGGTTTCATTGAACGAGAGGAGGTGAGTACTGCAATTCATTTCTTTCTCATGCATGCCATATACTCCTGCATATTTATAATTCCTATAAGATGCTGAGAACTTCAATGTTTGAAAGTTTTTTTTTCCGATGATTCCACAATCACAAACTCCAAAAGAATTTATAAAATCAGAGAATTGAGTAGAATGTGTTGAAAAATGCAAATGATGATTTTAGCAGGGAGTATGTGATTTCAGATGTATATTCTGCCTCATGATTTTAGATTATTTGATAGTTGAAGGAGATGGTATTGGCCATTCTTCACGAATCGGATCTGGAACTGTCAGATGATGTCGTTGAGATAATGGTTGATAAGGTGGTACCAATTGGTTTGGCCTTTTCGAATCTGTCATTTCATGCTTATTTGATTGAATTCTGACGTTTCTTTTGCTTTTGGTTTTCTTGCAGACATTTAGTGATGCTGATACAGAAGGTGATGGAAAAATTGATGCAGAAGAGTGGAAGGAATTTGTGTCGAAGAATCCTTCTCTCATCAAGAACATGACTCTACCATATTTAAAGTGAGTAGTTAGTTTTAAACTCAGTTTATAAATTGTGTAGGAACCCTGCATCTGGATAGGTCACTTGAGTAAGATTAATCTTCATAGTGCCCCAAAATTGAGTCTGGTTTAGTGATCACTGCATTTTCTGTTGAAACTTTTTCACATTTTCTCCATAAACTTACCTCAAAACCCTCGCACCTTCAATGTTCCTCTTCAATAACTGTTGATCTATTGGTCAACTTGCTGATCCAGCCAAGCTTATTGAGTTTGAGTTTTAAATCATTGGCTCATATAATATAAATGGCTTTATGTTTTCTAGGATAACATGATTACTGCAATTGGTTTCCAACATGATCATTTTGTTTCTTCCAGGGATATAACCGTGGCCTTTCCTAGCTTCGTGCTAATTTCTGAAGTGGAAGAATCAGAAATGTAGCAGAAAGGTATCGGTTATATCATTTCTAGCAATGGTTTGCTCTTGAATGATCAGGGATCAACTAAAAAGAAGTTGGAATCTGCTTGAACGCTGTAGAAGGGCTAGAAACACTTGAAAAATGGAGCAAAGATCTGATCAAGGTGCAACTCGTTAGCCATCTTAAGCCTCTTGGTTTTGTTCTTTAATGCAGAGTCGGTACAGCTTAGTTTGTTCACGTTTTGCAAAAGTACGTCACGTTTCAGCTGCAGAAATTCCGTGGCAATATGCTTAGAAAGTTTATGTAGCATTTAAGGAGATACTTTGAAGAATTGTGTTTTTTATGTCTTGCTGTTTTTCTTATACCAGTCAATCTTTCCAGTAAGAAGAACTCAAGACGAATTGAAGAATCAATAGTTTATTTCAAAGTAAATGCAATGAATGTTGAATACAAAAGAAATAAAATGCAAGAATGGTTACAGAGAAGAATTCTAAGAAGGAAGACAGAGAGACAGATTCGTTACAAAATGATCCAAGATACATCACTCTTTGAAATCTCTGTTTATATCCCAGCATCTAACTAACCACTATAACTCCTAACTAACTTGTAACAGATTGCTAACTACTAACTAACTTATAACTTTCTCTAACTTGTGGCTTGTTAGTTAAGTAGAATGCCAGCCTGTTCTCCAGTCACTCTAATGCCAACCAATCATTCTTCTGGCTTAACTTGCCACTGTAGCTCATCCACTTCAACATTGTGATTTGAATTTTCATTTCGCTCTCTGTTAGCTTTTTGATTTCCTGAAGAATTTCTTGAAGAACCTTGCCTTGTATCAATACTCCCTTGTTGAAAAACCTTATCCTAAGGTTGAAGTTTGGAAATTTGTCCTGTGAATCGAAGGCATACTCCCATGTAGCATCAACAGGAGAACTATGGGACCAATGGATCAGAAGCTTTGTAACAGCCACATTTTCTCTTTTAACTATCTTCCTGTCCAGTATAGCCAAAGGATAGGGATGGAGACTGACTGTGGAAGGTAATGGAATGTGGGCAGTAACGTCTCCACGAACAAGTTTCAATTGAGACACATGAAAGCTGAGGTGAATTTGAGCCGAACTAGACAGGTCCAAGATATAAACCACAGTTCCCACCTTATCAATAATGTGAAATGGACCATAAAGACGAGGAGATAACTTCTAATTAGAATGATGAACCATTAACCCTCAACGATAAGCCTGTAATTTCAAATAAACTCGGTCTCCAAACTGAAACACCCCGTCGGTGCGATGCTTGTCGCCTAGGCTCTTCATACGATGCTCGGGCATCACCGAGATGATATTTCAATAATGCCAACATATCTTTTTTTTTCCCCCTTAATAGCTAATCGACTATAGGGCTTCAAAATGAGACATTTTAATAGTAGAATGCCAATTGGTATTATACCAGTACTCGAGTAGAGATAACAATTTGCTCTAGTGTTTAGGATTGGAAGAGGTCATGCAACGAAGGTAAGTTTGTAAGCATCCGTTCACCACCTCAAATTGGTCATCACTCCATGAATGATATGCTCGTTGAGAAGTGTAAAGAAACTTTTTACAAAACAAACAATTCCTTCAAAAATTTGCTCAAAAAGACTAAGTCTTTATTTGATCCAATGGTGCTAGGCAGATCATATGACTTAAAAACATAATCTAGAAATGCTTGAGCTAATGTTGTAGCAAGTATAAGGATGGGGAAGAGTAATAAAATGGTCATACTTTGTGAGTCTATCTACCACCACCATTATAACATTTTTACCAAAAGATAAAGGTAAACCATTAATAAAATTCATAGTAATATTTGTAAAGATGGTTTATGGCATAGGTAATGGCTATAACAATCCAAGGATAACAATGGTCTCATACTTACATTGCTCGGCAAATGGGACAATTGCGAACATATTCATGAATTGACTTAGATAACCTTTTCTAGTAGAAAACAATGACTAGCTTCTTTGTAGTAGCTTCCAACCCCACATGGCCCCCTATAGCAGAGTGTTATGAAACAAGAAAATCAAGAAGTGTTGTAATGAAAGATCATGTCCTACCATTAATTTTCCCTTTCTAAGCAACTCGATCATTTTTCCATATACATTTAGAAGTAAGAGGAGGTATACTCTTCAATCGCTCAATCAAATTCTTCAAGTAGGGATCTTGATACCAAAAAGAGATTACCTTAGAAAGAACTTCGAGAGAGAGAGGACACCGCCAAACCGAGAATTCAACACTAGGCAATCGAGATAAAGCATCTATCACCTTTTTCTCCTTTCCTTTTTTATACTCAATATCATAGTCGTATCCCATAAGTTTGACCGATCGGTTATATTGAGATACAATATGTAATATTTGTTTAAGTAAATATTTCGAGCTTTGGTGATCATTTCTAATAATGAAATGCTTCGTTGGATAAGTACTAATGCCACTTCTTCATTACAAACAAAATTGCAAACAACTTCTTCTCATAAACAGATAAACCTTGATGTCTAACGGAGAGAACCTTACCGATGTATGCAATTGGGTGGCCCTTTTGCATCAACACACCTCTAATATCAACTCTAGATGTATCGATCTCCACAACAAAGTCCTCCGATCAATCGGGAAAGGCTAAGACATGAGTATCAACCGGAAAGCTTTCAACTATTTGAAAGCCATATCGACTAAGAATTTCATTGAAAAACATCTTTCTTTAATAGATCGATCAAAGGCTTAGCCAACTTCCCATAATTTCAAACAAATCTTGTATAATATCCGGTGAGGCCAAAAAACTTCTCAATTGTTTGAGATTTTTTTGGTTGAGACTATGCTTGAACCGCAACAATCTTCCATGTATCGGCTTGGACTCCTATAGCAGAAATGAAATGTCCAAGGTATTCCACTTTTGGAGGGCCGAAGTGCATTTGGATCTTTTTGCATACAAAACATTTTATCTAAGAGTTGAAAAAGCAAGAGTTAAATGCTGGACATGATCGGATAAGGATTTGTTTTAAACTAGGATATCATTAAAAAAAAAACTAAAACAAATTTCCTTAAGAAAGGTCGAAAGATATGGTTCATAAGACTTTGAAAGTGCTAGGGGCATTAGTAAGCCCAAATGGCATCACAAGATACTCATAATGACCATTGTGAGTTTTAAATACAATTTTAAAAATGTTAGACTAAAAAAATCTTATCTAATGATACCCTACCCTTAAATCAAGTTTAGAAAAGATTACTAATCTTCGTAATTCTTCAAGAAGTTCTTTAATAACTGGAATAGGAAACTGGTCACGAATGGTGATCTAGTCAACTCTTTTATAATCCACACACATACGTCGGGATCCATCTTTTTCTTCACTAACACAAATGGAGAAGCAAATAGACTAGAGCTAGGTTGGATAGTTCTTGCCTTTAGCATTTCTTACACCATCTATTTAATGACATCCTTCTAGGTAGAAGGGTATTGATATGGCTTCATGTTCACGGGTTTTGATCTTGATTTCGGAATTATTTTGTGATCATAAGCTCACCGAGGAGGTAATCCTTTAGGTTCTCCAAAAATACCACTAAATACATCCGAACAGTCCGTATTATTGTAGGAACCGACTCCTCCTCATCTATCCGACATAACTCCATCTAATTTTTATTACTCGCTCGGTAATTAGTTTAACCGTAACCAATTAAGTTCCTTTTGTCCGTTAAGTATTGAGTTCATCAATTTTTCCTCCCATGAACTAGAAAGTTTAGCAAATTTCCCTTACAAAGTTAACATTTGCCCCTACCACTAGAACTCATCCATAAAGACCGAAAGTTTCATACTATATCCCGTAGCCCATATAGACATACTATTTTCGGTATCATGTCATAGATTCCTAAGCTGCAATACAAAGAATCCGGTTTCAAATTTTGGTTTCTATATCTTTCACTTAAATGATTCATATACCCAATCACACATAATCTCGGTTCCCCAACCACATTAATAGTTACTGATTTGATCCTAGTTAGTTTGCAATTAATTTACTTAGCAAACCTAATCTAGAAAATTATATGTACTTGTCGGTATCAATCAAAATCTCTATTTCATATATTTGTTGCTTCCTTTTAACCCTCATAGTCTTATACTAATTTCTCCCAAACACCGCACTCATAGAAATCCGATATAACTCCCTAACATACTAATCTTCACCGAGCCTTAGTATATTTAGTTACTCGCTAGCTCAACATTCTCCCCTACTTCATCACTTTCTTCTACTTCCAACATATACACATGTCTTACTTTACACTTGTGCCCCGGAAAATACTTATCATCACAAAAATAACATTGTCCATTTAATCTACGTTCATCAAACTCCTTGGTGGTTGGAAATTTCATAGTCTTGAACACTCGAATTGCCTTTCCGGAATTGAAAGTTAATGTCAATAAGCCATTTTAGTTACTAAAATTATTAGTAGGATTGGCGATAGTTTGCATATGGATTGAAGTTTGTGGAGTATTTTGAAAGGATGTATAGATACTTGTTTCATAGATTATTCACGGATATAGGGTTGTTAACATAAGCAATAGGGTTGGTATTGGTTTTGTAGTGGTATTTAGGTCCATAATTTGAGGTGTTAGGGTTGGTTTCTTGTATTTTAGCCAAGAAAACTACATATTTTAGGGTTCCGCGCTTAAGCATACGAATTGGAACTTGTAATTCAGCTTTCAAGTTCGCCTAGGAAACATGACTCACTATGTAGTCTTCCGGTAAGATTAGTTTATTCACTAGAGATATGAACTTCTTAAGATGATTATGGACATCTCTAACCTACTTTAGATTCATCAATTCAACCATAGGATCACTATAGATCATTGCTCCAAACCTTGTGTTGAATGCCTCTATATATTCATCCCAATCCAAGCCTAATATTTTCTCCTTTCATTCTAAGAAACACCCGATGCCATTTTAATGTTTCTCTTTCTAGATGTATAGAAGCCTTATTGACTTTAGTTTCCTTTGGTGTTTTATAAATCTTGAAGAACATTTCACACCTAAAAACCTAACCCTTCAAATCCTCTCTATTAAAACTCAAAAATTCCACTCTAGATAATCTAGTATTAGCTTGATATCCAAGTGTTAAACCCGCAGATTTCTCCAATATAACTCACATTTTCTCCATTGAAATTCACATGTCTACTATCACCTTCCTCACCCCGAACTCCTAAATTAATATA